ATGTCGAGCTGGCAAAACATTCAAATTCTGAATGTTGAATGTCTAATGTCTAGCTGGCACAACATTCAAATTCTGAATGTCTAATGTCTAATGTCGAGCTGGCACAACATTCAAATTCTGAATGTTGAATGTCTAATGTCGAGCTGGCACAACATTCAAATTCTGAATGTCTAATGTCTAATGTCGAGCTGGCACAACATTCGAATTCTGAATGTTGAATGTCGAGCTGGCACAACATTCAAATTCTAAATGTCTAATGTCTAATGTCGAGCTGGCACAACATTCAAATTCTGAATGTCTAATGTCTAATGTCGAGCTGGCACAACATTCAAATTCTGAATGTCTAATGTCAAATGTCGAGCTGGCACAACATTCAAATTCTGAATGTCTAATGTCTAATGTCGAGCTGGCACAACATTCAAATTCTGAATGTCTAATGTCTAATGTCGAGCTGGCAAAACATTCAAATTCTGAATGTTGAATGTCTAATGTCTAGCTGGCACAACATTCAAATTCTGAATGTCTAATGTCTAATGTCGAGCTGGCACAACATTCAAATTCTGAATGTTGAATGTCTAATGTCGAGCTGGCACAACATTCAAATTCTGAATGTCTAATGTCTAATGTCGAGCTGGCACAACATTCAAATTCTGAATGTCAAATGTCTAATGTCGAGCTGGCACAGCATTCAAATTCTGAATGTCTAATGTCTAATGTCGAGCTGGCACAACATTCAAATTCTGAATGTTGAATGTCTAATGTCGAGCTGGCACAACATTCAAATTCTGAATGTCTAATGTCTAATGTCCTGTTGGCACAACATTCAAATTCTGAATGGCTAATGTCTAATGTCTAGCTGGCACAACATTCAAATTCTGAATGTTGAATGTCTAATGTCGAGCTGGCACAACATTCAAATTCTGAATGTCTAATGTCTAATGTCGAGCTGGCACAACATTCAAATTCTGAATGTCTAATGTCTAATGTCCTGTTGGCACAACATTCAAATTCTGAATGGCTAATGTCTAATGTCGAGCTGGCACAACATTCAAATTCTGAATGTCTAATGTCGAGCTGGCACAACATTCAAATTCTGAATGTCTAATGTCTAATGTCGAGCTGGCAAAACATTCAAATTCTGAATGTTGAATGTCTAATGTCTAGCTGGCACAACATTCAAATTCTGAATGTCTAATGTCTAATGTCGAGCTGGCACAACATTCAAATTCTGAATGTTGAATGTCTAATGTCGAGCTGGCACAACATTCAAATTCTGAATGTCTAATGTCTAATGTCGAGCTGGCACAACATTCGAATTCTGAATGTTGAATGTCGAGCTGGCACAACATTCAAATTCTAAATGTCTAATGTCTAATGTCGAGCTGGCACAACATTCAAATTCTGAATGTCTAATGTCTAATGTCGAGCTGGCACAACATTCAAATTCTGAATGTCTAATGTCAAATGTCGAGCTGGCACAACATTCAAATTCTGAATGTCTAATGTCTAATGTCGAGCTGGCACAACATTCAAATTCTGAATGTCTAATGTCTAATGTCGAGCTGGCAAAACATTCAAATTCTGAATGTTGAATGTCTAATGTCTAGCTGGCACAACATTCAAATTCTGAATGTCTAATGTCTAATGTCGAGCTGGCACAACATTCAAATTCTGAATGTTGAATGTCTAATGTCGAGCTGGCACAACATTCAAATTCTGAATGTCTAATGTCTAATGTCGAGCTGGCACAACATTCAAATTCTGAATGTCTAATGTCTAATGTCGAGCTGGCAAAACATTCAAATTCTGAATGTCTAATGTCGAATGTCGTATGTTGAGCTAACTTCACACAGCTGATATAATGTCTTTAGTTCCAGACCAAGGAAATCGAAAAAGGATAGATGCATCACCAGTCAGACAAATATAAATCCATATAGTACAAGTCAGCGTGATCTACTTAAAAAGTCTACAGCGAGACAGCAGTAACTTTACCGTTTCTCAAGTTGTAAACAAAATGTTAGAACCCGCATCTTTTTATTTTGGCGGAATACTTTTTCCTAGTTTGAGATGAATACCTCGTCGAATATAAGATTCTGTAGTTCTGGTTTTGGTTGAGTTGAAGCGAGAGCATTGTTCTACAATCATGGTATGGTTCATCAGATTCTGCGTGAAAGGTTTTGTGTTGGTGTTATTCGAAGGTATCTCGTGGTGCAAGACGACGTCCTAGGTTGTGAATAAAACAAAACACCGGAAATATGATCCTCTCTTATCGTAGCAGTAAATTTGACAAATAAAAACCCCAAGTCTAAAATATCCTAATTTGATTCTGCAGATGTTGACATCCGTACAAGTTATTCTTATAAACGTATATGTACATCATAGACTGATTAAATAACAAAGATTAAGGCAAGTCTAACCATATCTAAAGTTTCAATTCTAACCAGATTAGATTTCAAGTCTAACCAGATTAGATTTCAAGTCTAACCAGATTAAAGGATTAGAGTCTTACCAGGTTCAAGGTTTACAGTCTTACCAGATTAATAGTTTGGAGTCTAACCAGATTAAAGGTCTCAAGTCTAACCTGATTAATAGTTTGGAGTCTAACCAGATTAAAGGTCTCAAGTCTAACCTGATTAATAGTTTGGAGTCTAACCAGATTAAAGATCTCAAGTCTAACCAGATTAAAGGTTTCAAGTCTTACCAGATTAAAGGTCTCAAGTCTAACCAGATTAAAGGTCTCAAGTCTAACTAGATTAAAGGTTTCCAGTCTTACCAGATTAAAGGTCTCAAGTCTTACCAGATTAAAGGTCTCAAGTCTAACCAGATTGAAGGTCGGAATTTAACGCACTCGTCTTTCATCAAGAGGTTTGATATCCAATTCCCAGAATAGTTTCATCATAGACCCTGGCAAGGTGTCAGAAACATAAACTGTATTTAAGCATATAAAAGATGCTCTGAAGATTATTCTGGTGAAAAACTTGTGTGGAACATCTTCGGGGCCTACTGAAGCATCGCATACTATTTGAAAGAATTTGCTTTTCAATATCAGCGAATTCTTATTTTATCTTATTTTTCCACTCTTTGTCTTATGACAGGATTTTTTGGAATTGAATGAAAATGAATTTGACAAAATCATATGCCATAATAGATACTGAGGTAAGAGTTGATTTTGAGAATTATTCCCCAAACATTTTAAGAAGAGGTGTTGGAGGGGGGAGATATTCTGTTCAACTATTCCTCTTGTGATTTTTATAAGAGTGCCGTTCTCTATATCTTAAAATTATGCTAGTTTGTAATGCAGGGCATGTTTACAGCTGAAATAGTTACTGGAATATTCTTCTAGAAATGGAACTTTTTAAGTCTGGCCTTGTATTTGCCTGTTCAGCAATACAGTGATTCTATAGCTGGTTAATAGGGTTGTTAAATGCCTCTTCCTCCATCGTCTGTGTTAAGACAATATAAGAGAACCGCATCATCTGTTAAGGCCATTAAAATCCTCTAAGATAATTGAAGGCTTACATCACTTCTAACTGGATCAGTTAATGGTGGTGAAGATCAGTTGATGGTGGTGAAGGGGTGGGGGTTAAAATGAGCAATTAGTTACCCATCTGAGTAGTGTAAGGATATTGCAATATCTTGTAAACCATTTGACCATTTGTGGGAGAATTTGAAATTTTACAATATAATGCATACAAATAACTAAACATTTAAAATGAGAGTTTAGTCACTTGCAGCTGACATTTTGTGTTAGCAGTTAATGTAATGCCCAACAATCTCTGTTATTATCATGTTTCCTGTTTTCCAAGTCTTTCACTGAAACAATATAATATACCCAATATATGATCACAAGAGGTAGATATAAAGGCCCCATGGGGCATTAGGTTGGTTCAAGTGATTTCAGTGTAATATAACAGCAGGATGTTTAGATAAGCCCTGTGAGTGTAGAGTGCACATGTAGTCATAAAATTAATTCCCTAGATCAACACTATATAATATTTTCTCCATTTTTGTTGAATTTGTTGAAGATAGGCTCTTCCCACTGATGTAGTCAACTTAATTACAGCGGATTCTACCGGACAAAAATTCCGTCTCCATGTGTTGTATGAAAATAAGTCATCAGGAACGTACAAAGTAGTGGTATTTTGTCTGTTAGAGTTTTGTGATGCTATTGTTGAAAATTTAGTACACTTGGTATGTTTCCAAGACTCCATTTGTTTCTTCTTTCATCATACAAGTAAACAGATGTAGACACAGCATACACAGCTGAGAAAGACAAGAACAAAAGCTTGTATTTGTACATAGATTTAATGGTAAAAGATGATAGACTTATGTCTACTGTCATCTCTTTCCTTTGCGTTTGTTTTTTCTGTCTCGCTTCGTGGTTTCTTGAGGAGGTACATCCAGTCGGACGGCATGGCCCTCTTTTTTTATATGATCAAACATTTTGTTTCTTGTTGGAAAGACACCGCTACATACATTACACTTAAAAATCTGAAAACAAATACATTAAAATTTTTTTTGAAATAAATATGATATCGTGATTTCGAGAAATGAAAACAGACTCAATGGCTAATAAGTTGAGATATTTTGTAACTTAAAAAGTGATTAATAAAAGTTTTCATAAAAATTCAGTAATTCGGTGCCTCTAATAACTATAGGTGTAAGAAGGATTGAAATTAATTCATTGTTGATAACACTTGTACTACACCTCAAAAAAGGAACTCTAAAATGGCTGTTTATGTTTTTGGCGACATTATTAAAAATCCTATGTTACTTGGGTCACTGTTGCCTAACTAAGTTGAAATGGTTCAGTGGTCTGGAATCATTCCACTATATACAAACACATAGGTACCAGATGTTGGGCCTGATACATGTAAAGCTCAAATATGTACGGAATTTCCTGTCAAGCATAAGTCAATTAACTAAATTAGGATACCCTCCATCTCAATCCTACTTAATCGCTTCTGGAAATATATCAGTGCATCAGCCCTACTTTATCCTGAAATTCTGAAAACTAATGGTATGCAGCAAGATAGTTTTGGACAGGTATGCACATGCCAAATATTCCACAGACCAGCCTTGGTCCTGGTCTGTACCTGGTATTTTTCTTGCACGTCTAACCGTTTCAAGTGACCTTAGTATATCAGGAGTGTAGGAAAAATGCAGATTTAAACTCACCTGTGCAGGTTTTTCATGTCTTATATTTCCAGAATGATTATCACTGAAAAAGAATATTATTGAAATAATTTTTATTTGCCTGATTCACATAATTTAAAAAATCAAATAACAATACAGATGGAACAGAAACATGTATTATATCAGGCTAAGAAAGTATACAGATGAGTTTTAGTTACAAGTAAAAACACAACAGTCATACTCAGTACCTTTGATATTGAAAATTCTTTCACATAAAAATTACATTAAGGGCAAATCTATACAGATCTGAAGAGTTCTTACTTCTATTTGGTGCTAAGTTAGTTAGAACCTTTAAAATCATATCTAGTTTAATCTTAAAGATGACTAGTTCACATCTATAAAACAGACCTTTGAGAGTTGTGTGTGGCTGCAATATCTTCAGGCACTTGTTCTCCATTATCAACTGCTGTTTGCTCCCCATCTACATCACCATTAGTACTGGCAAATGATAGAAGAACAATCATACTATCTTACCATTAAATCGCCTAGATGCTCAAACTTTAATGATTTAGAAACCAGTGTTTCAGTTTGAAAATCACATTTTGTCTTTAGTTTCAGCATCTGTTTTATTTTTGTTTTTATATTGAGCAAATTTTTAATTATCCCAAATGTTCTTTACATGTAATGGTATTATGGTTACTATCACTAACTTCTGTTAAATATGTCAATATCATGTAATATTTGACTGGTAAATATTAAAATCTAGCTTTCCATTTTATAAAGAAGTTTTGTATATTTAAACTACTGTAGTCCTGATGGACAGTATACACCTAGTATAAACCCAGTATATACCTTTGTGCCTCAGCTACACTTGCCTCCTGGTTGCTGTTGTTATGGTTGATCTGGGAAAACCAAAGATCATTAAACCAAAAGTCTGCAAGAGTTGTTCCCCTTAGCACTTCAAATTTTCAAACTTGGATTACTTTTTGTTAAAGGATTATTGTAAAACATTCATCAGATTCATTCAAATGTGATGCTCAACCTTAAATAGAAATTGCTGAATATTTAATAAAAACTAATAAATCTATTGTGACTGTATGCAAGCACAAGAGTTCTTCATACAAAATTAAGAATATCTCAGATTTTTCCACAACAAAAAATGTACAACTGATATTTGTTTTTTTTTTCATAGTGAACAAACCTGAGATTCCTCAGTCTTTAAACTTTCATCATTTTCATTGCCTTTCTTTTTCCACTTTTTTTTTTCTCTTTCTTTTCTGTAACAAAGAAATATCACTAATTAACCAGTGCTAAATACTCAAACGTAAGTGATTTGGCTTGAGCAAATTTGTATTTCTTATCCACCAAAGTATCTGCAGACGATTTTTAAGGAATGTGAAAATATGCCAATTTTGATGTAAGCCCATTAAGCTAACCTCATGTGGATGGCAGGCCCTCTCTTTTAATAACTTAGGTTCTCTCCAGGATCATTCCGGCTAAGTATCATCAAAATCCGTTCAACGGTTATTTATTTTCACAGTGAATGATGAAAACACAATGGTTATTGATCATCCTAACCTATTTGATCACACAGATGGACTCAACAGAATTAAATGTATATATACAGTATAATTGTCTGACCTGGTGTCCTGTGTAGTAACTTCTGTCTCCTCACACACCAATCCATTAACTGCCTTAGAGAGCTCATCTTCCTCCTCCTCCTCCTCTTCCTCTAATGTGGCACGCTTTTGCTGTTTCCTTTTTTTCTTTTGCTTTTTCGACAACCTGAACAAAAGTAGTTGGTCACATGTCATTTATCAAATAACATTGTTTTTTATATCCCTCAGGATTGCATATCTTCACTGTTGTTTTATAAGTAGTCAGGCATTCATTCTCACTCCCATGGGAGTCTCCATGAAATATTGATAAATTCATCCTGTCTTACACATAAAAGTGGTGTTCACCTGAAGATGATTCCAGGTTTTTGAGGATGTAAACAGTTTAAAACTGACTCATGATTGATCACCCCTTGTGAAGTCATTCTGATGATAGGATACGGAGAGGGGAGCTACTACATACATTCAAGTATCTTAACCAAGAACACAACAGTATAGGACTGTCTATGATGTCAGTTTCCTGATAAACACGGACCCAGGTATGGATCAAACCAGAACACATCTGGGATTTTAACACGAGGTCACAAGTCTGATGCTCTGCCACTTGAGAAAGCACAGCTTAAGAGCAGAAAGGGCCAAAGATGTATTAATAGTGACCATGACACATTAATTATATAATAGCAATTACTGTTAAGGTCATGTTCAATATAATACAACTCAACTAGTGACCATAAGGTCATATTATATGCTCTCCTTAACAAAAGCCTAATGAAATGTTATTATTTAGGTCCTTTAACAATCTGTATTACGGTTTGTCAAATTGTTAGAGAAGGAGTCCATCATACGATCGTCACACAGCCCTAGTGCCCATACGATCGTCACACAGCCCTAGTGCCCATACGATCGTCACACAGCCCTAGTGCCCATACGATCGTCACACAGCCCTAGTGCCCATACGATCGTCACACAGCCCTAGTGCCCATACGATCGTCACACAGCCCTAGTGCCCATACGATCGTTACACAGCCCTAGTGCCGATACATGAGGAAGTTGCTGACAGTTACACAGCATGTGACTTTAAAGTAGGGTGGGATAGTGTCTCATCAACAACTGTACAGAACTAGAACACAGGCACATCTAAATACAGGGACAACAATAAAACACAGGGAGATGAAAATTACAAACAATAGGAACATTACAATAAAAAAAAACATATACATAAGGATAACAAAAAAACAGGGAAAAAACAAACACAACATAGGGACATGACACTAACAAAAAACAAGGAAAAAACAAACACATAACACAGGGACATTACATTAACAGAACACAGGGAAAAAACAAACACATAACACAGGGACATGACATTAACAAAACACAGGGAAAAAACAAACACATAACACAGGGACATTACATTAACAAAAAACAGGGAAAAAACAAGCACATAACACAGGGACATGACATTAACAGAACACAGGGGAAAAACAAACACATAACACAGGGACATGACACTAACAAAACACAGGGACTTGAAAATAACAAAACACAGGGACATAGGGACATGAAAATAACAAAACACAGGGACATGAAAATAACAAAACACAGGGACTTGAAAATAACAAAACACAGGGACATAGGGACATGAAAATAACAAAACACAGGGACATGAAAATAACAAAACACAGGGACTTGAAAATAACAAAACACAGGGACATAGGGACAAAAATAACAAACACATAACACACAGGGACATTAAAAATAACAAAACACAGGGAAAAAAAAATAACAAAACACACATAACACAGGGACATGACATTAACAAAACACAAGGACATGAAAGTAATAATAGAACACAGGGACATGAAAATAACAAAACACATGAAAATAACAAAACACAGGGACATGAAAATAACAAAACACAGGGACATGAAAATAACAAAACATAGGGACAAGAAAATCACAAAACACAAAATTTTCTGGATAAGACATACAGTATAGGAATTAATACACAAGTTTTATAGATAAGACATGTAGGAATTAATACACAAAATTTTCTCGATAAGACATATAGGAATTAATACACAAAATTTCCTCAATAAGACATATAGGAATTAATACACAAGTTTTATAGATAAGACATGTAGGAATTAATACACAAGTTTTATAGATAAGACATGTAGGAATTAATACACAGATTTCATAGATTAGACAAACATGATTTTTTTTTCTAAAGATTCAATCATTCATCTTACCAATATATATCTTTAATTATGCGATAGATTATCTAACAAAAGTAATACCCATGGGATATGGCCAAATCAATACTATTCTAAATCAACAGCTTTCCTAACCTAAGGCTGCTTTCCTTGTCAATATGATTATAGTGTGTGACTGCATCCACTAACCCATGTTACTTGTAACTGTATATGAATTTTGAAGGAGACAGAAAATACCTGATCTTTGACCCCATGTTGAAGAGAGGTCAGATAACAATGTTAGATGTTCACATGTCTTCTATACAAAGCCTGACTGACAGTATACAAGTAGCTCTCCATGGCTACCATAAATATCCAGAAAGACACTACCTCTCTCTAGCTACTATAAATATCCAGAAAGACACAGTATAAATATCAAAAGAACTTACCTCTCTTTAGCTCTCTCTCTTTATGGCTCTCTCTACCATAAATGTCCATGAAAGACCATAAATATCCAGTACCTCTCTCTCTCCAGAAAGACACTACCTCTCTCTAGCTACCATAAATATCCAGAAAGACACTACCTCTCTCTAGCTACCATAAATATCCAGAAAGAACTACCTCTCTCTAGCTACCATAAATATCCAGAAAGACACTACCTCTCTCTAGCTACACCTCACTGTAACTACCATACATTGTTTAACGATTGATGCATGTCACTACAAAAATAAGGTAACATCGGTATTTTCATTGCCACCTCGTTTTTAATAGGAAGTTCTCATATAAATATCTCGATCTCTCATCTATAAGCTTAAGATCTAAATAAAACTGACATCAGCCATTTTGTAACAATCTACCATTCTCTCTATCAATATTTGAGCTACATGTATGAAATTGTTGTAGTCACCCTAAATATATAACATGACAAACATGAAGGAGTACACCTCAATGAAATCTAATTACACTGTTCACCACATGTTTACTATAAAGCTCTGGAATGACATAAAATTTTAAAGGCAAGCAGATATTGTCAGTTATAATTGTTATACATCTTACATCGGGTATTCAATAAGACTGAAACTTTTCCTGCATGAAATAAAGACACATCATACCATAATAGCAAAACTTTTCAGACCCACTATCTTGAGGAGTGAGATTGGGAATTTCAATTTAAAGGGCCATTAAGGCTTGCCAAGTGTTTGACAACTTTGGAATCTTTTGTAAGGGTTGAGATCCCACTATCATCTCATCATCCAAGGCATGTATGATACTTGTGTCATACTGATTCTACAATTGTACCTCTTTATCAGATCACTGACTGGTCACAATATATAGAAACATATACAGACTCAACCCTAGGATAGGAAACATTAAACTGTCATCCTCAAACTGATACCCCTCTTCCCCCTCCCCCTACTATCATCACCCACCAGATGCAAGAGCATATATGGTTTCAGTCACAGTGTAAGACATTGAATTTCTCTAGACTCTAGGCTTCATCTAACCAAAATTGTCACACACACCAGTGTTTAATTAACTGATTACCATGACAATGAAAATTTCTGAATACAAAATATCTGCATGAACATCTACACATGACCTCTTCATGCTCCTGTACCGATTCATTGAAACTGTTTCACAAGTTTGGTAAAAGTTGACCAGATAAAACTTCATACAAAAGCTGGTATTTAATGAGCTGGCAACCATGACAAACAAAATTTCCGCTCAAAAAATCTACATGCTCATTTACACGTGGTCCCTGGCATTTCTCTGTAGTTCATAGAAATCAGTTCTACCTGATTCCAGTATATTCTCCCTAACATCACTGCATGGGGCTATAATAACACAGAATGGATGAATCTTGTAGTGACTGATTATTTTTCTCTAATCCAGCAGGTCTTCAAATGTAGGTAACAAAGATGTTATTAAAAGGAAGCTGCCCTGGTTGCAGTGATTGCTAATGTGCTGACAGTATAACCTGTGCAATCAAGTGTTAGTTTTAGACCACTTTCCCCAAGAACATGAGTTTGAGATGCACTGGTGGTGGGAGATGATGCCAGTTGGGTTAGTGGTTCATTGTGATAGAATGTTGGTTTTACTCAATGGGGTTTTCCTCCAACAACCAAAACAACATGTTTTCCCTAAGCTGTGTCATGATAAAGCTCTAGAGCTTATGTTAATTGTTAATTTGGAAACAACACAAAATAAAAGGCTCAGAAATGCTTGGTTTTGTTGATGTGATTCTTAAGATTGTTCATGTAATATACAATTGTAATATACAATTGTTTTACATGTAAATGTGAAGGGAGGTTCCCAAATCTGAACTCAAACAAAATAATCACACCTGTTAAATTGTGGCTAAAATTATAGTTCAGGGTAAAAGATTTTTTTTGTGGTATGATTCAAATAAAGCATATTTACATGAACAACTATGGTATCTAGGGAGGGGGTAAACACTGCTGCATCTAATTGTTAATACAATACAACAGGATACAATTATTTTGTCAGGAAGAGTATATAAGGGCCACACAATACGTGACACTTCATACCTTATAGCCCAGCACCACAGACAAGCATCACAAGTGACAGGGGATACACATCCCAGTTAAAGCCAGTCTGTGAGAAAACGTTTTTGATCAAGCTAGACTTGATATTGGAGTGTGTGTGTGTACTCATTACTTCAAAACAAGGCCTTTTTAAGACAATGCTTTGGTCAGTGGTGTTTGTACTCGGGCCTATGTCAGTACTGACTCTGCCCACCACTACACAAGTGTATACTGACCCCCCAGCTGCGACCAATCCAACCGTTTCTTCTGTGCCCCTACCCCAAGGGGAACTGGAGCTCATCCTGGACACCCTTCTGACTCAGGTAGACAGACACAACACCTGGCTAGAGACACTACAAGAAGATGTCTATGGCCTCGGTGATTCTGTAGAATTACATTCGCTTGACCTCCAGAAACTCAAGGAGAAATTCCACAAGATAAATAAGGAACAGAACAAATCTTCCAAACAAAGCAGAGAGGACAGCAAAGGCTCAGATGAACATCTCTTATCACTTGACAAGTCATCATGGGACAAAAGTGGATCATCCCAGGATTCCTCTAACTATGTATATGATGAGGAGGACTGGGAACTTTTCAGGAACAAAGAGTATGAGTTCATGGAGAAATACGGCACAAATGGCAACAGAAGAAGCAAAAGTGAGAGGACTGCTTCCGAAAAGAACTCAGAGGAAGAGAAGACATATGGAAACAATGTACCACAATATACCAGAGAGGAACAAAGTTACAGGGAACAACGTGTGTACGACAACACTAATGAAAGTAGCGAGGAAGGGACAGTTCATGAAAGTCATAGCTCACATGAGAGTCAGAGTGACAGCAATGAAGAAAATTATGAAGATCATGATCATTATGAAAGCCATGACAACAGTGATGGACACAACTCAAAGTAACAATAATACATAATATGTACCAATATATATAGTTGACCTGAGTTAAAAATGACAGGAATTAAAATTCTAAGGAATACATTGACTATAAAAACATAATCTTGTTCTCTTGGTAAGTGTTTGATCTTTTACGTTATCTTCAAGTTTTAAAATATGTACATTTTTTGTATGGAACTGCAGAAACATGAAATATTCCATAATTTTTAATAAAAATAAGTCACATGACTGTTGAGAAATCCTTTGTTATTCCATTGTTTGATTAGATTGGACATTGCATAATTAATTGGTTGAACAAAATAACGATGAAGTCACCAATGGAACTTGTAAGAGATAATACCCATATATTTTCAGTAAGACTTTTTCTTATTTCTGTACTCACATTTGTTTGTAACAATAACCAGCTGGTATATTTCTGTACTCACATTTGTTTGTAACAATAACCAGCTGGTATATTTCTATACCACATATGTTTGGTACAGTAACCAGCTGGTATATTTCTATATCTCATATGTTTGGTACAGTAACCAGCTGGTATATTTATGTACTCAAATTTGTTTGTTACAATAACCAGCTGGTATGTTTCTGTACTCACATGTTTGGTACAGTAACCAGCTGGTGTATTTATGTACTCAAATTTGTTTGCCACAATAACTAGCTGGTATGTTTCTGTATTCACATTTGTTTGTTACAATAACCAGCTGGTATTTTTCTGTACTCACATGTTTGGTACAGTAACCAGCTGGTATATTTCTGTACTCACATGTTTGGTACAGTAACCAGCTGGTATATTTATGTACTCACATGTTTGGTACAGTAACCAGCTGGTATATTTCTATACCACATATGTCTGGTACAGTACTTAGCTGGTATATTTCTGTACTCACATTTGTTTGGTACAGTAACCAGCTGGTATATTTCTATACCACATATGTTTGGTACAATGTCCAGCTGGTATATTTCTGTACTCACTTTTGCTTGGTACAATAACCAGCTGGTATGTTTCTATACCACATATGTTTGGTACAGTTACCAGCTGGCATATTTCTACACCACATTTGTTTTGTTCATTAACCAGCTGGTATATTTTTATAGGGGAAATTTGACAATCAATGAATATCTAGCCTTCAGTGTATTTCAGCATATTTCATAGTTTAATATATTAGACAGCTGGTATATTACAGTAACCCTTACAGCTGTAGGATGTTAAGCAATACAAACCTAAGTTAAACAGTATTACAATGACTTGGTTAAGTTACTAGAACCATGGTTAACTAGTACTACATTGACTTGGTTAAGTTACTAGAACCATGGTTAACCAGTACTACATTGACTTGGTTAAGTTACTAGAACCATGGTTAACTAGTACTACATTGACTTGGTTAAGTTACTAGAACCATGGTTAACCAGCACTACATTGACTTGGTTAAGTTACTAGAACCATGGTTAAACAGTACTACATTGACTTGGTTAAGTTACTAGAACCATGGTTAACCAGTACTACATTGACTTGGTTAAGTTACTAGAACCATGGTTAACCAGTACTACATTGACTTGGTTAAGTTACTAGAACCATGGTTAAACAGTACTACATTGACTTGGTTAAGTTACTAGAACCATGGTTAACCAGTACTACATTGACTTGGTTAAGTTACTAGAACCATGGTTAACCAGTACTACATTGACTTGGTTAAGTTACTAGAACTATGGTTAACCAGTACTACATTGACTTGATTAAGTTACTAGAACCATGGTTAACCAGTACTACATTGACTTGGTTAAGTTACTAGAACCATGGTTAAACAGTACAACATTGACTTGGTTAAGTTACTAGAACCAGTAAACAGTATTACATTGACTTGGTTTAGTGACTAGAACCATGTATTAAGGTACTCACTTTTGTTTGGTATCCTCTTCCTCCTCACGAGGCTCTGTACCAGGGTCTTCTCCGAGGTCTAGTCCATCCAGAGCCTCTGCCAGCTCTCCGTCCTCCTCCTGCATCTGTTGTCGTAGAAATGCAACATTTTCTTTGTGTTTCTTAGACCGCTCATGATTTGAAAAACTGAAAATAACAATTTCAATTTATACATCATCTGTCATAAGATGAAAAGCTATACAACAAAATTATCATTTTGATGGAATTATCAGGGATTTTATATGGAGAAAGCATATTCTGCTTTTTACTGTCATGCAACTTCAACATCGAAGGGCCAATTCCAAAATATACATACACTCTAAACCTTTCAGGTAAATCATGAAAAAATAGTAGGATCTAAATGTACCACCCTATGGATACTTTGGACAAGTGTGGACAGATAAAGAATCCTGAGTACCGTATTTTCTGGGTTATAAGCCGCACTGGTTATAAGGCAGAGAACCAATTTTCAATGATTTTTCAATTTGATCCTAATATAAGCCACACTGGAATAAAAGCGACACCCTTTCCTACAATATAATGACCACTATTGTTGACATTCCCAGTAACAGATAACAGAACACAGTTCTTATGACATGGTAACTGTTACGCTGTTCACTGATACAACAGACAACAGAGGGCGATTTATCAAGGTCATCAGCGAATCATTTAATAAAGTTTGCAAACGAATTATACACCAATAATCCTTTATTTCAATGATGTAATTCAAAAACGCAAATAGCAAATATTTCACTCCATTTGTGTCTGTACTGTTGAATATCAACGAAGGCACTTGCATGCTGACCAAATTCTTATAGTCCTATATCATTTCTTCTTATAACATACATGAAGCCATTCATGTCACAAGCAGAGTGTTTGCTCTAGAGTTTGACCTATAACCTGATGACTTATTGATCCCAGAATGCAAAAGGCTATTGTAAACTTCCGCTGTGGCTTCCAAGTAACTACGAAAGTCCATAGGATTTTATTGTGATTCATATTAAAAGGTATGATTAGTTAAATACACAAAAATGATGTTTTTATTTCAATCTTCAATTTATACTGTATAGGATAGCTAATGACAGTTCTAGACGATCTGCAGCTTCTTATGATACAGGAGTATACTGTCTGGTACTGGTGCACTGGTACACTTCCCAGCTTTTTTGTTTCATCATTCCAATTTTTTTTTTTGTCCACATATAAGCTGCACAAGTATATAAGCCACACGCCAGACTCACAAGGAAAAGAGGTGCAGCTTATAATACGGAAAATATGGTACTTATTATCACTGTGACACACCCGACTCACAAGGAAAAAAGGTGCTGCTTATCATACGGAAAATATGGTACTTATTATCACTGTCATACAATATCAAATGAATTCTTATGCAACTTAGTACTGTAATTAAGAGACTTGGACATGATCAGAGTTTGTCGATAATCTTAAAATGACAGATATTAACCTAGCAATTAATTGGTACCTTAAAATAAAGTCTTAGATTCCATCAAGATATATAACAAGCATGCAAACGAGACATGTTTACACGTGTGTTGAATCTAGGATTCTGAAAACTGCTGTTTAGGTACTCACGCTTTATCGCTCTTGAATGCCTTGTTACACGCTACACAGAAAAAATCATCATAGTATTCCTCTTCTTCCTCCTCCTCGCCTACCTGGACCCCTTCCACATCGCCATCATCTTGAAAATCACAAGAACACATGATAACATGATATTGAAAACATTCATCAAATATCACAAGATTTTAATGGAGAATTTAACTCAAAATAAGTGATAAAGCTGTAACTTTTGTTCCAAAATCCCACATAATCCTTAGTGTAATGAAGAAAATCCCTTGTCCTCATTTCTGAAAAGGCCTTTGCTATATCAGTGATAAAGACAAAACATCAACCTTCATGTGGAAAATATTCACCAACTACTGGATACAGCTTGATTATAGATTAAAACCTTACTGCTTTGTTGCTTGTTTAATAAATCAGTGGGTTTAAAATTTTTTTAAGAATTTGTCTTTTTCTGTTTACAAAACTGTTACCCACACTAACAACAGCTTTCCTACTTTAACCATATCCATTCCTAATAAACCACAACTACTTAAATGCTTCTAAAAATTATTATGAAAAACTATTTTTGAAAATAATTCACTTCAGTGCACTACATGAATTTTAAAGCAAAATATAAGAGTAATTTATACCTTCTCTATGTGTTTCACCAAACTGGTGGGAAAGACTCCTCTCCAACTTCTGTAAGTCATCCTCAAGCTCTGTCATAGCTGACCAATCTGTCTCCTTGTAATTCTCCATCTTCCTAAGAAACCAGGGCCAATCTTAATATTTGGTATACTCAGTGTAAAAATGATTCATTGAAAAGTGTTCATATTTTTAATGGATACTTGCATCTTCAGGTGTTGTTCATTTCAAAGCACCTGTTGTATCTCATCTTACAAGGCTTCTTCTTAATCTTGAACCTCATTATAAAACAAAGAATTCCTCCAGTTTCTACTGAGAAATGTTAAATGGTAAATCAAAACTGATCTGACACAAAACATTTGTGAAATTTTACCTTACTTTTATGTCCCTTTTCAACAACTTTGTATCTCTTCAATCGTCTCCATAGACTCATGTTTTTTTAAATTTTCTTTCCAGCCTTGTATGAATATAAAGTGTTAATAATTCCCATCAAAATATGTTAAAACTTAGTTATATATAATGGTGTGAAACAGAAACTTACTTCTGTCTCTCCTGAATCTGTCTCTCTCGGTTATCTTTGGCTTTCCTCTTTATCTCCTCATTCCTTTCTTCTAACAGTTTCTAGAACAAATTTTTACTCTCTTGTGTTTATATCATCATGTTATGATAAAAAAGTGATATGATTATGTGCATATCAAAGCATTATATTATTGCTTCAACATAAATTAAGGAGAACACAGAGAATACCACCACATACACATCCTACTTCCTGAAACAAATGGACACCACTATAGATCCCCACACTTCGTCTGACACTAAAGTTATGTAGCATAAAAATGAATCAGAAGGTGATGTCTGAAAATGGACAACTGGTCACCACTGAGGAAGCCTGCATAACCTAACTACTTGGTAAACAGACACTGCACAAGTTTGAACAAGGAATAATGTTTTTTTTACAAGTACACACAGAGTTTTAATATAATCAACAATTACTTGGAGGAAATTTTATCTCAAAAAGCTCAGTATTGCAACATATCTGGTAATCAGATATGCACATTCCAGTAAATTTTATTATCATCAAACTTCTTACTTAACACTATAACCATGAAAAAAAAATTCCATAATTTAATCAAAGACTTTGTTGACAGACATATCTACTAAAAACAAAAAAATCTATTTTGTTTTTAAATGCAGAGGAGAATATTCAAATATAACACAACTTTCAAAAGGCTCAAATGTATAATGACAGCATGTGGTACCCTGATACAAATGTATAATGACAGCATGTGGTACCCTGATACAAATGTATAATGACAGCATGTGGTACCCTGATACAAATGAATAGTACATACCTTATATGCTTGTACTCGTTTGTCTCTTTTCTTAATAAACTTCACCAGGGCCTAAAAGAAAGAATACAAGTTGATATCAAAACTGCGCTATTCCAGTCACACACTTAGGCATTCTTGTATAAGGATATAATGATCTAATTAAATTAGCAATTCAGCAAAGATTAAACAGTATTTGTTGTTTAATTGATACAATTTTTAATAATGATATACAACTGTATTTTTATATGAAATTTTTTAAAGAACTTGTACTGAATCATGATATATTAATTTTCAATCTTGTTCTTGAATTAAAATTGTGTTCTAATTATTTTTTCATTTTTTTCTTCTTGCAAATCTCAGTCATTTTTTGCTGAAACTCTCCAGTTTCATCTGATAACAATGTATATATTTATTTCTGAAAATAATCAAGATAGCATTGTGTGAGTGAGCTTGTCACTACATAAAATAATGTCTGAACTAAAAATACTAACCCTGATTTGTTCATTCCTCTCCTTTTTGGCAGCATCTCGCAGCTTCTTGTTTTCTGCCTCCATAAGCCTTCGACATCGACGATCTGGTGCCTCCCTTGTATCATACTTTTCAACCCACACATAAGATTTGGCTGTCTGGTAACTCTCCCAGAAATCATAAAATGGCTTCACCACCTACAGATACAACACGAGAAGTAATTCATAATAGCATTATTACTGAGTCTAAGATGTCATAATAAAGTGTAGGTCATAAACAGATCATCATATGGTTCATCATCTTGCTCTCTGATTTAGTATTGTCTGCCTTGTCTTAAAAAAATCTTCCAATGAAAGATTTGTTGATAATTCAGAAGCATCAATAAACATCATTGAAAAGATATGTAAGGTTTAAACCACAAAAGTAAAGTACATATGATGAACATTCCATGTTATACAGTACCATACGATGGTAGAAAATGGTAACATACTTCTTCATAGGAACTCTTGGAGTTTCCAAATTCTGGAAAATCACAGTCACTTTCTCTGTCATCCATGAAATGGTAATCTTCTTCAGATAGTTTTGTAAACACGTCTTGGTATACAGAATAAAATCCCTAAAATAAGTCAAACAGATAAAAAACTATTTCCTGTGTGAAAAAAAATCAGAATCTTATTATATGCAATGAAAAGCAACTCCACTTCAACAAATAAATAATTTCATAAAAACCTAAGAGATTTAAACATGAGCAGAGACAACAAATTAATCATTTCATTAGACTCCATCGAGACATATACTATGGCTTACACTTTCATCATCCCCGAATCCTGTATAACATGAAGAATTGAAGTACTGGAAAACATCCATACTATCATCTTCATAATCATCACCATGACCAAGACCTAAACACAAAAAAAAATTTGTTTCTAAACAAATCATACATCAATTAATTTGTCAATATTTTTAATGTTGATTAGTCATCAGGATGTATCATGAAGTCTTAAAGTTAATTAACATTAAAGGAATGATTTCACCATTTGTTTAAACCAATTTTTGCTCTTAAGAATGATTATAGTATACAATTTTGTCATCCATCAATCTCAATACTCAATAACAAATCACACAAATCAGTAAAATAATTGATTCATTCATAAATTGTATCAAATACCTGTGTAATAATTGATAATTATACAGTTGGGTTCGGTACCAGACATAGGGTTATTGCCTGATACAGTAAACAAAACTGTTATATGACAAACTGACTTACCTCCCTTGAGTATAGCTTCTCTATGTTTATCATACCATGCACGCTCCTGTGGGTCACTGAGTACATCATATGCCTGTTGTACAAGGCGGAACTGTGTTGTACATTCTTCCACATTGTCTGGATTTTTATCTACAAATGGCAAAGGAAGACTTCTTTAAGAAAATCGCATTTATTAAATGTACAATCCAAAATGTAAATATACTGGTAAGAAGTCTACAGAATTGTTAACATGGCAAGATCAGAGAAATAAATCAGTGTTTTTGTATCAAAATCAGAAGTCAATTTACTAAACCATAGTCTCTTATAGTATAATAGGCTTTAGACTATTAAGATCTCTGCTGTGATTATGGGGTTTCATCAAACAGAAGAAAACCTGATAAGTAATATGGAAGTGGTGTTCAGTATGTGTTTCTATGTAAATATCAAACATGGTACCTTGATTGATTTAAGATATCATGTTTGATATTTCTTAAACAATTATTTAAGGTAAAAGATATAATATTTGAATACAAAATGCCACTAAAAGGTAATTAAGAAATTACATGATATTTTAACAATGGAATTAATTCAATGCCTCTGTAAGGACTCGAACCCAGGTCCTCTGGCCTTCTAGTCTTGCGCTTACCCAATCAAGCTAAAAAGTTCTCTCAAGCCAAGCAGTATATTGCTTCTAGTATTTACCAAATTACATACTTCCCCTCCAAGAAAGAATTTGTCTGAGTTTTCATGAGATTACAGCGATGTTTGTGAAGTAACACTAAATATCATTTCTGATTCCCTATATTGGTGCCAATGTAAATGAGGTCATTACTTATTTTAATGCTTCTGCAAGGATTTGAACCCATCACCTCTGGCTTTCTAGTCTTACACTCAACTGATTGAGATTAAGAGAGGTTCTTTCTAGCTGAGTTGTATAATGTGACTAGTATTTACCAGGGTTACATCTTTTTATATCATGGCTGCAGAGCTAACAATTTTCATGGAAGCATCACAACACATTTTTTAACGAGATAATATGGCCCATGTTTTTAGTCATTCCAATGATCTGCAAACCCTTTGTTCTTTACAATAAAAACATTGTAATATTTTTCACTTTCAATGTTACAACATTGTAATATCTTTCACTTTCAATGTTACAAATTGATGATTTGTCAAAACCATGCATGTTATATACTCTCAAAATATATGCATGCTTCTTTCATGTGTACCTGGATGCCACTTGAGGGCCAATTTTCTGTAGGATTTCTTGAGATCATCAGCTCCAGCATCTCTCTCTACACCAAGAACCTCATAGTGACATTTCATTTTTGTCTTCCCCGCCATTTCTAGGTTTCTGTAATAGAAAAGTTCAAAAGCACTGTTATAATTACGAATATATGTTCATGAATATGAGAATACAGAATCAATGAGAATAATAACCTGGATGGAAGACCAAAAGGCCTTTTCCCAATTTTCATAAAGTTTGTTGAAAATAATTTTCAAATGTAAGCATTAATTCTCTTGCCTTAATCATGTTATACATTAATTTACTACATGTACCTATACATGTAGAGCCCTTGTTTCCTTTACTTATATAGATTAAAACCAGTGACTACACCCAAACATTGGCGAGATTCATGTCTTGTTCAAACCTCTGTAGTACATAGAATACTAAAACTAATTCAAAAACATCTACAGTACCCTTATAAAAGAAGTGAAGTGGCATCTTACTTGTTAGCTAAAAATTTGAAATTTGAACGAGTTGAATTCACATTATTTACGTCATTAATCTATATCACTTGGATATCTTAAAACTAATACAATTAAATTTGCTTTAACTACTGATTATCCCGTCTCTTAATCTAAACAAGGTTTTATTGTCATATCTTCATGATACAGTCGTGCATAAAATGGTACAAATGTTGTGAAATCCAACAATGAACAGATAAAATATCCTTTCAGATTGATAATTCAGAAAATTAATTCTGTTATGTGCGCTTGTATACAAGTTCACGCAAAGGTTGTACATGTGACCAGCTCTAACAATACCGTTAATGTTTGTCGCAGAAGAGTGACACGATAGTCCATACAACTGTATATTATCCCGTTTCTACTAATCCATTCACATATCAACACAACGCTGTAACCTAACAGCCAGACAGAACCACGATGGCACGTTACAATCCAAAGACGAGAGAATAGCCCGGAAGTTGCGCAATAACTTTCGGAAGTCTCTGTATTGTGAGATATTTGTATGTAAAATCCCGACGCACACAGAAATGTTTATAAAATCTGCTCTAACAAACGCGCCGAAATTTGCTTGATATCGTGTCTTGGCGGGTCATAATTACTTAAACGCTTTATGCATTATCAGAATATTCTAAAGCTTTTGCTTAATTAAGAAACACTGCTGATTTTAGAACTTTTCGTTAAGCTAAAGTCGTTTGAAGCTTCTATCACATTTGACCCCTGTGATCTTGAATATGGGTTAAGGTAAAACTTTCATAAGCTTCATTCCAGGAACCTTCCAGGCATATTGGTTATTGAGAAGAAATTGTACATGTAACTTTTAACAAATCTTATATAGGTCAAGGTAATTTCTTCTCACATTGTGACACTGTTCCAGGAACCTTTAGGACAAATATCATGATTCTACGCCTTTTGGTTAATTAGAAAAATTCTATGCCTTTTGGTTATTTAGAAAAGGTTTTTTTTTTAAGTTGCCAACATAATGGAATCCTGAACCTTCCATCCAAATATCATGATTCTAAGGCATTTTGATTATTGAGAAGTCATTTGAAGGTTTCAATTAATTTAACCCATGTGACAGTGAATGTAGGTCACCAAATAACATGGGTTTTATCCCAGAAGTCTTCCATCCATATATCAGGATACTTGGTTTTGATTTAAATTGAATTTATGTGAAAGTTTAAAATTTGACCCTTTTGACCAGAGACGTATAAATACGTCTCTGTTTTGACCTTGAAGAGGTAATGGTAATTTCTTTTCACAAACTTTGATGGACCTGATTGTAGTAACCTTTCAGTCAAACATATCATGATTCTAGGCTTTTCGGTTATTGAGAAGAAATTGTCTGAAGGTTTTAACAAGTTCGACTCTGCAGCCTTTAATGCATGATAGACTTGATTACAGGAACCTTCAAGCCAAATATCATACTTCTGGGCCTTTTTGGTTGAATAGAAGAAGTTTTTTTAAAAGTTTTTGTCCAATTTGACCTGTAACTATGAATATGGATCAAGGTAATTTCTTTTCACAAATATTCAACCGAAAACCTTCCAGCAAAATATCACAATTTAAGAAGAAATGTTATAAAGGGGAAAATCTGAAGCCAGACAAGTGACATTAAAGAAAAGCTCACCTGGCTGACCTGAAGAGCCAAGTTAGCTAAAAATTCATCTCCAAAAAATGAAAGGAACATTTTAGGATAAAGGAATACACTACATATCCTTTGGTATTGAACTATGGAAGATACACATTTCATCTTAGAAATAATGATAACTTGTCCTAACAATCAGTATATTTATACAATAGTCCAAATACATGTATATATAGTGATAGAATTTTATCCCATAACAACAAGAGGGTCCTACACATGAAAGTAGTTCCGAAAACAATGTGATAACAAACTATCCAAGATGGCTGCTTATCAGCCTTTTTTTCCCCTGATCAGTCCGAAAATTAAACTGAACATTAAGTGACCAAGTGGAAGCTTCAGATCCACCTTTTACTTCACAAGAAATACTGATAATAATCTTTGATTGTCAAAATCTGAGATGGAGGCTTCTCAGCCTTTTGTTTATCTTCTCGGTCCAAAAATAAAAAATGGGAATAATTGGAGACCAAGCTGCAACTTCACATGAAAGTTGAGTAAGATCCATACAGTACTTTTCAAGAAATGGGGATAAAAAGAACTGTTACAGACGGATGGCAGGCTGATGGACATAAGATGTAGGGTGATTTGAATCATTTGATGATGCTGGGGCTAAAAACATCCGTTAGATATTTGTAACTACAAGAAAGTACAAAAAACTAAACATCAATATTTTATTCTTTAATTGCATCACAGTGAATAGACAAATTTACTGACTTCTTTTCATCATACAGAAAATGGAGTGTAAAATAGGTGTATAATTCATTCTAACAGAAAATAAAAGTGGCAAATTAGGTCAAAAGTAATAGAAATATATATCTGAAGTTTATTGAAATGCTAGAAAATAATTGAAACACTAGAATAACCAAAACCCAATTGACGTTGCTATCATCATAATAGGACATTATAGTCTTGAAAACCATATAGATGTCCCCTGATTTAACTAGCTGTAGTGTTTCAAAAGTTACTTTCAGAATTTATCAATCAATTCAACAGCATAAGCTTCACCTACAGCTATTTTGTCTCGATCTCTTGTAATCCATTTCTGGTTTACTGCAGCCATTCACCAATGTTCCACTCTTTCACTGGTAGCATTATAGAAGAAATCTGAGTTTCCTTTACAATGGGATATTATCACAACACTTTCCTAAAATGGGGAAATATTGCCAAATAAGCTAGCATCAGCTGTCCATTCTTTCATAAAAAACAATAACAATAAAAATGAAATATCAACTGCATGATATTGTAGAATGATCACATAGCAATGTTAAAATGAAATTCAATCTTTATTTTAATATTATTTCGGAACATGTTCTTCAGGTTAGTAATGTCAATAGAACAGAAATTCTTATAACACAACCAATAGAAGATCAGTGTACACGCTAATCTTCTACTCATTGTGTTATAAGAACTTATTATTGTCACATTATTCGGCTTTAACATTATGAGTTATGTCTGTACATACAAATATATGTATGAAAATAATCAAGGACTACTGTATGTGGGGTTTATAATATTTAGTATGTCACAAACGAGGGAGGGCCTGCTGGTCATGAGGCAACATTACAATTTACTAGTGTGTTTTTTATATTTCTCTTGGTTCCACATTAAACTAATATCTTACTCCATCTGAAAAAATGTTTCAATTCAATTGGATATTAGCCATAATCCAACCTAATCATAAATTAGCTCCCCTATGTTATGTGTGGTGTCATAATTTTACCCATCTTACAAGGTAATAATATGTTTCAGTCTGTCTTGAGGTATATAATATGGTTATATTTATTGCACTAAAACTCCATAAGGGTGATACATGCAGGCCTCTAGACATCTTGCAATGCACCCTGAAGGCAGCTTCCATTTGGTTGCACTTAATCTTCAGAGACATGTCTGAGTTCACCTTGAAGTGTGCCTCATTTTGGTTGTACTAAATATCCGGGCATGTTCAAGTTCACCTTGAAGAGTGCCTCCTTTTCATTGTGCTAAATATCTGGACATGTCTGAGTTCATCTCGAAGAGTGCCTCCTTTTCGTTGTGCTAAATATCCGGACATGTCTGAGTTCACCTAGAAGAGTGCTTCCATTTTGTTGTACTAAATATCCGGGCATGTTCAAGTTCACCTTGAAGAGTGCCTCCTTTTCGTTGTGCTAAATATCCGGACATGTCTGAGTTCACCTAGATGAGTGCCTCCTTTTGCCTGTACTCTATCTCCAAATCTCTCTGAGTTCACCTCTTTTTGATTGTACTAAATCTCTGGACATGCCAGATCCCATTTGTGACGAGTATCTTCAATTGTTTGTTCTTAACCTTCAGCCATGTAAGAGCCTGCATTGAATAATGCCATCTTTAGGCTTGTATTAAAACTCTGGACTACTATCACGTTTGGGTCTACCTTGAAGGTAGGCCTCCATGGGCTCTAATCTCTGCTGTATGATACAATCTGAAAGGAAAAACAATCAAACCATAGAAGTATGTCAAGTTTGTAGTTTATTCGAGGAAATTCCTGACAGATTTGATAAAGAACCCTTTCCTGTGTTATGTATAGTTACAGAATAACACGGTTTATGTTTCATTCTTACAGGTTTGTTGCTTGCAAAATTGATAATTCACAATAAGAAGGTCGTGGGGATACCCAATTAATATGTAATACAGAATTTGTTTTCACAATGCTATTCACCAGTGAGTAAATTTTACCTGAGAAACCAAAGAAGTGACACCATTTGTGGATAGTAAAAATATAGAGGACATTGATCCTTACAAGGAGAATTCCGAGAGATGACACATGTGACTTACAAAAAGGTGGATGACTTTGATACATACCAAGAATCCCGAGAGATGACACATGTGACTTACAAAAAGGTGGATGACTTTGATACATACCAAGAATCCCGAGAGATGACACATGTAACTTACAAAAAGGTGGATGACTTTGATACTTACCTAGAATCCCGAGAGATGACACATGTGACTTACAAAAAGGTGGATGACTTTGATACATAACAAGAATCCCGAGAGATGACACATGTAACTTACAAAAAGGTGGATGACTTTGATACTTACCTAGAATCCCGAGAGATGACACATGTGACTTACAAAAAGGTGGATGACTTTGATACATACCAAGAATCCCGAGAGATGACACATGTGACTTACAAAAAGGTGGATGACTTTGATACATACCAAGAATCCCGAGAGATGACACATGTAACTTACAAAAAGGTGGATGACTTTGATACTTACCTAGAATCCCGAGAGATGACACATGTGACTTACAAAAAGGTGGATGACTTTGATACATACCAAGAATCCCGAGAGATGACACATGTAACTTACAAAAAGGTGGATGACTTTGATACTTACCTAGAATCCCGAGAGATGACAAATGTGACTTACAAAAAGGTGGATGACTTTGATACTTACCTAGAATCCCGAGAGATGACACATGTGACTTACAAAAGATCGAAGAAATTGACATTTACCTAGAATCCAGAGAGGTGAAACACTGGTCCTGTCAGGGTAGAAATCGTTACCTACAATTATCTGGGCCTTCGATGTAGACATTGTTACCTGTGGTACAAAAAAATCCTTCAGTAACAATCTGAAGACAATATCTACAACAACTTGGACAAGATCTATCATTTTATGTTTGATAAATCTTCTCTCATGTTAATCAATACATTTAGTAATATTTTTGTGTATTTGCTTGTGTAATACAATATGCAGAGATAACAATGAAAGGATGTCAACAAACGCATTATAACGTTACAATGAAGACTATAACTACAGAACCAATATGAATAAAAAATTGGCACTGAAAAGATCAAAGAGGTCATGGGTGACCTTTGATCTTTAACCTTTACCACCAAAATCTAATCAGGTGTGAATATTGGATTCATGAGATATATTGTACATAAGGTTATCATGGACGCGAACTCGCATGTACAGACAGGCACATAAACAAAGTGATTTTGATATGCCCAGTATTACTTAATCAGAGGGTAAAGTTAGGACTTTTCACAATAATTTCTACAAGGAAATCCTCAATCAATTATTAGTAGATTTTTTGTTTACCTTTGAGAGAACATACAATTATACACAAGGCGTTAATTTCTATAACTTATATGTCCCTAAGTTCAAGCTAACCAAGAACTGTTCATAACTTTGTTAAAATCCTTACCTGCCCACCACAAAGTTTGATGAGAGCACAAAGATGTGACCTTGGTGGGGAAGTTTTCTGTGCCACGAACATTATCCCTTCACCTGAAAACAGTGTTGACTTGTAGTTCTCCTTCAAACTTTCTTTTTGTAGTCGGGCAACCTAAAATGGGACAACAATATGCATGTAATTTCATGCTCTCAAATGTAATACTAGATCTAACAGTATCATGTACAAGATAGAGTATAAATGATACAATAACACATCTTCATCCTTTGAATCAATGCATGTAGTGTACATTGTAAACTGTAACTGTAAAACTCATCAAAGAATAGAAAAGAGCTGGAACTCCTGAGACCAGGTTAACACAAAAAGCTGACATGTTTTGGCCTGATAGGCAAGCCATCACCAGGACACAATTCATTTGTGACTGTTACCTGAGGATGCTGGTTAACATCAGAGGTCATGTTTTCAAAGACAAACAATGTATCAATTCATGCTCTGTTTCATCCTCAAACTCATGAATTCTGACACTATAGTATTTAGCTAAGAAATATCGTCATCTCTATTTTTTTCCCAAAGAATTTTATTAAGCCTATTATCATTGACATAACTGAAGTTAGGAATCACATTCTGTGATACATATAGCAACTGAACCTTCAATTTTGGTGTAGCCTTGTTTTTAATGGGAACTTAAGGTGCTTGACAGATGTTTTACTTGTACACTTCCTGTGTACATGTTAACAGATCAACAGAAATATTACGGTACTTTACCTTGACAGATGGAAACCAATCGGTCACCTCATATTCCTCTTCTGGTAACCATTGACCAGCATCCAGTGAATCGTAAACCTTAAAAGGAAGCATCAAAGTACTACAAGTCATTGCCTATATCTTAGTGATCATTTCATTAAGTTGTTACCTTTTTTTATTTGTATAGACCGCCAATGTTATTGTATAATAGTTATTGTTATACCCTGTAGATTCAGTTCCTATATATTTATATAGAGAAAGAAATGTCAAAAGTTTAACTGTTTTGTTCACCGGTCCAAATGGACTTTTAAAACCGACTGTTGACCACTTTACTGAAACATACAAGTACGCCCGAGTGATAATGTTTTGTTTACATTACAGTTATCTTCTCTTATCGTCTGCACAACAAAATGGCAACCAGGACCATAGTGACTCAGACAGATTCGGTCTGGCATCGGAGGAGGAAATACAGTGAATCTTAGACGATCGTGACAGCAGAAATACCAAGAATGTTATTAAGACTACTGACAATATCCTCAGCGATTTGTGAAGGATATAACAAAACAGTTATTGACTGGGGTTTCGGGTTCAGCCGAGGGCAACAGTTTGCATTCGGGTCCAACAGATCATCTGTTGCCCGAAACCCCAGTCAATAACTGTATACTATTTTAATAATCAAAATATTTGTTTACAGCTGGTGTGCAGTAGGCACTGTATTCATGACAATTTTGATTTATGAACTTGTTCAATTGGTTCAATTAAAACCAAGGCACTTTAATCATTAATTCCTAAATCAAATATGGATGTGTAATGATAAAACGCAACCAATCGGGGAACTATATTGTTTTCAGAAAAGCGAATTATTTGATAAGGGGGCAACAATGTCATTGCTCATGCACAATGCAAAATCTTAATGATAGGCATCACAGAATCTCATAATTAGTAACATGTTTCAAGAAAGCAGTTTTACTCTATCACCATTTGATAACACACATTGCTTTTGCTATCTAACAATTTTTTCACATGCAATCCCTCAGACCTACATTTACTATCAAAACAACAGATGCGTTCATAGACAATATGAAAATGCTACAGCTGAATATTTGTACCACAGTATGTGTTTATACCCATTTTTGGTGGAGTATCCAGGAGCCCCTAGACACAGCATACAACAGGTTGAGGGTGCGTCGAGGACCGCCACATATTACATGACTGGTGGTATCAGAAACATTGTCAGAGATTACAAAGTGACCAATATTTTTCACAATGGCGATGACACTGTCCTGTTCACTAAAACACAAAGTCAACAGAATATTAGATGTGTACAAATGTGACAATAACATTTAAAGACAATGCAAATATAGCATTACAAACTGAAAATGTTTTTTGTATTGATACAAGTTTTACCAAACTCTACAGAGTCTTCTTTTAAACTACTGCATAATTCAGCAGTATTTCAAATCATTATACACTACTAATTAATCTATATTAAATGTAAACAAACATACGAAGCTTTAAAAACATTGACTAGTTATTTCTGCAATAGTTTAGAGACTTCTCCTTTATTCCCATTTTAGGAAATAAAGAAACTACATGTAATTTATTTGTGGAAAATTTTGACATGTAGTTTTTTTTCTCTCTCTAATGCAGACTTACTGTGAGTGTAAACTTGTCATGACAATGGAAGGTCTATGTGGACTGCGTCTGAAGGAAGACCCTACATCTCCAAGGACCTTGGTTTGAGATTTTCCAGTTCCATCACTATCACTACTTGATTTTTCACTATCACTACACTTTTTCTTGTATTTGCCCACTGATGACTCAGATAATGCTTTCTTCCTCGTCTTGTTGTGGGACTTAATCTTCTTCAGGTTGAATTCGTCAATGCTGGGTCTTGGTGGTGCAAAACCACAGACAGAGGTAGTCATGGTCTCGTCCCCAAACACTGTTGACAAGGACATACCATGAGGACCAGTTGTCTGTAAAACAGACTCAGTCTGTATACCTGATGCACTCAAAGCACTGTTATTCTCTAATATTTCTCTCATTATGTTTCTGACAGGAGCAACATGTCTTTCCGACTTATCACTGTCATCACTATCTGAAAACATATCACTAGCTTGTGGTTGCTGGGTTTCAGATCTGCTGCCCTTCCTCGACTTTTTATGCGATTCCTTATTACCTTCTTCCATTGTAACTTTTCTCTTCTGCCCCACAACACTTGCCAATTCTTTAGGATAGTTATCTAGAAGGGTTGGAAGTACTTTATCTGATTTCATTGTTGGTTCAATCAGAAATGAGCTAGGCATGCTATCTTGTGACATCAACATCTTTTTCTTGGAGATTCTCTCTTTCTTTGGTTGCAGTTTTGTTCTAATGTTATCACCAGTTGCCACGGGAGGACTTAGGTTATCATCAGACTTATCAGAGAACCCCTCCCCTACACTGGGAAAATTAAAATTTGATTTTTCATCATTAACAGCTGAACTACTAGTATGTGAATCATCAACAACATTTACACTAGCCCGATCTGTATCAATCTTGGAAATGTTTGAGTATTGTTGCTCATCATCAGTAGACTTTTTACCAGCAGACTCCTGATCAATGATACTAGCTTTTGAGGTGGAAAATGTTACAGACTTCCTTTGTCCCCTCCTTGAGGGAAGGGCAGATGCTTTCTTTGTAGTTGTGACTCCTGTACAGGGATCCGATACCCGACTTCTACGTCTACTCACCCCAGCCTTTACATTGGCTATGCTCCTTTCAACAGGGGAGGGGTCCGATATTCTTCCTCCATCTCTAATGCTCCCATCTTCTTCATTGGCTATGCTGATAGAGGAATCTCTACCACCACAAGAAACATCCTTAACAGTGAGTTGTGTGGTATTATTTTTATCAACCAAAGATTTTCTACGACCTTTAGCTGTTGCCTTGTTGCACTTAAAATCAGTTATTTTCTGTTTTATTTCAGGAGTATTTTTGTCAGATGATTTACACTTGGCCATATTTTCTTCAGTACTAACAGGAGCTATATCTTCGTGGTGTATTTGTACAACATTTGAGGCATGTTTATTTTCAGGGTTTGTGGCTTCGTCTTGCAGTCCTTCTGGTACTTTATTGTCCATGTTAAAAGATGTCACAGCAATTGACTTTCGACGTCGGGATGATCTTGTAGACAAATCCATACTATCTTTCTCTGAAAACTTTTCTGAAGACATTGATTTACGACGATTACTTGTCCTCCTTGACGTTGTTAATTTTGATGTCTCCAGAGCAGCTAAAGAAGCTGATACTTGTGTGCTGCTGTCCTCATCAGGTACTGTTTTGTTGATTGATTTTGCTCTGTTTAACACCATCAGTGGATCTTCTTCCTCCACCTCCATATTAACCTCACTAGTGTCTGAAACATTGTAAAATTACATTGGAATTCTCATATTGCATTGGTAAATACATTTTTTTTTCACATCTTCTGTTTGATTTTCTATCTTATTTCCGTGCACTGTTGCATTTCATAACTCTGGGCTGACCATTACTTTAGAAAACTTCAAAATCAGAACCAAAAAAAAGATTCCCTCCTCAGTGTAGAACATGATGTTATGACATTAACTCGTAATATGAACTTAACCTTTTCAGAGATTCTCAAGATATGACACTGCCTGGAATGAGACAGATAAAATGGCTTTTAAGCTCAGTTTAATGCTACTCAAATCATTTTGCCAGAAATCAACACATCTAGAAAAACCAAATCTTCATTCAGTTTTATTTATACATTAAAACTGCATTCAAACTATTACAATAAAAGAATATGAAGTGTTCTTTCCTTATTTTCTATATGTAATAAAACATCATGATGTTTTACTGTCAACTTATCATATAGATTAATACATGTCTTACTGAACAGCTTCCTGATTAACGGCTTATCTCCAGTCATTTGATCTGCTTCTTTACTGAGAGATGTATCAGGCAGGTTGGAATCTAAAATAGATGAATCCACTGCAGTAAAAACAAACAGAAAGAAACAAAAAGTGTACCATTGAACTCAATTCTTTTATACAATATACATCAACCTCTATCTACTTTTTATACAAATCAAATTACATCACACATAAAAGTTTTTTTAATGAAATTTGTTATATTGAAAAACATTCATATTCGACTTAAGTGGATACTAAAGGGACTTTCCACTTTATCCTTAATATGAAACATATTCAATTGTGCAGGCTACATGTTTACTGACCACAATGCAAAGTAAAATACTGCAATGCTTATACAAAAATTGCTTTATAAATTCTTGTTGCAGTATGATAAAACCGATACTTGTCCCTTGGCAAGGAAGTGTCAAGAGCTCAATACATCCTGACAATACAAACAGGTTTTTAAAAATATCTAACATCTCATAATTACAAAATATTGTAGTATATCATAAATTCTATCATTTTCAGCCATCAAACATTTAATATTCCAGTAAAGCATTATACAATACAATACCAACCATTATTCTTCCTGAGCTCCTTTAATCTGGCTCTCATGCTGGGAGGTGTGTCTGGAATTGTCAGTCTTAGAGGGGTGGGAATCTCCTCCTTTATAATAGTAGAACATCATATCACAAATGTTATACATTTGAACTTTTCATCAATAACATTAATGGCTGTCTAAAGCATATTTCTGCTATTTGAAAGTTAGAATGGAGTATAAGTATTTTCTATATTAAAAAAAAATTAATTACAGATTTCAACAAGAGTTCTGCAAGTGTTACAAAATATGCCCATCCTAAGTTGAGCAACCATAACTGGATGAATTTCAGACGGATAATTTTGGTTTCTAGGTTTTAAGATTGATTTCCAAGATTATCTACTGAATTTCTCTACTGTTAACAGTGCTTGTGCAAATACTGCTAGGACGATTTGTAGCAAAGGATATTTTTGATTCGTAGAAAGGATTACTGACAACTCTTAAACAAACTGACAATGACGATTGGTAGAAAGGTTTCATTCATAGGAAGGTTTATTGATGAATTTTGGTTATCGAAATTGCCTTGGGTTTTATGGTAATAACCCTTCATGTGAAGTTTCCAATTAATATGTAAAAAATTTCATACGTTATTGATCGGAAACCTATTTTGCAAACGTACCATGACCATAACTCTGTAAATATTAGATGAAAAATTTTGGTTATCAAACTTGACCTGGCTTTTATGGTAATAAAACTTCATGTGGAGTTTCAAATTAATCTGTAAAAAATTATTCAAGTTATCGAATAAACCTATGTGCAGCCACCCACCTGCCTGAAAACATAATACATCCTGTCTTTCGACGGGCGTATAAAAATTGCATATTCAGGGAATAAAGTAAACTCATGAGTGTATTTTTTGACAACACAAATGAGGTATAACACTGTACTGAAGTTTATAGGAATGCTTCTATATCACATATGTTTTTACCCTTCAGGTTTACGATTTCTCATCACAAATTGCCAAATATCAAGAGTCAGCTGAAGGTTCTGTCAAACATTAATAGATGACAATTCTTGAAGACTTTACGATGTTACTCACTGGTGACCGTGGCTGTGTCTCCATAACAAGGATTCCTCCAAGGCCAGGAGAGTTACAGGGAGTACTATCTTTCCCTATCTTGAGAAGTTCCACCTTACGTTTCCGCTTTGTACAGCGTTCTGCACTATTGGCAACATCTTCATCAAAATCTCGTGGCTGCATTGACTTCATTTTCTATCAAAAACATTGGCAATATACATATAGATAATGTATGTATAAAAACAGGCTATCTTTGACTTCATGTCAAATTTGTTTCCTTATCTGTAGATAAAATAATTACATAAAAGCAATGAAATGATCATGTCTTAAAGTGACCTTTCTAGGACACAAATATACCACAAGCACATAACTACACTTTTTATCTAAGGATCATCGTAGCTGTGACATAACATCCTTCCGAATTCCTCAGGCTGTGAAACTTTGCAGCCTTCTTGGTGGATAACAAATTCTATTCATTAAATTTGGTAAGTAGATAAACATGGCAAGCACAAATCAACATGGGTTGTAAAATTGTGAAAAATGTCCCGGTCTCAGGAAATTTTCTTAATCGAGAAGGCAATATGCCCAATAAGTTACAAAAAACAACTAGGAACTTACCTGGTAGATTATTTTACTTTGCACAACAACACAGGCAATATATACACAAGTGCTACTTCCATTTAGTTATTTTCATTAAATTGTTACATGGAATAAACACGCTTTCCACTTTTTTCTCAAAGAAAGAAGTGAAAAAGAGATTTTAAGGAACTTAGAAGTAGATTTATGAAGTAATGTAATGTAGGTTTAAAATAATTACCCCCTCCTTCCCCTACCCCCTCTCTCTTTGGGCCTGTGGGCTGTTTTACTGTAACATTACAAACCTTGAGTTTTGTGAGAAGTATGGGTGTGGACTTGTCATCTGGAAGTGTAGCTGGATAAAGTCTCTCTGATACATGTTCTTGATTTTGTTTACAACTGCAAGTATGAAAAAAGGTTAAAACTTAAAAACAATTTAAAATCCAATCAACAAACTTTCACTGTGTCTGAAGATAGTATGAGATATCACCAGTCATTACATTCTAACACTGGTGAGCAAATGTTCAGTCAGCATAAATTTTCTAAAAAGTATTGTTTACCCATAGAAAACTATGATAAAAAAATTAATTTACCTTGTCAAGCAAATGTCTCATTATAAAGATGAGGAGATGGTCCTGATGTTACAAAAACCACAACAAAAGTACCAATTATCAAGAAATACTGGGTACACATAGTATATTATTATTGTTTGTATGAAATACGCTTCATAAAGTCTTCATGACAAAAGTTCTGCAAAAGTTTATGTCCGACAATACCTTCTATGAATGAAATAGACTAACATGTATGTCACTGAAAGTGTGTACAAAGACATCACACTGAAAATAATTGGAGTTCTTGCCAATTTTCTAAATATACCAAAAATTAATGGGTTTTTTTTACCAAAGCAGTTTTGGGGAAGGATTCATATACAAAGTAAGTTTCAAGCTTGTTTACCAGTCCTAAATAAACTGTATAATTACAAGCAACTTGTAATTTTACTGAATTTTTTTATCAAATAACGTTTTAATTGAAGATTTATTTTTCTATTCACTAAGGTTGATCAAGCACTTACAGAATTTGAGAAAACTGAGCTTTATCAAATGCTGATGCAGATGCTGATATCAAGAAGAACTTTCATCAAGCATGACAGAAATTGTACTGCTAAAATTGATCCCTAATCCCCTTATAACTCTTTACAGCTAATGATGACATATGATGACCTTGCTAGTAATTCACAATTTGAATTTGAGTAGCGCCCCGGAATAATTAAGAAGAGCCTACCAGCCCTTACAGTCATCTATCTATGAAGACCTATATATGATATAACAGCAGTAATACATGTAGTAGCGTGAACAATTCTGATATTCAAGCAATTAAGATTACAAAAAACTATTAAGAATTTCTACATCTCAAAAAATTTTCAACTCAATGGCACCAGTGGAGCTGGAGAGGAAGTTCAAAATGTGTTTTTCAAAATGGTGACCATGCTGGCCACTTTGGACCAACCCCAAAAATGAGAACGCTTGGTCAGGACCACCTCAGAATCATTTCAAGCTGAATCTGTTTGGTGGGTTTGAAAAGTTTAAAATAGTCCAGGAAAACCATGTTCGTGCAAGGATGTTACAAAATGACCATCATGTCTGCTATGTTTCATTTTTGTCTGCTTCCTATCCCTAAATATATCAACCAATTAACAGTTCAATAGCAATGATGAAACTTAAAATGATGTTAAAAATTTTTTTTTGTAAGATGGTGTTAATTTTGGATTAAGGACATCTGTGAAAACTAACTCCTGGAAAACACCATCTCAGGATCATTACTGGAAAGTTTCTGGAGGCGTTAAACATGAAAAGTTTATGTCACACAGTGCATGATGACAGAACAAACATTTAAAAACATATTAATATTCAAATCAGCCTAAAAGATGCGTTTGCTATCCAAGAAGTGATTGCCATACAAAATTAATCACTGGAACATCAAGAATAAGATTCCAACTTCAATGTGAAAAGTCAAGTGATACATGAGATTAATTAATAGGTAAATCCACAAGTCAGGTAAACTTGTTAAGTTTAGGATTGAGGAAACTCTGGACATTTTTTTAAAATGTCATTTCAGGAATGAACATGATACCTGTAAGTTATTTGTTCAAAAAGGTGAGAGGAAAATTCTTGCAACTGTTGAAATTTTTCAAATAAATTTAAAGTATCATTGGATTAGGTTTGTGAATTCCGAAAAGAAAAAGAAAGTTGTTATATATCATCATTAGGGAGGGAAAGAGGCAAGGGAGAGTCAAATGTCCTTGATGGTGGAGGATGTGGAGTGTCTGATGGTAAAGTGGGACTTTACTAGAGCACTGATGGTTAACTTTACCTGTCAACCCAGAGGACGGACACAAGGTAAACACCTCTTTTCTGGGCTTTTGTCCTCGTCCTTTTACAGCCTTCTTTGTACACAACATGTGTTACATCATCTGTGAACGTCTTTTTAATCATGGCCCCAAGATTCTCAAGCTCCTTACATATAGCTTTTGTTCTATTGTCATTGGTAGATCGTACTTCTACATAGGCTACAACATCTGTAATGAGATACCATACAAAGAACTGTGTCTACATTGATATCCCAATAATGCAAGCATTATCATACTTCAATCATTTTGCATGAATACTATATCTGAAATTGTCGTCCATTCAAACCTCTTTCCTCCATTTGTATATTACATGTTTACCTATGCAATTATCAGGACTTCAAATGTCATCATTAAGTTTCCTGTCAGTGTAATATCAATACAATTGGGTGAAAACAACAAATGTTGGTATGTGTATACAAAACTATTACACTGTTCCTACCTTTACCTGATAGAAGAAGCATCTATGTATATTAAAAGATACTAGAATTTTGATTTCAATGTAAAACATTATCAAGCAAGCATTGGAAGTTGGAGGGAACCAATGAAAAACACTCTAGAGTATATTACACTAGTGACATACGTTTTAGTAAAAATATCACATGGGTAAATTCACTGAATAACAAACTGTAATAAATAACATTGCATGATACTGATGGGAGATAACTATGCATGGGGTTCGAATGCAGAAAGTGGTGTTAATAAAGGTTAGAGAGAATTTTATTCTCAAATCTGTTGAATCAGAAACTGAAACTGCCAGATTGATGGATATTTTGTACTTACTTGTAGCTGTACATTACGTGTGCAGTGATGTTCTTTTTTAACACAAACAGACCCAGGTTAGGATCAAACCATACATCTCTGATTTTTTATCTTACATTATATTCAGTTCAATGCTTTAGCAAGTAAATTATCACTGTCCTTTCATTTGAATTTAGTTTCAAAGAATGTGACACTCTGTATGAACCTGTCAGCATTTAGCATTTCTGTATACCAGGCTTTCAGATCAGGATTTGGTGTATAGATAGGTATACCTTTGAGAACTCTGTCATCCAAAATCTGTGTATTGGGAAGGTCCATATCATCTTCCTGATAGTTAGCCATCCTTTGTTCATCACAGTGTCACCTGTTCAAATAAATAATATCCATCACTGGGAATGCTGTATTTAAATTTAAATATTCTGTCCATTAGAAATAACTTTACATTACACATCCTAAATTAACATTAAATATTTATACACCATGTCATAACATATGGATGTAGAAAATCAAAGTAAATGAAGCTGAAATGAAATTGTTTGTTTCACGCCTATAGCAAGTTTGAATACCAATTCTACATACATTGTAATTCACTATATTTCATATTTTCCCGATTGAATCATCTTCCTTTACCGATGGTGAAAACTGTTTATGAAATTTAAATATACATATAAAGGAATTGAAAAATTAGTTTAATTCTTTTGAAAGTCGTAAGTAAAAGTATATTTTTCGATAACTATGACGTTCATTGTACTCTCTCTCACAAAAAAAATAATAAAAAACAGCACTAGCAAGTAGGTCCACTGATACCACATGCACACTGCCGAACTCATTTACTGCCAATTAGGCCTATTATCAGCTGATCGTGAGTTATTGACAGTATACACATAACATAACAGAGCAGAATTGTAACGGTAACAATTTGTGGGTTCCGCAACGATAAACTGATGGTAAAATATCCTGCATATAGTCATTTTATCTAATTATATCGCACATCACCTAAAGCATCCACGCACACCCTGTTGTTAAAGGCCAAAAGATGTTGTAGCAAATCACAACTTCCCAGCCATTCAAAAATGGCGCTGTACTAAAATGTACCTTTTCACTGAAGAGTTCTAATTGCCATGTCAGGACTGGAGTGACCGTTCTTTGCTAGCTTCTCTCCGATTGATGCAGGGAAAACGAGTCCTACGCCTTCCAATAGGTCTATTTCGTAGGACCATTCCGGCATTTTAGCATTGGCCGTGTTCGAAAGAAAACAAGAATTAGACGTGATAATATGTCTCCTCAGTTGTCCCGTTTTTATCGTGCAGTAGTAATGTCTAAACAAACTATACTGAAAAGACACTAAAGCATGTAAATTTCCCCCCGTCAAGATAAGTTAAATTCACTTTAGAAAATGATTAGTTATTTTAGTTAAACTTCAACTTTTCGAGCAACAGATCAGACTGATACCTCGTGAGCACAAGGTTTAAACGCAAATGTTGACGATGTCACTCACTGCCACTGTCGTTAGAGTAATGGCCAAATATCGGTCGACCTCTCTCTCAGACGAGAAAAAACTGTGCGCCAGTGCACCCGCGTCCGACGATAATGTTAAATACATGTGGCCAATTGATATACATCATGTTAATTGCATATGTATGTCCACATTAGGCAGATCAATAACCTATATGTAACCATTGGTGATGATCAAGCTTTAATAGTTGATATATCAAACCATGAGTGGATAAGTGGATGTTAGATTTAACCCATAATAAATCAATAATACAAAAAACACCTGTTGTCCGTCGTTTGTTTTCCCATACACACAGTTTGTATATTGTCATGAACAGTAATGACCAATGCGGATGAATCATGGTCTGCCATATACAAAAGACTTATGAGGAACCTTACACACGTAATTTTTCTCGAAAGGTCTCGAATATAAGATGAACATATATAAAATTTTATTTATAAATCTTACGAAAGAGAATACTCTTACAATTCTTAAACATAAATTATATATAAACATTAGGTCAATACAGGAGCACACGGTATTGTATGGGACAATTGTAATACTAAATAACGGAATCAATTCAGATATAATTTGTACGGGTTATTACTGGGCTTAAGAGAGGTATATCTTGTGACAAAATTATGAAGAATTCGGCAGGAAATTTCTTGCCAATCGTCTTAAAATCAAAACCTTATCCTAATGCACCGTTTCTTAATAACTGCACCACTATAGATAAGTGATATAGTCAAACTATTAGGTAAAGCCGAAACTCCCAGTAAGTGATCTCCGAATATAACGGCTGCTTGATTCTTTCTGCAGTTCTAACAATTATTTTAACATTAGTGTATTCGCCCGCCAAAAAATGACCGCGAAATGGTGTTGTCCTTGATCGTCATTACCTTCTTAAACCCCACAAACGGGGTGTCCATTGAGCATGGTCAACGGTTTATAAAGAGGCGAAAACGGTGGCACGATGAGTTAAACTCGAAATTTTGTCTTAAATAAGGCTGAATGTGTCTTGAAAGTGTGTCCACGGGTTGGCCGAAAGTATTCGGTCATTATCTAAGGAAAATCCACAGATTAAGAGTTTACTTCTGGACAAGTTAGATTTTCATAGATAACTGAATGGTCATTCTTCTCATTCACTCTTTAGTGGATGGTGATGTTCAACTGTAACTTGGTACGTATAGATGTTTTTAAAGGAGTAGACTTATGGTCATTTAAACTTTGAGAGTTTTGCTAAATTTTTACCAGTGATATAACCAAAAGTGTAGAGTCTTGTCTAGTCCAGTGGGAATTACGAAACATGACCATTGAACGCTATAAACTTTTCAGGTTTTATACATATTGTTCCAGTGCTTTTTATGTCCCTTGTGTGCTGCACCTTGACCTTTAAGCTGCGATGTTGTACTCTCTGTATTATTATGATTTTACACCATATCATAATACTACAGATTTCTAACAATTGATTCTCCAAGCAGACTTTACAATTTGATCTCAGATTAATCATTTAAATATTGCAGGTATATTTCCAATCATGTTATTGTTACTGTATTTCATTTATTCTTTTGTTAGAGCTGCAATTCTGCTTTCGGTTCTTTATCAAAGATTCTTCAAGCAGGTCATCATTTCATGTTCTTTACCATATATGTTGTAAGCAAAACTTTATTTAAATATCCAATACGGCACCAAGAAGAAGGGCTGTTCATTACACTTCTACATTCAGATTCTAGGTTTTGGCCGTTAGCAACACTTTGGCTCCGAAACAACTTCAAACAGTGGGAAAGTGAGAATGACAAAACATTTGTATTGGTGGATAGAAAATATAAAGAAATTCTCAGTTTATTCTCATTCTCAGTTATAACTCACTGGAACATTAACTTTGGTCAACCATAACTCGAGTCTGTAAAAGCTACAAGAACATAAAAGCCAATGACACTTAAACTAAAAAGTTAACATATTTCTTAATGTCTTAAAAATCGAGCATTCATGTGACACTGACGTATCTCTACGAATCGGCATACGGATGAGAGGTCAAATAATTTGGAACTTCCTTAATCTATGATAAGATATTGGCAACCAGTGCAAAAGTTGGATTTCAAGAGCGCACGGTAATAATGATTTTTTGAACATTTTTTTGCTATACTCACTGAAATTGCCATTTTGTGTATTCGCATGATGAATAATTTTCTTCTCGAAAACTGGTATTTTTCACCAATTTTCAGTTGAACTTACAACTGCAACTCTTTCGTTGCTATGAAACGTTTTCGATTTTTATCGGACATATACTTCGGTTAAGTTACACGACACTTACGACGTTTATATAATTATGTGGATAGCCCACCTCCACATCTTAATTTTGGCTTATTCTTGGATCACTTTGAATTTTCCTCTGTCGCCTCCTCGGCTTCAAACTTTAGGCCCTTAACATCACTGATGAGTCCTAGGACTTTCACTACCGCTCTCTGCACTCCTGGAACACGTCATGGCAAAACTGAAGGTTCCATGTGCGGCAGCTTATGGACACGATTAGTTTGATCCTTTGATATACATCAAACGAATCTCGAGGTCGAACAATGGTATTTTGTTCTGGCATGAAGTTGGGTGTCGCTCTTTTGTGATCTTCAAAGGAGCGTACCAATCATTGATTGGTCAGTTTTATTTCTCCTGGAACCACTCTAGACCAATCAAATTACTTCGCTTGTGCTTTCAAGTTTACCGTCACATATTCCAGGGATGCAGAGAGCGAAAGTGAGCGTAACCGTGTTACATCATTTGATAAGATAACAAGACATTGGTAACGTTTCTAAAAATATCAAATTAATTCATTTTTCATTACTCCTTCAATTCAAATCACAAAATCCGTGTGAGATTCTGGCCAGATCAACAATATTAACAAAAGTGAATCATCAGACACTACACTTAGTAAATAGATAAACGTGTTCTAGTATTGTTTACGACTATATAAAATATACTTGTTAAACATTAAATAACACGGGTCAATCACAAATGCTAATTAAGTATTGTTTTTACACTGTAAACGTATCATAAAATATACTTGTTAAACATTAAATAACACGGGTCAATCACAAATGCTAATTAAGTATATGAGTCCATAATTTACACTGTAAACGTGGATCAAATGACACGAGTCAATAACATAAATGCCAATTAAGTATACGAGTCCATAATTTACACTGTAAACGTGGATCAAATGACACGAGTTAATAACATAAATGCCAATTAAGTATATGAGTCCATAATTTACACTGTAAACGTGGATCAAATGACACGAGTCAATAACATAAATGCCAATTAAGTATATGAGTCCATAATTTACACTGTAAACGTGGATCAAATGACACGAGTCAATAACATAAATGCCAATTAAGTATATGAGTCCATAATTTACACTGTAAACGTGGATCAAATGACACGAGTCAATAACATAAATGCCAATTAAGTATATGAGTCTATAATTTACACTGTAAACGTTGATCAAATGACACGAGTCAATAACGTAAAAGCTAATTAAATGATACGAGTAAATGACATCAGAAATAAACGTTTTGTGATATAGCATGCAAGTAAAAATTGTGATTGTAGACAAAGTTTTTAAAATAGATGTTCCCGTAATTCTACCCTTAAATCAAACCACCAAAATGTTATCATCCAAAACACCCGAATGTTTCCCAATCGAAAACAATTAAATTGTTTCCCTCTTTACGTAATCATGAAACCATGGAGAGGAGAAAACAAAATCAAACAACGACAGTCAAGATCAGTTTTTGGTCTAGTTTCGTCACCATTTCTACCGTTTTATCACAAAACCACGTTATACAAATCTGTCACAGTGTGATGAAATTAGCGTCATCCCGAAATCAGCAATACATATGCCTCAGTGTTGTTTATCATCAGAAATGTTAATGGATGATTTTCAATCAGTAAATACGTGTACTAATACGGCTGATATGGTTACCAAGGGATAAGTATCAACTTTGTTCATATCAGAATACACATGCTAACATTTTAGGGACCGAGACGCCTCCCTTTCAAAGAAAGCTTATATCTATGTTAAACATGGCAAAACATTAGTTCAACATTCTGGGTGGATTGATCTACTCTTTAAACAAATTGTTTCGCCAAATGTCGGTGCGGGCCATTTTTATACATGAGTATAGTCGTATTTCTATGACTACCAATTCAATCAGACGGCAAACTTCATACCTTCAACCTTAATCATATTATTGCCGATTTCCAATTGATCAAATAATTTGACATAAAGAAACGACGAGGATTCGACCTAAACATTTCTGTATGATATTTCTGTATGATATTGCACTCTGAAAAACATTTCAGAGTGACAGTGTTTTATATCCCTGAAGCAAAATGAAAAAACATCACATGCATAAAAAATGTATTTTGCTCAAAGCTCATTGAGTGCGAACGCTTTGACTCCAACTTAAAATATATAATTGAATGACTGACTATTGCGTTTAAACCATATACGCCCAACTGACATCAACTATACGAATTCTAAAGTAGACACTATTTTGTCTCCATGTCAACCTTATCAATTTAGAAACCTCTTTTATACATGTCTCTGGTCAATGGCAGTACCTGGCTGTTTGTTTTCTCTACAAAACTGTCTCAAAATAACAAGAGTGTGACATAACGACTCCATGTTAAATCGTATGTAAAAGTCCATGTGTTGGAGTGACAGTTTTGAAAATCGCATGCATAATATAATATGTAAATATTGGCTTACAATGCACCATACAATGAAATCTCCAGGTGACAGTCTAGAGTGGCAGTGTAAAATGTGACTTCAGTAATTGTATTTAAAAAAAACAGACGAAAGTAGCACCCTAGTATAATCCATTCAACGCTCATAACAAGTTCAATCTACCAAGAGTTTAAAGAACTCAATTGCCCGAAAAATTTAATATATGGCAGCTATAGTTGTTACTGTAACTGCGCATCCCCCTGGACAGCAACAACACCAGGTGTGCTTCCGTAAGAAATATCCTCTGGATCACTGAATGGAAGAACTTCCTCTTGGAGAATTCCTTCACCATCATTGACCTCCTCCTCATTCCTTAGACGGGTAAACCTTCCTCTAAGGTTACAGCAGGGGATGAAACAATCCCCATCACGCGGGAACCCAATCTTACTGTAGACAACTGCAGCTGCGCAAACAAAAGCAGCTGACACGATGATTAGGGAACCAGACACGTTCAAAGTAAACGTATCCAGATTTATGTCACCATAAACATCGGCTTCCTTTCCTTCTTCTGAAAAAGATAGAATTTAATATATAACTAATGTACTTACATAATTTGTAACACTTTGTGTTTATGAATTATCATATACCATCTAAATGTATATGATTATATCATCTTACTATCGTACATCATCATCACAACTGATGAAATTTTTATCACGATTTCCGAAATAAAAATAAAATATGGATACTGAGCAGTTCATAACAAGACTAAATACTGACAATGAGCAGACCTTTAGCCTATCCAATAACTAGCAACACCTTCGCCAGACTGACGAAACAAGAGGGCCAATTCATTACATCACTAAAGACGAGGGTCTACATAGCCTGGTATTCCGGTAAGGAAAAAAAAGGGGGTGGGGAGGGGGGACAGACAAGAGGGTCAGTTAAAGACATCACTAATGAAGAGGGTCTACATAGCCTGGTATTCTGGTGAGAAAATTGTAAAAAAAAAGTGGGTTGGGAGGGGGACAGACAAGAGGGTTAGTTAAAGACATCACTAATGAAGAGGGTCTACATAGCCTGGTATTCCGGTAAGGAAATTGTAAAAAAAAGGGGGTGGGGAGGGGGGACAGACAAGAGGGTCAGTTAAAGACATCACTATTGAAGAGGGTCTACACAGCCTGGTATTCCGATAAAAAAATTTGTAAAAGAAAGGACACACAAGTGATTAACATATCTTAATGCAAATTTCGAATTAGATACAATAAAGTAAAATGATAAATTGCACTGCATCATACAACTGTTTCGTCACATCAGGTCTCGTCAGCGATGCTTAGGACGAGTGACTAACGAAATTCGAAAGGTTTGAAAGAAATGTTATACTCTAGATGGCAAGGGGCACTTGGCCAATTATTCAAGTAATGTCGTAATTTTCTGGAAGACATAAGTAAAAAGACCAGTCAAATCTTAATCTAGAACAGCAGTTATAGTGTAAATTCATATATTTGCTGGACATTACGAAAGTGCATTACCTGTCGCTGACACTATAATCTCTCCTATTCCCGAGCACGTGTACAACACACCAAAAGCCAGGCAGTATTGCTCCTTAAGGAACTGGGCTGTCAAGATGACATCCCGAAGCGATTCTGTCGTGGCTTGATTAACATAAAAACACAAAACCAATATACAATCCAATAAATCCTGCTTTATCTTTATGTGGTTTCTACAACGTAAGGACAAATAAGCTAAACGATTTGTATACATATTGTACACATCATAGTCGCAATGACTGAACAATGTCGGTCAAAGCATTGCAGCTGCCTGACATTGTAAACATATCGGTCATACAGTTATTCTTCCTACCATATTTGTACTATAAAGTCTACCTCGAAAGACATTCATTTCCTACCATATTTGTACTATTACGTCTACCTCGAAAGACATTCATTTCCTACCATATTTGTACTATAAAGTCTACCTCGAAAGACATTCATTTCCTACCATATTTGTACTATAAAGTCTACCTCGAAAGACATTCATTTCCTACCATATTTGTACTATTACGTCTACCTCGAAAGACATTCATTTCCTACCATATTTGTACTGTAACGTCTACCTCGAAAGACATTCATTTCCTACCATATTTGTACTATAACGTCTAGCTCGAAAGACATTCATTTCCTACCATATTTGTACTATAACGTCTACCTCGAAAGACATTCATTTCCTACCATATTTGTACTATAACGTCTAGCTCGAAAGACATTCATTTCCTACCATATTTGTACTGTAACGTCTACCTCGAAAGACATTCATTTCCTACCATATTTGTACTATAAAGTCTACCTCGAAAGACATTCATTTCCTACCATATTTGTACTATTACGTCTACCTCGAAAGACATTCATTTCCTACCATATTTGTACTGTAACGTCTACCTCGAAAGACATTCATTTCCTACCATATTTGTACTATAACGTCTAGCTCGAAAGACATTCATTTCCTACCATATTTGTACTATAACGTCTACCTCGAAAGACATTCATTTCCTACCATATTTGTACTATAACGTCTACCTCGAAAGACATTCATTTCCTACCATATTTGTACTATAACGTCTAGCTCGAAAGACATTCATTTCCTACCATATTTGTACTATAACGTCTACCTCGAAAGACATTCATTTCCTACCATATTTGTACTATTACGTCTAGCTCGAAAGACATTCATTTCTTACCATATTTGTACTGTAACGTCTACCTCGAAAGACATTAATTTCCTACCATATTTGTACTGTAACGTCTACCTCGAAAGACATTCATTTCCTACCATATTTGTACTATTACGTCTAGCTCGAAAGACACTCATTTCCTACCATCGACAATTCGATAAAATCGCAATCCAAACTCAAAATTAAAAATCGGGAACAATCTATAAATGAAAGAAAGATATACATGGATTTATTTGAAAAGAGTATAAAGAAATTCCGTATAGGTATTCCGGACGTCTAAGCGTCATCTGCTTCAAAGATTAACAAAGTTGAAACCGTCACGACAAAAAACGTCTCAGCATTTCTAAATGTGACCATGGTGGCGATCGACGTCTTAAGCCCGTATAACTCGGATCCCTGTGCTATGTCTACCAGTAGTTGGCAATCTTTTACGAAAGTCATAATGTTAAGAAGAAGCCCTAACACATGGAATCAATTGCGATCATGATAGCAGTGTATCTAGAAATGGAACAATCACAAGCGGGCAATTGAAATCATCATGGGTTGGTGGAAATTGTAAAATTCTTGGTTTCTAGTTTTAGTGGTTACATGTAACATTTATCACATCAATGTGGACAATGATTATTGGTCGCATTCCGCATTCAGCTTCATTCTGCTCTCGTACTTTTCTGCACATGTATCGATAATATGAATATCAAACCCATTTCCACAGTTATAGCTGCGTGTCACCATAGGCGTACAAATAATTGCAATGGTATTTGGAGTACAACACGTCAGCTTTTTGTGACAGTAAGATTGGTAACGTAAGAATGGTAAGGTGAGACGTAATGGCATCAGACATAGTTACTTACCTACAGCGACGCCAACGATTATGATAAACAAGATGATCAGTCCATCTGAATGATCAACTTTGGGTACTGCTAACGTGTACACACCAGCTGCTAGACTGAATGCCGTCAGGATGACATGGGGGAGGTAACCTGCCACACACCGCTTAGAGAACATGACGATAGGACCTAACCATTGTGCAAGATAAAACAGAACCAGGTACAGACTACTGTTTAGTAGAATCCCAGCTTGTTCATCCAGGTATCCAAAGCCTGCAAAAATAAAAATTAGTGAGATGCTAAAGAAAACATCCAAACAACTTTTTGCTTTTTAATTTTGTTTTGTCAAATTTAAACACATAAACTTTACACAGTTCAGTCATTTACACGCCTTAAACGATTGCCAACATTGTACGGTAAAGTGGAACTCCACGGTAGTTTTAATCAGCTTTACTGTGGGACATCTTTATAATATATACACGCTCAAATTTCCTATACTTTAAATTACATTAGACTACTTACCCTAATAAAAGATACAGGTATTTATTTAGGAAGTCCCAATATCGTCAAGGAAAGCAGAGACACGATGAATAACATGAACATGACAACGTTGGAACACTGATACAGCGAATACATTTTTATTGAAATAAAACAAAACATATTCATTGTCGGCTAAAACATCTATAATCGGTAAATTCTATTATCAGTTACTATCATCGAAAAGTCAATTTATCTGCAAACACTTCAAAAAGTTATAGACTATATATAGCATGCACTTTCACTTTCACCTACCTATACGCTGGAAAAGGAAGCACACCATCAACAGATATAAGGCAGGGTGTTTGAATATGTTCCATGCGAGTTTTCGCTTAGTCTTTGCCGGTTCGTTTGTACCTCTCAAGATTATGGTGCTGTCATGAAACTCGGCAGGAGTAAGAGCAAACGCTGATCCGAATGCAACGGCCATTGGCAAAAGCTGCCACCGAAAGAGCGATCGCCAAGAATTATCGGTTGCCATCCGCATCAAGGCACAAACGACATAACCGACTGTCTCGCCCTGATGGACGGCGTGCAGTGCGCGGAAGATTCCGTCATCAAAATGTTCCAACACAGGTAAAATGGCACACATATGTAGGAACCCGGAGGCGATACCTGAAACATGTTAGGTGTGAAATATTGAAAAAAAAAAAATTGGAAATTGGAAAACATTTCCGATGTACGAAACTAACCTTTGTAAAGAAATCTTCCTGGCTCTATCGCTGCTATCATCATTATCAAAATTAATGGATTTACAAGGAAAGAATGAGATATCCCTACCGTGCTGTCTTATCTACACTCCGTGTACTGTAATACACTATGTCATGCAAGTCACATTCATTTAATAAGTACCTGCAACGCCACCAACAAGGAAACCGATGAGAACGACGAGTGAAGAATCCAGGAAAGACGTGATGAGAATGCTGATGCCAAGCACAGTCGACGAAACAAAGGCAACAATTCTGTACTCAAATCTCACCAGCACGATGGACGCCAATACCACTACAACAAGATTATTAGTTTTTGTTGGCGACAAACCGAAAACCAAAACCTTACCTGGTCAAATATTGATAATCATCGCGAGGTTGACAAAATGGAGACTGCACTGATACTGATTGATACACAGTACATACTGAAGAAAGGAACTTTGATCCAATCAGTTAGTTATTACTGTAAAAAGTACCGTGTATTTTTCTCATATCAGCCAACATCACAAAATGTAATAGACGATCCAACAATCTCGTTAATATTACAATCACAGGTATCATACGTTAATATCACAATAACAGGTGTAATATGTTAATATCACAATAACAGGTGTAATATGTTAATATTACGATAACAGGTATTATATGTTAATAGTACGATAACAGGTGTGATATGTTAATATCACAATAACAGGTGTAATATGTTAATATTACGACAACAGGTATTATATGTTAATATTACGATAATAGCTAAGATATATTAATATTACGATAACAGGTATTATATGTTAATATTACGATAACAGGTAAGATATGTTAATATTACGATAACAGGTATTATAAGTTAATATTACGATAACAGGTGTGATATGTTAATATCACAATAACAGGTGTAATATGTTAATATTACGACAACAGGTATTATATGTTAATGTTACGATAACAGGTGTGATATGTTAATTTTACAATAAGAGGTATCAACTCCATTCTGCACTGTTGCTATTTATGTAGATAGTTTGGCATCATTTACAAATACAATGATGACATTATCAATGATCTTTGTTATATACTTTGTTATAGGATATATTTAAATATGAGGGTTACTTATGAAAATGGAAAATTTTGCCAGTGATTATTGCTATTTTAATTTTGCCAGTGAATATTGCTATTCTTTGACAAACAACAGAAAAAGATCCAAAATGACGACTCCTCCATTAGTAAAATGCAACAAGAAAGTGATAGCTTGTACAAAGTTTCAGGTAGTTGTTGAACAACTTTGTTGCCATGCTGTGGGAACCTTGAAAATTGTAATCCAATCTGTTTCCATGGTAACAAGAAAAATGATAACTCCTTCATCGTAGAAGGCACCACAGGCTGTTGTTTGCTTGAGATGTTTTGCTTGCCAGTTGTACAAAATTTCAGGTAGAAATGCTTTTCGCTGGTTATAATATACCTACCGGAAAGAATCCGAGTACAAGTGAAGGCCAGTTGGATCTGGTCCTGGTGTTCGCCCCAATCTGACAGGTCCTTCTTCACCTGATCCGCTATACCAATCTGCTCGAAGACCCAGGCAAACAACTGACTCTCACCGCTGATCATGAAGGCAACTACACTATTACAAAGGCTAATGAGAGCACAGGCGGATAACAGCCCACAACAGCCCGCACGGGTCTCCGTGGGAATGGTTGTCTGCTGGCGCCATCTCTGTACCAAAAAAAATACTCGAATTACACGAAATCGATTAATATTTCAAGATGTATTTTCCCGTGCCTCACAATTTTCAAAATATTAAAACCATACGAGAGGCCCTTTAAGGACTTATCGCTCACCTGGGTTTGTTTGGCTGATTTCATTTCTGATAAAAACGAAAGGAAAATGAACTATAAAGGTTGCATCTATTTCTCCCATAGCCCCCGATCCTCTACCCTAAAAGGATCAAAAGCGAAACACTAACCCCTGGTTACAACAAAATTCTGAAATGGGACATTAAAACTGTACTGTATAAGGCATGTGCTAATTCCATGTACACATTGTGAAACATTTATGACTTCATTTTAATAACATCATCTGTCACTTGAGTCTGCAAGCGCTCTTATGGTGCAATAGTTATAACCAATGTTAAAAGTTTTCAAATATAGGTCAAAGGTCATGGTTAAGATCACATGATCAAAACCATCGGAAAGTTCTTGTCACAAGGAATACACATGCAAAATATGAAAGCTCTACCTCTTACGTTGCAATCGTTGTAGGCAGGTTTAAATTTGACAACAGACGGCACGATAACATGCCTCCGATCTTTCGATCCGGGGCATACAAAACTGTATATAGTGGATATATAATCTGTTTTGAGAACCATAATATAAGTAAACAGTCGTGTAATGCAGATTCAGTCAATGTTTGGCTGCACTGTATCTTCTCTAAATTTGTAATAAAATATGTTTAAAAAGTGGAATAAAATCATTTCATTACTACAGGGGAAGGGGCTTGTTGTTTTAAAGAATTTGCTCTATCTTCCTTATTGGGTCGTGTCTGACCCATCCAGGGGAACAAAGCCATTGTACATACAAAAGTGATTCTCCTTTATCCAGTATTCCATTCCTATAGAAGAAGAACGATTTTTACGAATTATTCAATTTTCCTTCTTGGCGCCCATCCCTTCAGCTCCAGCAGGCTGAGACTCACCAGACCAAACTAGAACAGAATCCTGATATTCCTGCTAGAGAAGAAGAATTTCAAGTTTCCTATTTCTTTTATTTGGTCCCACCTCTCTTGTCCTTCGTTTCTCCTTCACCGTACAATGATTTACACCCAATTACGACAGAATATTGACATTTCATATGAAGAAGGATTTTGAATAATTTGCTCCGTTTCGCTATTGGCTCCTGCTCCTCCTGCCCTCCTAGTCCAAGACCTACCGTTTACCCCTTCACTCAACAATTTTTCAGATCAAATTAGAACAGAAACCTGACATTTCTACAGAAGAAGGGAGCTTTTAAATCACGTCGTATATTTTCCCTGTTGGACCCCCATCCCTCCTGCTATCGGAATCAGACCAACATTTATAGAATTTTGTTTCCCCTTAATCCTTGAATGTTTCGGACCAAATTGAGATAGAATCCTGACATCCCTACAGAAGGAGTTTAAAGAATTTGTTCCATTTCTCCACGTGGATCCCACCCTAAGACCCTTGGGTCAGAGACCTTTCATGCAAACTTGAATCTCTTCACAAGATGATGTTTCAGAACATACTGGGGCACAATCTGCTCAGTCGTTCACCTTACCTTAGTCCTAAGATATACGCTTCACATATTTGTACAACGTAATGCTGAAAAGGGTCACACACCTCTAAGATGACATTCAAGTGTTTTTGTTACAATTGTGGTAATAAGTAAAGGTAATCAAGTTCCTTCCTGCTCAAACTTTTAATCCCTTCAGCAATGATAACGTCCATTATACCGGCGGACTGATGAAAACGAATGACTGACGAAAGACCCACCACGGTTTGAACAGAATTAAATATAACTTAAATAGATAATTGACATCACTCACCTTGTCTGTGGTGTCTGACACTGTGGCGGAACCCGATGATCCTATATTTATCTGGGAGTCTCCAATTACAATGGTGGTAACTCCAGGGATACCTCCAACAACATTTGTCACACCTCCCACCGGCCCGTACCCCAAGGGGTGCTGCACGGACAGCTGCTGTACTTGTAGAGGCTGACGTCTTCGAGAATCCACTAAAAGAATGCTTTCGATGTTGAGCATGTATTGTACATTTAATAAGTATAATATATATTTGATATCAATTAATAATTTAATTGGATGAAGTAGACATTCATTACAAATATTTTTTAAACATTGTTCGACACTTCAATAAACAACCATTACAGAAATACTGGCATAAACCACGGTTTTCCTGTTAGTCATATCTAATAAAAACAAGAGGCCCTTAGGCCTTAACGGTCATCTGACTATAAAGACCTATGTATAAAAGAAGCAAAATAGACCTTAAATAAATTGTCCAATTGCTCTACAGCTTACATGGAAGACATTGTTTGTTCATCAAGACATTTTTTGTAAACTTAAAGTCATATTCTTTATACATGCATTACATAACTGTGGACGTATTGCTTGTTGAAAAAGCAAGACACAAGCCCAATATCAAGACCCCTTGACCTTTTAGCTATTGAGAAGAAGTCATGGAAACATGTTAACACCTGTGACCTTGAAAGTCGGTCAATGTCATTCATATTAACAAAGTTGGTAGTCTTTCATCCTAGCATGCTACAGGCGTGATATCATCATCTTTGGCCTGTTGGTTATTTAGAAGAAGTCATTTAAAGATTTCAACAGGTTTGATCTTTGTGACCATTCAAGCAGATCAAGGTAATTTCTATTCACTAGGGGTCGAATCAACTTTCTGAATTTTAGTAAGGATTCCCCACTCCTAGTGATGGTTAATTCTAAATTTGGTTGAAATCCATTCAAGCAATGAGAAAGAGTAGCATTTTGAAGCAAAATCTTGTCTACCTTCCCTTTTTGGGCCCTCCCAAAGTCCATATAGGGCGATTCAACATTCTGAAGATCAGATGACGTGACTTGTATACTTACTTGTGCGAGTTATGTTGCTGTAAAGAGACTGGTCTCGATACAGAACAACCCTAGCTCAGCAGTTTGCAAATATATTCAGCTGTTAAAATTCAGATGCAGCGACTCCTAGCTGACTGATAAACTGAAATAATAAAAAATAGGTTACCAGGTACAATCACGGACTTATATGTAGGTAAATATCCGTGTCCAAATATAATTTAAATCACGTGGTCTTCTTTTCTTGATTAGACATATTACGAATATATACTTATATAACTTAGAATAGCTGTGCAGTTAATCTAAAGCAAATTCGATGAATGAAACAAGATCAACAGGAATTTGAAATATCAACGGTGAATTACAGCATCGATATCGATAATTGATCCGTTCTCAGCATTCTTCTCAGAGTAACAACTTACATCCCATCTGAGGGTTAGAATTTAACATGTATTTTTGTATTGCCTCGGTATTCTTTAATCCCTGCCTGAAAGGAAGAGTACACTAATAACCTCTACACCGATGAACAGTCTATGTTAACCACATGTTAGTACTGTTTGGGGCACGAAATAACCTACAATTCATAGGAAACAATGGTGAAGTTGTCGGACTATAAGCATTAATCCGTGCTTAACAATTAAGTATAATTGATAATTAGTGTGAGAAAATTGACCTTTTTATATACATCTATGTAAATCATCAACACAGTTAGGTGTTGGTGTTAAATAACGTAGCTAAACATACATAGAACAAACGTACTTACTTTAATGAACATACTACCGTAGCCTGTCGTAGTTTTACTTGGGAATAATCTGTGAAAAACTTGAAGCCCTGAGTGGTGATTTATTTTGAACACGTTCGAATGATAACTACGACAAGCAAAAAAAATAATTGAACGTACCTGAACGAAAATGACGCCCAGTAACGTACGTTCACATACTTTAGCGTATCATCATCCTGTACCAGTAGTTTAACGTACTTTTAATGTAGTTGCGCGTACGTAATTCAACAAGGGAAGAAATATCAAAGGGTTGATTTTAAAGTAAAAGGCAAAGTGGAAAATGGAAAAGAGCACAAGATGTTTCTGTAACCAAGAAAATCGACATTATACAGATATACCTGATTTAGTAGTGGATGAAAATTAAGTGATTGTGAATATTAAAGATATGACAATGGAACAAAGTAAACCCTATGAAGAAATGGTCAGTCCTTTCTGATGTAATTATGGGCTTCTGTAGAGCGTGCTCAATCACGTCAGAAATATCATCACAACCGTTTTGGTTAAAAAACGATATCAAGATAAACAGTTTTTATCGTATCAAAAATGGGTAGATAAACATATATTCTTCATTAAAGACTGAATGTATGGATGAAAATCCACTTAAAAATTGATATGATGTTCAAATTTACTTCGTGGAATATTACGGCATACCAGCATCTATCCTCAAATCATAGAAAAATGCATTTGACATATACAAGGAAAATATTAATGTACTTGTTAAAAAATATATACATATATCACAAGGGAAGGAAAAGATAAACAAGAGACTTTAACGCATTAAATTTAATAGATATCAAAAACGTTTTTACTGGTGTACATTAACGTTTTTATCGGAGCCTAACTTTACAATGAACCCTTCAACTTGCCGAATTTATACGTAATTTACTGTTCTTTACTGTACTGTGTTTACTTTCATTATTTGACCCAGTTTAACCTTCTTTCACTTACTTAATTTAACGTATTTACCTTGCATATTCTGTAGTTATTTCTCAGTAGGTTAAGCTTCCTTAATTAACATATGTGTGACTTATGTTTAATAAGCTACTGGAAGAACCTGTCACGCTTTCAGAAAGCTCTTTTCCTTACGCTATTGTTGTCTACTTTCATTTTCTATTCTTAGAATTACAGTTGTGACGAACGGTATAATATGTGTGTGGAAAACACTCGTGTAACTTCTGAGTGAATCGTCGGTGTACGTTTGATGTCCGATACTTGTCAATAAGACTTAAAACTTAATTGGTATCGAGTTATTTTAATTAACTTACCGATATTGAAAAAGTCTACTGACTACTGAGATAAAGTTTCATGTTATCTAACCTTCATCTGACGGATTTTGCCGGGCTAGTTTGTTCTACTACTAGATAGTAAGGAATGTAGACCAAACTGTAATATGTATTATAATAATGGGGAATGTCCATCATTTATGCAAAATTGATTTCCCATTCCTCAAGGACGCCTAGACGAAATTGGGACATAATCTTAGCATTCCCAAACAAAGGACACCGATTGGGTCACGCCCCCGCCAAAAGAGGCCGACACCCATGGTTCCGTAAAATCTGCTTATCGTTTACAAAATGATGCTTCAGAATGTTTTTTTTTTTTTTTTTAAATCTGACCTCTTGTAACATACTTTTTATGTCTGAGAGTACCAATAAAATTTGAAATCTGAGAAAAAAATTGGACACGCTCCTGCCATTCATCCACGAGAAGAATTTTTTAAAAATAGCTCTATTCACCCAATTTTGCCCGGCGTTGCCTCTCCTATCCCTGGGACAGAAACCTTCCACTTATACAATAATAGCCCCCTTCAACCAAGCATTCAGACCAAATTGGGACAGAATCCTTGCATTCCTACATAAGAATTGAGATTTTTAAGCATTTGCTAATTTTCCCCTCCTGGGTTCCGTCCATTCGGACCATGTAAACTTTTAGTTTATCTACTTTCACTTTCAGTACATTGCTATTCTTAGAAACACCTTTTAGTCTAGAAGGTTACTTTTGTGTAAAAGCAATATTGAAAATTAGCTTTATCGCATTTTTGAAATGTATTAATATATTTTTATTTGCTTCATAGACTGTACATTTATACTTTGCATAAGAACACCGTTAAACACATTATAAATGCATAACCGACAGTGTTGAAAGTAAATGGTACTTAATGAAAAACTATATTTAGCATGTGAACGTCAGCAGATCTAGGTTATAGTGATTTGACAATATTGCATTATATTAAACTAGGATCTCAATCAGGTACGGAAGTCAAATATCAACCCATCGGAGATGCCAATCAAGGTTGAATGTGATCTAAATGTTGTTTTCTGGGTTTTTAATAATTCAGATGATGTTCTTCCTGGGATTTTTCTTGATATCTAAACTGGATTTTAAAATGTAATGAGTACATTTTGTGACTTTTTATACCCCCTACCCTTCCCTCCACTCCAACAACCCGCCTCCCTCTCCCCCCCCCCCCCCCAGCCCCCCCCCCCCCCCCCCCCCCCCCCCCCCCAAAAAAAAAAAAAAAACAACAACAAACAAACAAAACAAAACAAAAACAGCAAACAAAAATCAACACTTACGATACTGGTACATGTTTATGGTTCCCCAAACGCCATATTCTCACTGTACATTTTGTACATCACGGTATCTAAAAAACAGATAATTATAGTCCTAACGACCATCTAACTGACCTGTAAAGACCTATAAATGGCACACAGTACTAGCAGTAGTAGTACACTGTACTAGCAGTAGTAGTACTCTGTAGTACACTGTACTAGCAGTAGTAGTACTCTGTAGTACACTGTACTAGCAGTAGTAGTACACTGTACTAGCAGTAATAGTACTCTGTAGTACACTGTACTAGCAGTAGTAGTACACTGTACTAGCAGTAGTAGTACACTGTACTAGCAGTAATAGTACTCTGTAGTACACTGTACTAGCAGTAGTAGTACTCTGTACTAGCAGTAGTAGTACTGTAGTACTACTAGTAGTAGCAGTAGTAGTACACTGTACTGTACTAGCAGTAGTAGTACTGTAGTATACTGTACTAGCAGTAGTAGTACTCTGTACTAGCAGTAGTAGTAGTAGTACTCTGTACTAGCAGTAGTAGTACTCTGTAGTACTCTGTACTAGCAGTAGTAGTACTCTGTAGTACACTGTACTAGCAGTAGTAGTACTCTGTAGTACACAGTACTAGCAGTAGTAGTACACTGTACTAGCAGTAGTAGTACTCTGTAGTACACTGTACTAGCAGTAGTAGTACTCTGTACTAGCAGTAGTAGTACTCTGTAGTATACTGTACTAGCAGTAGTAGTACTCTGTAGTACACTGTACTAGCAGTAGTAGTACTCTGTAGTACACTGTACTAGCAGTAGTAGTACTCTGTAGTACACTGTACTAGCAGTAGTAGTACTCTGTAGTACACAGTACTAGCAGTAGTAGTACACTGTACTAGCAGTAGTAGTACTCTGTAGTACACTGTACTAGCAGTAGTAGTACTCTGTACTAGCAGTAGTAGTACTCTGTAGTATACTGTACTAGCAGTAGTAGTACTCTGTAGTATACTGTACTAGCAGTAGTAGTACTCTGTAGTACACTGTACTAGCAGTAGTAGTACTCTGTACTAGCAGTAGTAGTACTCTGTACTAGCAGAAGTAGTACTCTGTACTAGCAGTAGTAGTACTCTGTACTAGCAGAAGTAGTACTCTGTACTAGCAGTAGTAGTACTCTGTAGTACTCTGTACTAGCAGTAGTAGTACTCTGTAGTATACTGTACTACTCTGTAGTACACTGTACTAGCAGTAGTAGTGACAGCTATTGAATGGTTACTGATCAGAATCTTAATGTTTTAGCTTTGTCGGTTCAAAAAGCCATATTCGCAAACTTGAAATCTCAGTCCTCCACCATGCTACTACACAAATATCATGACCCATGACTTACTTCTTGTTGAAAATAGAAAGTTTATGTTCTCGACACATTTGACCCCTGTGACTTTGAAAGTGTGCCAGAGTCCATCATTGAGTATACTTGAATACCTCTTTATCCAACTGTTTCAGAATCAATATTCTGGGACTTCTGTGTATTGAGGGGTCGTTTGAAGATGTTAACACATTTGCCCCGTGTCACCTTGAAAATAGATCACTGTCATTAATTTGAATAAGTTTGATAGTCAGTCATACGAGCATGCTACAGGCCTAATATCAGTACCCTTGGTCATTTTGGTTATTAAGAAGAAGGCGTTTGATTGGAAAGTTTATGAACGGCGCATGACGACTGGAATATCTTGGAGAGCTCTGTGTCTTTATACACAAGTATAGGTTTTCTGCATTTCAAATACACAGTATCTCATTTACGCTAGATATTACTTTACGAAATACACATGTACTTATAACAAACAACGTGATCTCACAAAGAAACTGGGTGATTCTTTTAGGTAAACTGACCCGAACTATTGATAAATACAAATATATATGACCTAAAGTACCATTTTGTTGTAAAGGAAAAATTATATAGATGTTCAAAAACATGCGTTAATTCTCTTTTAAAGAATCCACGCATGAACACACGTTTTTATATACTTATCATTATAATCATGGCCTCAATGGAAAGTTGATATGCTTTTGGCTGCACGTCTTTGTTACTACGTTATGGTCTGCTAGGCCTAATCACTGCACATTGCGTTATAGTAAGGTGAAAAGTCAACCAGTACTGGCTGGCTGACTCTCTTGCATGGCGTTGTCTCACGAACGTCTGTGTGCCGTCTTTATTGATATCGTTAAAAAAATCGTCCAGATTGACGCAATTATCTTTCATTTCCAGCGTTTGCTTGGAATTTCAGTGATATTAAAAGTATTCACAATACTGACACATCGTCATCGGTCATATATTAGTAACTCAACTGAACTAGCGGTTTACAAAGATTAGAAGTTATCTCGGCGATTTGGAATTCCAAGAACTCAGTTTCTATCTACTTTCACTTTCGACTCATTAGTGTTCTTGGAAGTGTGGCTTTAGCAAGGTTTTGTGCACACACACACACTGATGCGTTTTAAATCTCGCTTACATTTTAGACGATGATTATTTCTGATAAACAAAACAATTTTTGTGTTGACAATTTTTTGTTACAACTTGGCATAGTGCTAAAAAAAGATACACAAATTTAGTGAAATTCTAGTCTCGCTGACAAGAAATACTGAGGTATGTGTTCAAAATAACCATCGAATGTTATACTTACCAATGTTTGTGCCGTTGTCTCGTTGGTCACCCTAAAATTTCAAATAATGTCGGCGAAGTCCAGCCACGACCGATTTTAAGTGCGGAGCTTTCAGATTGTAACATCCGCTGACGTTTGTTGCAGAACGCTAACTAGTGGTTAGGCCTTCTGCGTTGTCGGCCTGTGACTGCCAGAGCTTCGAGAGAGTGTAGGTGGAGGGCGTAGGTGGGGTATGTGTTATATGTGTCTCTGGCTAGACGTAATGGGATTATGTAAGAGATTTTAAAATGTTAACAAAAAGGAGGGGAATTGGGTTTTGCATTGTAAATAATATTTCACTTACTTAAAAGCTATAATATAGCAAATATGAAATAAAAAGAACCGTTTTACATGGCGAAAAAGCGAAGTGGCAGGCATGGGTTCGATGCTCACTCGCAAAATCTTTCTACTTCATTTTTTTTTCTTCATTTTCCTACACTTCATACCTCCCCCCAATCTAGCACTCTCCAGCAACTATGTTGCCATAAAAATGCTTCGATTTTCCGTAAAACAATACTGCTTTGTATATCGATATACTCAGTGGTTATTTCATGTATTTTATGTCACTTGTGAACATTTTGAAGACCACCTTTTGATAACATGAAGTTGGACCGATAGCCATAGTAAAAAGAACTATAGTACATAAACGAATTCTGTAAGGTTAAGGGAAATTCTTTTTATGGTACTGGCAAAAATACCCAGGCGGTTCATCTGCTGAAATCTAAGTATCTAAGTCTGTGCTGAAAGGCTGCAAAAGCTGGTGCCAGCCAATGAATTAATGAAAAAAAAGTTCGAGAAAGGTTGAGCATGAAATTTTTAAGAATGTTCAAAGTTGAAAGCTTTTAATTACCTGTAATGTGTATCATTATTGGTTTGTATGTTCTGAAAATTAGTTAAACTAAATAAATAATTGAAATCTTGCATACACTGAATTGTTTCTGAATGCATGAATAGTTTTGGATATTTCAAACAACTGGTTTTACATTTATGGAAATCACTTTTGAGTATGCATGCAGAAAAATGGAGGGTGAAAAAATGGGGTTATGCAATATTTTGATATTAAAGAAAAAAATTGTGAAAATTGGAGACAAATTAATCTATATTTTAAATGCTACGATTTGGTTTTCCATAGCAGTACGCAATTTTATCTTTTCTGTGCAACAGAAGGAGAGTGGCATGGTATTAGGTGATCTTTACTTATTCCCTACGATCACCCATTGTTTGGCAGGTTTGTTTCCACCTGTTATAGTTTAGTTTCAACAATATTATATTTAAGAGTAAACATTAAAATAATTAAAAAATGATCGAGGATTTTGACTGATCAAGGAATGCTGGTGTCAACAATATTACTGTCCAAGCACCTGATCCTTTGTTTATAAGGATATAAACGTCCAACTGCATGTAACAAGAAGCTCATAGGGCCTGTATCACTCACTTGGAACTTAAAGCCCAGCGATGGTATTCATGACTTCAGGCTGGGTATTTCAAAAATTTCCAAATTAAAGCCCATTCACATAACCTCTTTTATGAAGCAAGATTAATGGGTAAATTCTTATATCATTCTCTTTTGATTCCCAGTATGAGTTTATACGGTTGGCAAAAATATGAAATGATATCCCTTGAAGTGTACCATATGGTTTAGGAGTGGGGATCTCAACAGCTTTAAAAACATAACAAGGAAACTAAGTCTCTGGGGTTTCCAGTTCCTCTAAGAAAAGGATGCTTCTGACAAAATTTGGTCAAAATCCCCTCAGTTGTACATGACTAGTAGCGTTTTGTAGAAGAGTTGACATGATGGTAAACAGTGTCCCTATAACTCACTTCGAACCAAGTGAGCTAAAAATTACATAAAAATATAGTTCAGTAAGGGGTTACTCTATCGAAACTAGTCCCTTGTGTAAAACTGAGTACATTGTAAATTCATAACTTACTTTAGGGTTGTTGTGTCCTATCAAAATGTCAATTCTTTATGTTTGTCCTGTCTGTTTTCTGTGTTACCGTAACATATCATGTTTTGTATAGTAGTGTAGGAGTAAAATTTCTTAATAAAAAACAAAAAAATCAATATTTATTGGTAAATTTTTTTAATTGTCAGAATTTTTAGCATATACTTTATATTGATGTTATTGTCATTTGATCCACCATACAATAAAATATTCATTTTCACACACAAGTGATGGAGAAACCTTCATTTCTCGTAGGGATGTGCACACCACACAGAGGTTGACTTGCTGAATGATTCACTCATGTGCAGAAAATTAAATGGGGATCCACTGTTAATTAGTTGGTTTCAGATACAAGGGAAATCCCCTATTTATTGGACATGTACACCATGAAAGGATCCCTTCTTTGTTTGGATGGATTAGCAAATTCACACAATACGAGGGGTTCCCCTTCTTAGGATGGCTTGACACATTTGTATCTATACACAATACATTGGGAAGCCCTTTGTTACGATAGGTAAAGACAAAGTATCTATACATAATATATGAGGGATCCCTTCTTAAAGATGGAATAACATGTGTACATACGCAATACAAATTTCACACATGTACATGATAGAAAGGATATCCAATATTTATATGGTATCTTTGTATCTGTACACAAAACAAAGAAAATATTGAATAGATTCTCAGGTATACACAGTACCAGAGGAACTCTTTATTGTATAGATTTTAAACTGTATTAAATCACAGTGTAAATGGGTATCAGCTGTTTAATTACTATACCAGAAATTTGGATGAACCCATTATTTCAACACAGAACAGAAAAATGAAATAGTTCGTTAGCTCAATAAACCCCCCAAATTGTGTAAATTACATTTTACAACAAAACGGCTGAGATTCTAGAATCTGTCAAATATTATTGGTAAGTAACACTTTGATAAATCACAATCAATTATCACTGAAAACAGTTAATCTTTACACACACTGTGGAAGACATAATTTAATTGACAACATATAAAACTATCTACTCTCGGGTAAGAAATCTTGAAACTATTCTCATGTTTAAACTCAAGTCTTAGGCAAGATCTGTAATTTTCACAATTCTTGTGTTACTTTAAATCACATGTAACCAAAAAACTCAAAAAACTAATGAAGGTGCTGCATACGTAAAAAATAGTAACATTAAACCCGGACTTTTTTATTACCTTTATCAAATTTACCAGAAAATAAATGAAACATGTTATCTGTTTATTAACATTCATTTTATCGAATTTAACTGAAAGTAGATATTTCAAAATCAAACACAAATATTATTACGGTCTTCTATTTCACCACTGGTTTAGTATAAAAACATGATCAAGGTATGGTCATCAGCTGAATCTAGAGTAAAATCTATTTGAATCAGTAATTATTTGTTAGTGAAAAAACTTGATTTTAAAACTTAAACATCTTCTAAGTGTGAAATTATGTTATTCAATGGCTTTTTGATATCAAAGATATCACAATCTTAACATTTCACTTTTCACACATCACTAAGTGTACAGACTAACAAAGTTCCAATTATTTTGTAGTGGTACACATACCAAATATCAGGCATCCAAGATTCTACATTACATACATACAAACGTCTCACTATCATCATTTCACTTAATTCATAATAATCACTCATATTTATAGATTCCTCAACTTATGAGATGGTTCCACTAGACTGAAGTAGATACATGACATATATGTCTCTGTAACTTCAAACCACAGTGTAGAGAAGACAAATTATAGCTTGGAGCTGAGTAAAGTCATTGATTTTGAGAATTGAATCATGATGATATTCAGAGACAAAAGACAACCTTGGTTGAGTTGTTGTACTTGAAGGCTCAGCACAGTATATCTATACCTTGGTTTCTGTTTGGATATGATCATCATAGCTGTGAAGCAGAATTTTGCAAACAAAATAAAGTTCTTTAACTGAGAAAACATAATGACTTATAACTGTCTGAATTAATTTTGTCCTTTCACCCCCAAATAACTTTTGTAGATACTTCCAACCTTTGCAAGAGATTTCTCATATTTTTGCCTTAATGGGCGAAAGAATATGTTCAGTTACGAAATGCATTAAGCATTGATTTAGGTAATGTTTACATGTAGCATTCGTTATGGTAACCTCAACTTTAAAATATGGTTTTGTCAAATATAAATATTTTATTAACTAATATTTCATATTAGATACAACTTTTGTTTTAATGGTTTTATTCACAATAAGTTACCAGGTAATGAATGTTAATCTAGTATGATAACTTGTCACTCTTCTGTAATAGTATCATTCCAGGCATTACTTAAAATAATATCTTTAATATCATCAAAATGTTATCACCAACAAATACTGTAAAATTAGTATAAAACATGTAAGAATTAATCAAGAAGGACTTTCTATCACGGACAGCTGATATGGAAAAGATCATCACAATCAAACATGTCAAAAGAAACATTTTTTCTTAAAACAGTCCCGAATTTGAAAATAAATTCTAAAAAATTGTAAAGTATATTCTTACAGTTTATTTATACATACAAGAACATATATTCTGTACAAAAAATAAATGTGTACAACTATTATAATCTTCTAGTCATAGGGTAACATTCACAGCACATTTAAAACACACATATGGTACAAATGTACCATACACACAACTGACACACATATATACCAATGAAGTTTTAAAATTACACAAATACAACCAAATATCACTATAATAATCACAGCCATAACCTTGATATTTCACATGTACAAAAGAATTCTTCCATGATAGTATACAGATTTTTAGACGTTTCAGAGGATACTTGGTGAAAAGTGTGCCGTGTCATTCATATCAATCACACATCATTGCATTGCAGGGGTTTGTTGTGATAGTGTTGCAGCACAAACAATACAAAGTCACTTTAACATGTTTGGTTACTATCTACAAGGTCTTATCTCCTTGTATTAATTTAATTGATGGCACTGCTGTTTATATGCCATTTTAATATTTAATTGTTAGAAGTCTTCAAACAGTGAGGAAACTTGTGATTTTTATTTCTTTAGACTGAACTCCAGTTTCCACAACCTTTCAATATAGGTCATAGGTCAAAATTATTAGAAGTATTACATTATCAGATAGGTGTTGTAAAACTTAGACAATATATACATAGTTATAATATAACTCGGTGAGAAAGGAAATTAAGGTTAATTAGTTGTGTAAAATTTCAAGGTGACCCCATTACCTGAATTAGCTTTTGGCCTGTGATCTGAAAATATAGTCCACACATCTATACTGCACAAGATCAAATTCCTGGAGTGTTTATAAAGTATTGAATGCTAAGATTTCTTCAGGCTCAAATTTTGGGAAAAAAACCTTAGGTCTGTGTATATAAACATAAACTTTACAAAATATCACATAACGTCCGGTATAAATGCCCTCAATAATCAGCTGTATCCCCGTGGCACTACATACTTTTTCACTCTCTCCAGTACTGCTGCCATGTGCTGTTTGTAAAGGCGGTCATTACTCAGATCCACACAACTATATTTGGCAATAATCTTTCGCACCTGGTCTGGTGCACTTTCAAGGGGAGAGAACCTGAGGAGTACAGGAATGATTGGTTTGTTGAATGTCTCGGCCAGAGTTAGGTCTTTCTTGCAGTTGTCACTCTGGAGGTATTTCGGGGTGATGCAGCATACCACTACAGCTGAGGCCTTCATGTTTCGCTGGATCTGACTCTGCAATGTCTCGCCCCCAACCTCCAGCAGTGTTACACTACTGCGGCTACTCTTGCTACTGTGACCACGTGGTTGGGTAGTACTAGCCATTGTGATATCTGCCCAGCACTGAAGACCATTGTTTTCAAGCATTTGTTTGATGTCAAGCACTTTCCCTTGCATATCCCACTGGTAACTGATAAATACTTGAGGTTCACCTTCCTTGTAGTACTGAGAATGGGTTCCACCTGTACACAGAAACAAATTTATTATCATTGTATAACACTGTAGTGTATACTATGATAAATCTATCACACTTGCTCTTCAGACGTGAACATAAATTCAAAGTATAGCAAAAAATAAGTTACAAGGTCAATTTAGTAGGTTGACATTGTTTTCTTGATGTATGTAAAAAATTAGAAGTACGTTTCATATTAATATCTAGTCTCCTCTTTTCCTTACAACAAAATAAAAAATAAAATTGTAATCTTGTCAGGGCGACAACATTGCACCTAGCGCATTACATGAGATTCAGGAAGTGCTGGTCTGATTTCCATGAGAGTAAAAGAAGCTTCAATCAGAACCTAAAATGATGTCACACATTTAGTATAATAACTATATACACCAGGACAGATTGAACATTGGTACTATGAGATGATTAAAACTTGATGCTCCTAGATCAGTACACAGATATGTCTAAATGATAAAACATTCCTACAATTAGTATTGACCAGACACCTATTAGAATTACCTAATTCACAAACAATATTTAATGTTTTTTAGCTATCAGAAAGTTGTGAGCAGTTTTTTACCTGGTGAAACAGTGCCAAGGACCTCAAGGGGTTTTAGGCCCTCTGCCATCTTGTTGAGGTACGCCTGTTCAAGGACCACACCTGGAACTCGCCTTAAGGGTTTGATATGGTGCTCCAACACATCAAGACTCTCATTATACATTTTGGTTTCAAAATCCACAGAAGGGCATTCACCTGTTAATATCAGAAACTCGTGTAATTTTTCAATAGATGTCCGACACAAATAGTGAAATATCAACCATTGGTTTTGGAGTCATGTTTCTATTCTATATTAACTGGTTATGCACACTGGACCTTGTTTCTCAAGATGTTTATGTGACTGCTTTTCACTTAATATTACTTCCTTTTACTATCATATTAATTACTGTTAACTGATTTACTTACCCAGCACCGCTTTGAGAGAAGCTCTGAAATTCATCCAGACATTTTTAAACATGGCAGTGACAAGTTTCTTGCCTAGCCAGTCTGCAAACAAGACTTCATGGAAGACAAATGGAGAGGTGGTGGAAGCTTCTGTTAGAAGGACCACAATTTGGGAGGATGTCGCCATGACTGGACCATTTATGAGCAGGAACTCTTCCTTTGACTTTCCTAGCTTCATACTGTCATGGTGAAGCACCTAGAATACAAAAACAAACCAAGGTAGATAACTCATACAAAGTCATTTCATAAAAACCATTAAAAATGCAGGAAGTCATCTGCACAACATGCTTCCAAAGCTAACAATTAAACAAGATACATATATCATCTTACATTCTCTGGCTGCACGTGTATACTGGTATGATTTTATGTGCCACTACCGCACATTTGAACAGTTTGTGTCATGTATCTGGAAAGAAAGACTTTCAAACCTCGATTCAGCATTTTTATTATTAAGAAACCATATTGATATTAAATACATAATATGACATTGCTTGAAATAGAGTCAAATTTTGTTAAATATTAAGGGAAATAAAGTAGACATCCTTCTAGCTCTCTTCAAAACACAAATAAACACAGGGTTAACCAGGCAATTATTCAATCGCTCAAAGAAAAAAAATCTTCAAGACTAATTGATCGATAACAGAACAATAAAATTAAATTACTATTAATGGGGATAACGATAATATGTTGAGAATGCTTAGGAGTCGTTGATATCTTTTTAATTGAATTAGCCTTTCATGGGTACTTTCTGATTGATTACTTGTATATTTGATTTGTTGTCTGCACGACTAGTCAATAACTAAACATTATGTATGGCTCAAACCAGTAAATAAGTAGTGCGTGTATTTCATGGTCATATTTCTTTAAAAGGATCCCAATCTTTTTAATTAAGTTTTCTGGGTTAAGAATATGATTCTTTTGAATCTTAACATCTAATTTATACGCTAGTAATTGGTATCTTTCACTAGGTAATCTTGATGTGTGTAATACCTGTATAGGATTTTAACTATCTATTTATTAACCCTTTCCATCCGACACTCTCCGCATTAAAAATATCTCACAGTTTGATAAGGTGAACTATGTAGTAATGGAGCTGTGACCAGCCTACACAGGTACGATATGTGGCAGAGAAGTTGATATCAAATAACATTTATCAAGGATCACTTAGAAAATTGATAGACTACATTCAATAGAAACAGTGTTGACTGAAACGCCTGTGTCATAACACCGCTGTAAACTTTGATTGTTGATCCACAAAACTGGATACCTATTGTAAACCTGAATGAACTCTTGTCCCATGAACAATTTATCGCTAATGTCAACATCCATTCTGTGAGTCAGTGGGTAATGTTATACATACAGTGATAAATACCATACACAGCTAAATCAACACAGTGACCATGACATGATTAGAAAGAGAAAAAACTTTAGTGATAAACTCATTAACAATATCCTTTAAAGTGAGTTGTCGTTTGTGCCATAGAATAATATTCACACATACCAACATGGGATTATATATATATAATTGTGTATGTTGCACTTGTATTAAGGTAGATTAGTTTGCAGATCTGTCACTGAGATATAGGGTAGCTGACCAAGTACTGATTAGGTCTTACTTGTTTGCCAAAATATCAAACATGCATTCACTATTGCTTTATAACAGGCCTTTCTTGAAATTTCAATATGAATGTTCAACGTATTCTTGAATACATCCATTTATGCTTTTATCACTTTCAATTTCCACCAAAACATGTTGTTTCTTTTTAATTATACTCAGCTGTTGACTCAAAAGTTCAATTTTAAAATCACCTGATTGAAATACAGAACTAAAATTACATGTAGTTTACACATTTTTATTACATTTGAACTTTCAAAAAATCACTTTTTTTTGGTAATTTACTAAAATAAATTGGAAATATTTGAAAAAACTTTAATTAATAATTGTTTCTATTAACATACATTCATTTATAGCTGCATTAGGTAAAGGACTGTAAATTTGCAACAGCAGAAAAAATTGTCAGGAGACACATTACCCCTGAAGTAAGGGTCCTCGCTATTATGTGACAGTGAAATAGCATTTGTTGGTAATTCTATGGAATAGCCAGAAGATGTGGGTAGACTTACTACAGTCCCTGCTTCAATAAATTATGGTCATAAAGAGGAAGGTATTACGACTAATGAACTCATGTCAGGTCACATTGCTTCTGCTGTCATATCTCATTTCATCATATGTTCATCCTTATTGGTACTTGTCACAGAATTGTTTCAACCACTTGTAAGACAATGTATTATAGAGTTGATAACTTACTACAAAATCTATCATTTTTGTGGGGCATTTATTCTCCTTCATTCACTGGTCCTTCTAAATCCATGAATCCATGAATCACAAACATATTGATTATTGCTTGAACAATGATAACAATTTTCTAAAAACAGTATTACGGTCATTTATAAGTGTTTGAGCTGACTTGATCCCATAAGGAATGAAGCCCCCAGAGAACTGACTAAGGTTTTTAGAAAATGATAAATGATTTTGACTCATCAACTCGGAAACTCAGAACTGTTCAAGGTTGTTTTTTTTATGTAATTGTGTAAAGTTTTATGATAATCCCTCATCCAATGAAGCCACTAGAGTGCAGAAAAACTTTGTCACAAATGCATGGACAGACAGATAGATAAAGTACATATAGTTCCCGAGCTTTCATTATTAGTGGACCAAATAATGAACGGTTCAAAACTTAAGATAAATTTTTCAGGAGTAGAATTCTTAAGTACAATGAAAAAAGTTTGAGTCCCATGAAAATTGAGGACTTTAAGTAACTGAGACCCTTCCCTTTCACAGACTATCAAGTGTAAAATATAATCAAACTAAGCATGTTAAATTCAAGTAGTTATATGCTCTTAATATGAAAGAAGGAATATTTCACCTATATGTATTTTATGTTCTCTGACAATGATTTCCTTATCAAAATTAATTCAAGCTTGGCATGTAAACGCTTATCAAAATACAATATAAATATAATTTGTATATAAATTCAAAATTCAATGTGTGAACTTTTGTCCACTTATCCTTAATTTTATATTTACATTATAAAATTAATCTCAAGTTCACAAATAAAAAATACAATTGAATTCATACAATCAACTCATTTCTGTTGAAATCAATATTAATGAACAGAACTGGCATAAATGGTTACCAGAAATAAGAGCGTTGATGTCACTCATGTCAAACTGTCTTAAAATAAGGGTAATGAAAAAAATAGATTTTTTATCATATGTTTCTACAGTAGGATTGGTCTCTGAAAGGCATGCTTTGTTTGACGATCTCTTCTGGTATCAATGGGCAAACACAATGGACTTTCACATATGGCATAATAGACTGGTGAAGGATAAAACTGACATCTAAATAACACTGTTGTTGGCCTCACATGAAAGAATGTGCCTTACCATGTTTTCAGCACATCTTACGACTGAAGTAACAAACATTGTCAATTAAACTCGGATTGTGATCAACTTGGTGGTCACCAAGGTATAATATAAGGGCCGCAGATAATCTCTTCAACATAGAAATTGTAAAATAAAAACCAATATTTAAAACATTCAACTTCATGTGCTTATCAAATCTGACATACTCCTGTGAAGATAGAGTGCTGTAGTTTGTTTGATGATAGATATTTCTCTGTGTCAATACTCAACACATGGTAACACACATTGCTTTTGTAAATGTTGTCAGTACGTTGAACCTAATACCCATAAAAATATGTATCCTGGACAGAGACAATTTATTGTGATCTTTATAGGCAATACTAAATGCCATGTTAACTGAGACTTTCATTAACAACCTAGAACGTTATAATTACACCTCGTTATAAATCATAAGGACTCAATATTGTTGACCCAATATTGTTATAAAGACTTATAATATGAAAAAAAAAGTTCTTGCTCAAGTAGACACTTTTAGTTTAATTGTGAAGAGGAGAAACCATACTCCTAAAAGCACCTTTAGCTAAATATTGTGCTGATTTTGACACTGTAATATCTGCAATGGGAGGCAAGAAAATTTTAACTTTCATTTTATGACTTAATTCTCAATGACTAATGGCCAGATCACTCCTTCAATAATATCATTTCAATTTTTACAATAAGAAACGGTAAAAAATAAAAATAAAAAATAGACGTTAAATTAAAGAAAGAATGTATATTTTTAATACTGCTAAGTAAATCATAATAAATTTGCTACAAAACATCTATTGTTATCATTATAAGTTCCACTTTAACACCCTGTCAAGTAATATGAAACCATGCTATGTACAGTAAGTCAATGTTGACATAGGGCAGATTGTCTTAAAACATAAATGCTTATACAGCATGGGTTACATTGTTTAGCTGAAGAAGCTCTTGATATCTCTTTAGATCTGTGATATCAAATGTTTTGTTTATTATTATCTATGGTATTACATTAATAATAGTTGTATTTCTAAATTTAGACTCCAAGGTTAACCAACATGACATCTCGAGATTGTAAACAGTAGTACAACGGTCAACATTAAAGGCATACAAGCATATATTGTGACATTATAATCAACTGTATATTAATTGCAGACACTTTTGTCATGCCCAACATTCCCCATATCTCCCTGATCAAATGTAATAAAGCTTGTAGATGATTCATCTTAATTTATAACATGCAGACCTGTTCAATCTTTATCCTATTTCATGCCAATGTTATTTAACTTGAGGAAATTTATGACTAACATGAAGACAATTTTATAAAAATTCAGAACACAGTTCTGAATGATAAAACTGTCAACATTAAACCTTGTAAGGTTGTGAAACTAGTAATACTAACAGCTATCAAAAACACATAATCCGCAATTTTATAAATTCTTCTGCTTCAATTTAAATTGTTTTACTCAATGATGAAAAAATAACAAGAATGACATGGTTTACTTATATGAGTTTCTATGATTTCTATTTTGCCAATATAAATTACTAGTTGTATGTTACTAGGCAGAAGTGAAAACACGTAATTCATGTTGACTTCAGAAATGTTTTTCTTGAACTTAAGGTACAGTTGACAAACATATCATTATGGAAGAGTGCTCCATTTTATCTGTGGTATTGAAGACTTTTATCATTTCTTCTTATTGGTTGTTATTTCTTAAATAGTTTTTAAAGTAATGAACTTCTGTAGCAAACGTCACATTAATGTTTAAATACAGTAAAACAACAATCATATACATACGCTACTGGGATAAGCCATTTACATTTGGACATGATTTTGGTTTTGACAAGTAAAATACAAACTTTCTAAGTTCACAACTGAATGATTCTGATAGACAGCTAAAACAGAAAAAAATACATAAAAACACATCTATAATTTTATATATTAAGTGCTATCGCACATCCAAATTTTTCTCTGTGTGACTGTCAGTTTGAGTGTGACTGCTACATAACTTGTCAGTGTGATTGTTATTATTATCAAAGTGTAACTGTTCTAGTTTGCAGTTGTAACTGCTGTAGTTTGTCTGTATGTGAGTGTTATGGTTTGTCTGTATGTGAGTGTTACAGTGCGTCAGTATGTGAGTGTTATAGTTTGTCTGTATGCGAGTGTTATAGTTTGTCTGTATGTGAGTGTTACAGTGCGTCAGTATGTGAGTGTTATGGTTTGTCTGTATGCGAGTGTTATGGTTTGTCTGTATGTGAGTGTTACAGTGCGTCAGTATGTGAGTGTTATGGTTTGTCTGTATGCGAGTGTTATGGTTTGTCAGTATGTGAGTGTTATGGTTTGTCTGTATGTGAGTGTTACAGTGCGTCAGTTTGTGAGTGTTATAGTTTGTCAGTATGTGACTGTTATAGTTTGTCTGTATGCGAGTGTTATAGTTTGTCAGTATGTGACTGTTATAGTTTGTCTGTATGTGAGTGTTACAGTGCGTCAGTATGTGAGTGTTATAGTTTGTCTGTATGTGAGTGTTATGGTTTGTCAGTATGTGACTGTTATAGTTTGTCTGTATGTGAGTGTTATAGTTTGTCAGTATGTGAGTGTTATAGTTTGTCTGTATGTGAGTGTTATGGTTTGTCTGTATGTGAGTGTTACAGTGCGTCAGTATGTGAGTGTTATAGTTTGTCTGTATGTGAGTGTTATGGTTTGTCAGTATGTGAGTGTTACAGTGCGTCAGTATATGACAGTACCAAGCATATTACTGTAACTTGCTAAATAGTGTTTGTCAGCTTTTGTTATTTCATTACTTTTTGTCAGAAATGTTTTATTCATGAGACAGCAGATAAGTGCTATTTTTTTTACTTAAGTCGGTAAGTAAAATCAAACCATTTCAGTGACGATCATATATTTTCATCTTGGGGCACCCACTCTACAAGTTTTAAGATATTTGAAAAGCAGTACTCATAACAGACACAGCTTCATATATTTGAAAAACATGAACTGTGAAATTGAATCGTACTTTGAATTTAATTACTTGGTACAACTGAGGTATCTTACCTGCAGATTTTTCTTCTTTAAGTCAGCTTTGAGGTTCTGTGCAAGACGGACATCTGCAGGATCATACACCAGATAGATGACATCAGGTTTGGCACGCAGAGCACGTGCTCGTAGATGCCAGTTGTCTTTCTGTTTGTGTTCAGAGTCCAGAGTAATAAGAATCTGCTGCATGATTTTTTTGCGAACTACACGACTATCAATTCCAAGGTGTTGTATCATGTCATGGTCAGTCAGTGACATCAGGAGAAATCCATCCACCATATTTTCAGCCAAACTTTGACGATAAAATTCCTTTATTCCCAAATTGAAGAGCCATTCCTGTAGATCACTAGCACTCCACTGACATATCTTTTTCTTTTTGTACTCTTCTGTGAACTCTGTGTCAGGTGGTGTCACAGGTGTAGGGGGGATGTTCATGGAGGCATATTTATCTAGCTCTTCCATGATACCCCCTATCACAACAGACGTTTTCTCAGCTAGACTCTTTTTTACATGGTCTTTACTTAAATCTACAGCATGTTTTATTAATAAAAAATAATCTTTTGGAATTTCAGTGTTGTCTAATGATGAGAAGATAATGGGAAATATGGCTACAGAGTGTGGATCTTGTCGTCGTCTTTGTAGAAGTGTTTTACTTTCATACATTGACACAGGACAAGAAAAGTAACTTGGGGAAAAGAAGAGAATGGAGGCCCGGCATTTTTCCACTGCCTCCATGCGCAAAGAGAACCACACTGGACTGTCAGTATTTTTTTCATCTTTATCAAACCAAATGTCTTCTGCAAGATTGTTTTCCTTCAGCTGCCGCACTGTGTCCACCACAAACTTCCTCTCAACAAACCCAGCATCTGGAGAGTAAGAAATGAATATCCCTCTCTTCATCTTTTTTATTTTTTGAGGGGGAGCCACATATGGTGCCGATTCATGGCTCTGTGTTGTGCCTCCTCCCTCCACTCGTTTGTTACTGTCCATGTGTTGTGTATTCGTTGAATCTTTCAGTGCCTGCTTTGATACCATTTCTCTTGATCTATCCGGCTGAGAACGCACATTTGACACAGAATCAAATTGGTTGATGTCTTCCGTCTTGTCTTTGATTTCCACAGTCACGGAATTTTCAATCACATCTGACTGCTCGGTATTCATGATTTATTATTTGGGCTAACAATCACCGTGGTATGTCGATTTATGAACCTGTCTTTGTTTCATAGTACACTATATGGATCTTTTACCTGCATGCCTGCACCAGTTCAGAGACATGGTCGCTTACCGACTCCCCCAGTTCATCTTGGCAAGCTCTCATCCCGAAACTACACAACATTCACACTGCCGCGGAAGACATCGTTGGTTGCTCCAGACTACTGCTGTTTCCTCTCATTCGTTGCTGTGAATTGTTCTTGTGCACTAATTAAACCCAAAAGAAGACCCTTTTTTAACATTTCCGTCACCGATCACGTTTTTTTCGAGCACATAGAAACCAAACAATAAGGTCGCTTAAGTCTAGGTAAAAATGGCTATTCCGTTATTCTCCGACGTGAAACGGTAAACTAAATTTACTTGTACAGAGATTACTTGAAATCGTTCTAAATGTGACTAATTTTTTGCCAATTTATAATACTTATATTCCCTATATATCATTCTCTATACAATTCAGAATTTGCATCCAAACATGTTGTGTATACGCTGTTCCATATACCTCCCCCGTTATCACATGGTTTTGGTGTGCAATAAACAAGCAAGGCATTCATGTCTAACCGCGTATGAGTGTGCTCACTGAGTCGTGTCATCCGTAGCCAATCACATGCCCGAAGATTTACTTAGTTGATTACAATGTATACTAAATAATACATGAATTATTTATACACCGTCGCATTAAACTGCGTTACCTAACATTTGTAAGCGCGATGTCAACAAGGCTAACCACGTGTTAGAAAACCGACGAAGCGTGTATAACCTCGTTTTGCATGTCAACGTGTTCAATAATGATATTCAAGATGGAGACGCCTAACTAGGTTCTGGAGGTTAAGTCTTTTTTGTAGGTAATTAATTAGTAATCGAATCAGTGGGATGCACATGGAATGAAGAAAATCGAAAGTATTTACGCTGCAGGTAAATGACTAACAACCAGAGGCACTGGTTATAACAAAGAGGCCAGTGCGATGTAAAATATACACGGAACAAAGGGCAGTGATTAGCGATGGTTTAAAGTGTTAGATCTTGGAAATGAATGCTCTATTACTTTGACATAAAATGCAGTATGAAATATATTTGTTTATAGATAGAGTGAATATGTCATAGCATTAATACAATAAATGATGGATGATATAACACTCCAGCCGCATAGCAGGCCAAACCGACTTTAACTAGCATACAACCTTCTTCTGACGTTGTATTCAATTACTCCTTTATTATGCCTTTATTGTGCTTATCTATAACTTGAAAAAAACACAGCATTGTAATTAAGTCTTTATATGTATACATTTTATAAAATACAGATTTCGTGAGTATTGTTCATTGCTTGCAGTGAAGCAATTGTATTCTGGAGCTGTACAGCAATCATCCAACCCATGAGGTTTGGGGACCATGTCAGGACGTGTTGGCGGTGGCAGACAAATGTTCTCCATAGAGCAGATTGAATTGATACGGCGGCTGAGGAACAGCGGCATTACCAAAGAGGAGGTGGCACAGGCATTTGATTCATTTGACCGTTTAGACAATGAGTTAGGACTGTTGTATAGTGTTCCTGTATCCCTGTCTCAGTCAGCTGTGCCTGCAGGCCGTAATCCTGCCCAGTCCCTCCATCCTCGTACATCAACACCAAATGCCACCAGGACAAGCCATTCTGGAACAGGCCATGGAGATCATCAGTTTTCACTGTCATCCACACAGGCAAATAATGTCCCTGCCTCCCAGTCACACAATATATCTGGGTACAGATCACATTCATCCAGTCAAGTGTACCCTGTGTCAATGACCGCAAATTCACGTACACCATCTCAGGCAGCTTTCCCTGAAAGACAGATAGCTAAACGAGCACGCACTGAAACCATAGACTTAAGCTTGGTAGATGATATAGACACAACAGTTAACTGTGTCACTGATGAGGACAATAGCAACACCAGCTCATCAGCTTCCATATCAAACATCTCTGAGGAAATAGCGACTGAGCTACGAGAATTTTTAAAGTAGGTATTTTTCCTTCTCAAGATAAAAAATTCATGACCCTGAATGATAAGATTTTCAGGGTTTTCTTTTCAGTGGTTTTGTACAGGTCAATTTCCCCTCATTTTGGAAAGAAAATTGGCGAACAAGGGAGTAAAATTTGAGGAATAAATTGCAAAATTTGGGAGTTTGGTGTTAACATGAAATAATTTCTGCAGGAAGAGGGATCATTATCGGCCCCAACAAACCTAAAAAAAAAATGATTTTGTTCCTTAATGGAACAAATAGAATATATTAATAGATTGTATAATGATAAACCACTAAATTTTACATGTCACTAACAGACAAGGTATCCAGAAGGCTGGTGATGAGGTTCGCTGGTTTATAACCCAGTACAACGTACAGCTGGGACAGCTTGCTACCATGACAGGTGAGTGATTGAAGTTATAAGGATTAGTTATATAATTAAATTACAGAAATTTGTGGTATGATGGGTGTATACAAGGGTATGTATATGACAGATATCTGTTGTATGTTGGATGGGTACCAGTTTATTTATATTACGCTGGTACCTAGGAACTAAATTAAATTGAAGCACGATCACATTTCAGCAATTTGACACATTGATATATTTGCATATACAGTGTTTGCAATATAAACAGCATGCAGTAACTGCAACTGACAGGAATAATATTTCAGCTCTGTACTTTCGCTTTGAAATATGAGTACCACTAAAATATGTAGGTTTACAATATTTCAGTAACAGATCTTCTCATTGTACCATAGTAAAATCATATTTATTAGACATACACCAATAGTAGTCACTATAGGCTTCTACATGTACATTACTCACATCAAACAGCAAGCAGTTGTTATCTGTGATAGCAATGTCTCTGTTTCCAGGTCAGACATTTGCTACTGCTACCCAGTTTTTACAGGGAGAATACAGTGGTATTCCTCAACACTGTATGCAGAGTTTTTTCACCTGGTATCTCACCTACAAGAAAACTGTGTCTACTCCTGCTCCACTACCACCATCAACTTCTCCAGGCAACACGCAGACAGGTGAATATAGAACAGGCAATAGTAATGTGTATATTAGGAATGGTGAAATAATGGGAAAAAATTGTGTCCTGAAAGCACTTAATTGTTAAATGTAATGAAAAACAGATGATTGTTGTATCCACACTACCTTACCTCTGATCAATTCTAATGATCTAAAAATTATATCTGGGTTGAAATTTCTTAAGAAAATGCATTTTGAATATTTGTACTAGAAGAATTAATATAGACAAATTGAAGGCCTTTTTTCCTATTAATTATAATCATATTAAGCATAACACAAAGTAAGAACTTTAAAATATGGACAATCTTATGAAGGCAACATTATCAAAAATTACAGGGTAGACACATGTACACATATAGTGATAAAAACTGTATGAATGTTTATCATGTTAAATCTGGTGGAGTTAATATGTATTTATCACATTTCAAACTGTTCACTGTTTATTTGTAAATTTAAAGGTGCCCTTCCCATGATTAATCAGAAAGTGAAACTGCCTGATGGTCAGGAAATCTTCATTCCCCATCAGCGACGAGAACGATTCACCTTTCGAGAAAAACATCTGGAGGTGCTGGAAACCTGCTTTAATGAGAATGCCTATCCGTCCCATGAGCAACGAGAGGCCATCTCTCACATGTGCAATATGGCTGTTAGTAATATGGGTAAGTTGTCAAGGTAACCAGGTGTATATTTTCTGAATGTTTATGGATAACTCATTGATTAAGATTTCTTGAATAGTAAATTTCATGATAGATTCTGAATTTCAAACCCAAAACTTTTAGTAACTTAATATTTAAATTGGATTCTAGGAAATCGTTCCCTACATGACAGAGAAAAGGTGACTCCACATATGGTGCTGAACTGGTTTGCCAACCGCAGGAAGGAAGTGAAGAAAATAGCGAGAGAAGGTGAGATTATTGGCAAAAGAAAATGATCTCACAGAAGGCAGATCAACTGAACTGGTTATTACAGAGGAAGGCAATGATTAGCCATTTTAGCCAGCAGTGAACCAACTGTTGTAGGTTAACCCCAATTTGTTCTGAGACTTGTACAAGTATAATATATTATACTTGCCAAAAGTGTCTATTTACTGAAAGAATACTCCTCCTGGTATAGGAGTAAGCTGACGTTGTTGTAAGTAGGAGTTTGTTGCTGCTATAGGTAAGAGCAAGTTCAAAATATATAGAGTAAATTGATATTATAGGTGTGAACTTAGTGTAACTAGTGCAAGAGTTCATCATCTTTACAGGAGTGAGTTTACTTGTATTAGTAGGACAGCATGAGTGAAGTCATTATAGGTGTCCTATGTAGGTAATAACAAGCTTACTCCTTGTCCATAGATGCAAGTTAACTACCATCATAACCATAGTTGGGCTTATGTAAACTTGCTATCAGCCGAAGTGAAGTAATGTAATGGTCCTTCTAAGGGTGAACGAATTCACAGGTATACACAGGACCTGTCTTGTAAGAGAGTACTAGTTCAGAGTTGTTATAAGAGGGAGCCGAGTAATTCTCATTTTCGGAAGAAGCCAGTTAATTACCTTTATAATGAGGGTTCCAATTAATCATCTTTTAGGAAGGAACTAGAAAACTGTCATCTTCAGAGGGAGCAAGTTAACAGTTGTTGTAGGAGGGAGCCATTTAACTATTGTTATTTGAAGAAGCCAATTAACTCCTTTAATAGGAGTAAGCCATCTTTTTAGGAGGGAGCTAGTTAACTACACTTATAGAAGGATGTTGGTTAGCTATCTTTTTAGGAGGGAGATAATTAATTACCTTTATGGGAGGAAGCCAGATAATTTACCTTTACCAGTGGGTGTCACTTGACTCTCTTTAAAGAACAGGTGCCAGTTATCTGTTTTTGGGGGAGAAAAGCAAGTTACTGTTGCTGTAATAGGAAGCCAGTTAATTGGCATTATAGGAGAGAGCCAGTTAATTGGCATTATCGGAGAAAGCCAGTTAATTGGGATTATAGGAGGCAGCCAGTTAATTGGCATTATAGGAGAGAGCCAGTTAATTGGCATAATAGGAGAGAGCCAATTAATTGGCATTATAGGAGAGAGCCAATTAATTGGCATTATAGGATAGAGCCAGTTAATTGGCAATAAAGGAGAGAGCCAGTTAATTGGCATTATGGGATAGAGCCAGTTAATTGGCATTATCGGAGAAAGCCAGTTAATTGGGATTATAGGAGGCAGCCAGTTAATTGGCATTATAGGAGAGAGCCAGTTAACTGGCATTATAGGAGAGAGCCAGTTAATTGGCAATATAGGAGAGAGCCCGTTAATTGGCATTATCGGAGAAAGCCAGTTAATTGGGATTATAGGAGGCAGCCAGTTAATTGGCATTATAGGAGAGATCCAGTTAATTGGCAATATAGGAGAGAGCCTATTAATTGGCAATATAGGAGAGAGCCAGTTAACTGGCATTATAGGAGAGAGCCAGTTAATTGGCAGAATAGGAGAGAGCCAATTAATTGGCATTATAGGAGAAAGCCAGTTAATTGGCAATAAAGGTGAGAGCCAGTTAACTTGAAGAAGGCATAGATCAGTTGACTGCCATTACAGGCAAATAGGAGAGAGCCAATTAATTGGCATTATAGGAGAGAGCCAATTAATTGGCATTATAGGATAGAGCCAGTTAATTGGCAATAAAGGAGAGAGCCAGTTAATTGGCATTATGGGATAGAGCCAGTTAATTGGCATTATCGGAGAAAGCCAGTTAATTGGGATTATAGGAGGCAGCCAGTTAATTGGCATTATAGGAGAGAGCCAGTTAACTGGCATTATAGGAGAGAGCCAGTTAATTGGCAATATAGGAGAGAGCCCGTTAATTGGCATTATCGGAGAAAGCCAGTTAATTGGGATTATAGGAGGCAGCCAGTTAATTGGCATTATAGGAGAGATCCAGTTAATTGGCAATATAGGAGAGAGCCTGTTAATTGGCAATATAGGAGAGAGCCAGTTAACTGGCATTATAGGAGAGAGCCAGTTAATTGGCAGAATAGGAGAGAGCCAATTAATTGGCATTATAGGAGAAAGCCAGTTAATTGGCAATAAAGGTGAGAGCCAGTTAACTTGAAGAAGGCATAGATCAGTTGACTGCCATTACAGGCAAATAGGGGTAAACTGTTGTTACAGAAGTTGTATTGATTTAACTAGAATTACAGGTGGAAGAGAGATAGCTTATTATTAATCACAGGTAAGGGCATGTGAACTGCTGTTACATGTCAAATAAGATAGATGTAGTATCAGGTACATTAATCTGCATATTATTGATACATTGCAGAAGGAATCCCAGAGTCTGAAGTGGTATTACCCAGCAAAGTCAACAAACGTCCCATCACTTTTGACATTTCCATGGATAATGTGACTTTGTCCCCGTTAGAACAAAGTCAAACTGACCAACCTGATGAGACTGATGACAGAACTTCACCATCCATCAAAAGTGAACCAGGCTGATGGGTCACTTTCATAACAAGCTGATTCAGCTGAAGTGAAACCTCCATGGCCAGAATACATTTACCGGTAAACCAAATCGGTAACTCCAGACAGTCAAGTGAGACTGTAAGGGGCGATTCAACTCCGTTTTATAACTGACTGTTATAATTCTTACTAGTATTTCCAAAACAGTATCTGAACATTGTGATCTATTAAGAAAATTACATGCAAGTGTACATACAGTCTTTATAATTTAAAAAATTCCTGGGGAATTTCCTATATGTGTTTATAAAATGAAAGCGATTCCTAGTCATAGCTTTATTAAACCATACATGAAGGAATAGGTGCAATTTGTAATGTGATCAATTTGTGAATTCATCCATGTCTGAAGTAACGCTCTATTGGATAACAGGATCAATTGTCAAGTGTTTCCAGAAAGTTATCCAGCATCAGCATTGCAAAAAAGCATTGAGAAATCCTGAACTATTTCATTTGTCAACAATTTTGAAATCCGTTTTGGATAGGGTGTGCCACCGAGATGTTGTTCTCCTTTTTGTGACTTTTCACCCGAGAATGATCTAATATAGAAATGTAGATAGCTGTGTAGAAAACTTGTCCAAGGATATTTGAGTTTCAGTTAAATTGTTTTAATTGTAGGAAAGTCTTTCAAGTGTCAATCAATTTGTTTTACTTGTCCGACTGCATTGAGAGTGGGTAAGCTTTATTTGATTGATTGAAAGCAGTCAAAACATGTGTTTTCATTTAGGCTTTCAGGTAAAAATATGTAGAAGCATTTTAGAATTTTTTTTAATGTGATAGTAGAATACAAAGAGAAGTTTTTGAAGTGTTTTTTTTGTACTGTTTTGTAATGAATCTTTGTTTTAACAATAACAATATCTGGTAATACATTTAATAGAATCATCAGTGTATGTAGATCCAACTTTGTTTTAATTGGGTGCTTTTATATAAATGGCAATAAATTTGTTGTTATAAAAATCACTTTGTTTTAAAGGATTTTTATGTCATGGTATCAAAATTACCATGTTTCTTTTTTGACCACCCTGTCGCACAAGGTAGGCTGATCAGATAACTTTGTGTCCATGCTCCTTATCCATGAAAAATTCTTAACACTACTCCTCTGAAACAATGGTATCTTCTCCATACTGTCAGTATGTGTCCCTTGGTCCCTAGGTGCTCCACTAATTTTGATATATCAATTTTATTTTCAAAATGGCCACCAGTGGCCACATTGGGTTTTGGTAGGTAAAGTATGTTATTGCTACTTATCCAAAACCATCAGGTTGTAAGTTCAAATATTAGTGCATTTCCGTAAGTTGGTCCCAAACCATTTTCAATATGATCCAGTTTTCAAAATGAATGCCGTGGCATCTACCTTGTTTTTGACATATTTTTGTAATGTACATTTTGCTTGAGAGTGTATCTAGTAAACTACTTCATGTAAAGTCATTGAACTTGGTCAGTTGGTATATCCTGGGAAATCAGAGTTTATTGGTGGAAAAGCAGGTCATTCTAACCTACAAAAGCTTGTTCTACTTATCAATGTATATCTCCTTCCACGTTTCATGAGGAATCATCAATCCTGCTCTGTAGAAACATTTTGGCAGAAGGTGATGTGTTTAACAGAACCAATATTTTTATCTGTTAAAAAGAATGATTCTGAGCATATTTCAAACCCAATTTAATGTAGTCATTAAACATCTTATATAGGTAAATCCTGGTTAGACAGAGTGTTTTATACATAAACAAAGTCGCTGTGATGTAAAACCTTGTTAGAAGAAAAATGTCTTCAGCCTATTCCATTTCATATTGGGTCCTATGTAGATGACGTGCTGTGTGACATACAACGGTTACTGTGACCCATTACATGACCTTTTTAGTTTGACACTGTTCGAAGAAAAACCTTTTTTCTCTGCACATCTCCCACCCTTTTTCAAGCTGGAGGGACATTTTGGACAAGAGGAGTATCTTGGAACATAAGGTCATGGTGACCATATACATTTCTAATTCTCTCTACGGTAAGTGCCAAGACCCCTCCTTCGCTCACTTTTTGGAGAATGGGACTGAATTTTGTATAAACTGTGGGTCTACTGAGAGTACCTTCCTCTCTCTGAGGTTTGAGGAGAGGGGTCCCTATAAAGGATCCATCTTTAAAGTGTTGAGATGCATATAACTTTGTATAAAGAAGATCATTTGGTGGCAGTATCCTGTGAAAGAGGGAATCTATTTAGAATAAACTGAGGGTCTTGAGCTCTTGGGCAGGGGACCAATAAGTTAAATAAAGGAAGATTTAAAACTTTTTTTAAAAAGATATATATACCGTTAAGTGTTTTCTGAAAATCTGATCTAATGTATCCTTGTGTAAAGGGGACTGAATTTAAACAAAAGGAAGGGAAAGGCCCAGAAGACAACATTGTAATGAATCTTTAAATCCCTTCTTACTATTGAATACTTAACAACATAATCACACAGATTAATTTAATGTGATTGCTGAGAGAGTCACTGACAGCTGAGCAATGCAGCCTTATTTAACACCGATACACAAAATGCAAAACAGAGCTCATGTTATCTTTATGATTTTAATTTAAACAAATAACAATTGAAATCTAGTCGTACTTTACCGATTAATCATCCATGGTGTCTACTGATCAGTTTGTGAACCTTTCAAAAAGTGATAAAACTGAAATTTTGCATCTAAAATCTGATACCATCAACACTTCGCTGTGATGGTCATGAGTACTTTGTGGTAAAATCTGATTTAAAACTTAATTACGATTATGACATCTTTAAAACAAATAACCAATGTACTGGATATTTTGTAATAGTCCTTACAAAAACAACAGGTATAAAAGCAGAAACCTTTATGGATTCTTTCTTTTATTATTGAAGAAGAAAATTTAATCATGTGCTAATATTTGTACCAACAAATAAATATTTCCGACGACCAGAATAACATCGCTCTTGAAGTAAATTTAAGTACTGAAATGAAAGACATTTCCTATATCACTTAAACACAATGAACTTCATAAACAGCCCCCATCATAACAAAAAGTTGGAAAGAAAAAGTTTCATTTAATTGGTTAAGATGTTACTATAAAAGAAAAAAAACCTTTCAGGTATAGAAGTATGTATCAACACCACTACATTTACGATGGCTCGAAAGATATCGAGCTCGAGTAAATTACCAAATAGGAAAAGGATGGGGCTGAATCAAACTATTGAAATAAAAGTAGATCTTTTTTCTTACTCACTTAGAATAAACATCTAAGAACATTCTCTCCAACACTTGAATAATTCTTATCTACTAGACAGATTCATATATGCAAACATTTGTGTCTGCACTAAGACTTTCTCAAAGTCATACATGATTAAAGTTAACAACATGTAGTATGTTTCAAATCCTGAAACTACTGCAGCCTATTCCAGAAGTGTTTATTTTAATGTCCACACAGCTCAGTTAATAAGTATCCTTGTCATTGTTATAGTTGAGTTGTCTTTCCTTTCTATCAATTTTCATCCTCCTCTTCCTGTTGCCTAGATAACGGTTCAAATGGCAACACAGACTGTCCCCGGTCAGGGTCAGGCATACGAAAGATATTCAATCCTTTCACCTTGATCCCCAGCTCACTGTAAAGCAGATTAACACCAAGATATATATTGCTTTCTGGAGACATCATACTGTAATGTTCAAAATAAAATACCATCTGTTGTTTTCCCCACTTTTCTAGGTAACTAAGCAAAATACGAAAATAGTGCAGTGGATACTATATACGCTGCCACAAAATATAAAGATCAAGATATGGCATAAATCTTACAAAAATCAATGAACCGTAAAATCGCCCCTTCATGCACATCTACCCATTGTAGTAGTGACATTGAGCAAGTTTCGTAAAAATCTGATGATTGGTTTAGGAGGAGTTGCGTTCACAAGAAATTGACGGACGGACGGCTCGACGGAGAAGATGACGCCAATATACAACCGCCTCCAGCGGCGTATAAAAACATGTGACCAGTTTGTAAGAACATCAAAAGATTAAATAAATGCCACGTTCTTTCACTGCTGCTTGGTTTTTTGCATTATATTCTTTTGGCCAGGAAGATAAATTCTGCAAAAGACAAAATTCACAAACACCTTACCTCATGTTCTGTGGTGTCATGAATATAAATTGTCGATGTAGCTGTTGCTTAGCTACCTTTAGCATAAGATCCATGGAAATACGCCTGTTCACCATATCCTGGGGAGAAAAGCCTGTATTATAGTAAAACAGCAAGAGTTGCTCTCTTCCATTTTATTATCTACTTTAACCCTGTCAAAGTTTATGAAAGCTGTGGGACAACACTGTTGTAATAATGCAGAGGAACCAACACTTCTCTCACATTGCTATGTAAATTAAAAATTATTTTCCAATGGAATTCAGTCTAAAAATTTAGCATTGAAATTTGACCATACTCACCATAAAAACATCAAACTCATCAAGACATCGGAAGGGTGATTCCATAGCATCCCAGAGAGCAAGGATGAAGCAGACAGTGGAGAAAGATCGCTCTCCACCGGATAAAGACCTCATGTCCTTGGCGCCATCTCCATTAGTTGAGTTTGGTTGTACCTTTATGGCAAATGTTTACATGTAAATGAACACATCCATACTCAACACACATACAGCCAAACAAGCAATTTCAAATTATCTTTTCCACTGATTTTGTTGTTTGTCCACATGTATCATGTTGCACTAAAGCAAGACATGGAAAATAGGCTGGGTGTCTGAAATATTTTCTCAGCCTTTGAGTGAAGAAATAAAATTTACAGGACTATTTACGGTCTCCTTTACCATAGGTAATATTGAATAAAGGACTAATTGAAGTCTATCTTTCCTTCCCTTTTCAGGATGGCCTCCCATGGCTTACCGAGATTTCCAAGGTTTCTTTAGGGTGGTTGAAGGTCATCTTCCCATTGTACTTGCGATTGCTCAACAAAATTATAAAGAAATGCTTTGCTCTGAAGGCAATAGATTTCCTGAATTCGGAGTACTGTTGCTGTCGTTGTACCATTACCTTCTCTAAACGCTGTAAAACATATAAAAATAGGTCACCTTGACCTTCACCTTGATAACTTGTAAGATAACTGACTATGTATCTATTCCATCTGTGTTTATATAGGTTTATCTCCAAAAGGTATGTCACCCACATTTTCTTCTATTGATTTCACTGTCCATATCAATTACTATTTTTTGGGATATTTTTTTGGGGGGTTGTTTTTGTTTTCAAAGGTTCAAAAAAGAAATATTTTTCACAAAAATCATAAAAAAATGTAATTTTTTCCTTAGTAATTCCTAATTTTCAAATTCTCCAAAATGTTTAAAATTAGAACCCATCAAACTAACCTCCTTTAAAGAAATATCATACCTGATTGATAGTATAACGTGATCAGTTTTATATCCATACACATTCCAAATAGGATATTAAAGGAGTGAACTTTGGGAGGAGTTTCATAAAATCTTTTATGAAATGAAAATAAACTTCAGATATATTTTCAACACTCAGGTAGCCTACATTTTGACAGGAAGCAGTCATCTTGGTGTACCAATTCCAATCCATCATGTAACATCATTGTCCCTATTATGTCATCACATGACTGGGGCAAGCAATGAAAAAGGCTCTAGAGTATATTACACTTGTGACATGTATGCAAAATTATTACATGGGCAAATTCACTGGAATACAAGCAGGTTATGTGATAACATTTTATATCTACAGACGTGTAAAATTATTTAAATAACACAACTTACATCCATGAACCTTTTGAATTGTTTGACCTCGTCTCGGATCTTTTTGTAAGAACTCTTCTTCTCAAAGTATGTTTTAGTTATCTCGGTGGGGTTTCCATGGCTGTAAATAAGGTTAACTTCTTATGTTTACATTGATTGTGCTTCTGTATCTAGATGTAATATACAACAAGTATTTAATTGTAAAGAAGATTTTATTACATGAACGTCAATGTAACAAGATATTAACAAAAATAGTCCTTTAACTTTACAAACATTTTCCTATGCGACATCAATTTCTTTTAACATACAAATGAATATAAAATTACATCAAAACTGATTTAATAAGACATTAGGGATTTTATGTTTTTCTATTTAAAATCATACCTCTTCTCCTCCACTTTGATGCGTTTGGTGATTTGATTAATCTCGCTCTCTAAGTTCTGCACAGACCTTCGCATATTGACTTTACGTGGACAAATCTGCTCTGCCTTCATTGTATCATTCTGTTAAATAAAACAAGAATTGTTCAACATTTGTTTCAAGCTTTAGTATTGGTGATGCTTCATGAAAAACATAAAATGAAAACAAAATCAATTTGCCAACATGTCTTACCTCTATTTCTTTCTCCAACATCTCTACTTTTTTCTTCTGGTCTGCAATTTTATGTTCCTGTTCCTTAAATTTCTGCTCATAATGCTTTTTGTGTGATTTTGACTGCTCAATTTCATTTTGAGCATGTCCCAATTCATCCTAAAACATAAATATTACATTTTCCAATTTTGTTACAATGACACACTATCAAAGTATTTCCAAACCATCTTACCTTGAAAATCCAAATATCTATTGGCTAGTTTGCCTTCAAACTTTACACAAGAGGATTGAGAGGTCCAATGCTTGCCTAGCTAACTCAGCTATTCAGTCATTTGACAAAGAATTTCAAATATAACAAATATTCTCTGAAAAAATTTCCCTAATGGGTCCTGGCCTTGTGGTCAAATAGAAGTCAGATTCACTATTTGTAATATACAATACACAATATCCTTGTATGGCTGAAGGATTTTTAAGAACTTCCTGAGAATCCTGTTATATCTACAGAAGAAAAGGATTTTAAAGAATTTACTCTATTAACCCTTATTTGTCCCTGCCACTCCAGTCCAAGTGGCAAAGATTCATCATTTATACAAGTTGATTTCCCTTCATCCGGGCATGTTACAGACCAAATTAATACAGAAAATCAAATATTTCTACAGGAGATGGACTTTAAAGAATTTTCTCTATTTTCCACTATTGGACCCCATCCCTCTTGCCCATAGGAGCTAAGATCCACCTTTATACAAAATTGATTCCCCTTTAACCAACAATGTTCCAGACCAAAATGGGACAACATCCAATCATTCCTACAGAAGTATGATTTTAATGAACTTACAAAATTCCCCTTTTTGGTTCTGCCTCTCAGGCCCCTAGGAGCCGAGAAGCAATATCTATAAACTTGATCCCCTTCACCTATGACATTTCTGACCAAAGTTGGGCAAAATCCCATCATTTCTACAGGAGAAATAGGATTTCAAAACAAGAGTCCCAAGGTGCCTACATCGCTCATCTTGCTAAATTAGCTATTCAGTCATTTAATAGTTTCAAATATGATTAATAATTACTGATATAATTTCCCTAATAGGTCTCAGCCTTGGGGTCAAACAGAAGTCAGATTCACTATTAACAAAAATTGCTTCAGAACAAACTTGGATATTATCTATGAACAGAAGAAGGAGTTTTAAGAACTTACATTTCCCATATTGGGCCCCCACCCCTCCTGCCCCAGGGGGTTGGTATGAACCATTTAAACAGAAATGGGTCCCCTTCCCCTAAGAATACTTAAGACCAAATTTAGGAAACATCCATTCATTCCTACAGGAGGAGTAGAATTTTAAGGAATGACTCTCCCATATTTTACCCTGGCCCTCCTGTCTTAGCGAAAGGAGACATTATGTCTAAACGAGATTGATCTCCCTTCACCTAAGAATACTTCAGACCAAATTTGATCATTATACAGTCATTCCTACAGAAGGAGTAGGATTTGAAAGAATGTACTCTATTTCCGCTATCAGGCCTGCTCCTCCCAGCCTAGGGGAGCTAAAATTTCTCACCTTTAGAGGGTCAGCTCCCTCTGCCATTGTCCTCATCTGATTTTCCACCTCTTTAAATTTTTTCTCTAATAGTTCAAGCTCTTGCTGGGCCTGACTATGTATATTGCTTTTGACCATGAGCTGTTCTTCATGGATTTTGATTTGATCATTCATGGTCTGTACCTCTTCTTCCTACAAACAAAAAATATAAACTCAAATAAAATTATTATGAAAAAAAAATGCTTTTGTAAGCTATTACCAATTTAGACTGACTGAATGCATCAACATGTAAACAGTCAATAGTTCAAGAACTCATCAACAGACAAACAGCTCATACCAATTTGGATTTGTCTCTCATAAAGAGGCAATTACAGCTCATTCCAATAGAATTTGACTGGTTAAAATATAACGGCTCATCATACCAACCAATCATAGCCTTACCAGTGTTTCCACATCGACAGGCTCTGGGTCTTCTATACTTTTCAAATCCTGGATTTCCTGGTAAATTAGAAACATCAATGTGAAAATTCCTGGTATATTAGAAACATCAATGTGAAAATTCATGGTATATTAGAAACATCAATGTGAAAATACACAATGTGAAATCTTCAACAAATGGTTCTTAAGCAAATTGACTGTTCAAATTTAACACCAAACTTTAAAACTGGGTTCCATTTTGTTCAAATCTTTAACAACTAGTTTTAAAAAAATTATGAATGTATAAAGCCTGAGATATGTTACATCATTAATTGGATACCCAAGTTTTTTAATTAGCATGTTGTATACATACATCGTTGAGTATTCTGATTTTCTGAGCAATCTTTGTCAACTGAGTTTCTGTTTTGTTGCTCTCTATTTTGTTGGTACGTATTTCCTCATTAAGGCTGTCTCGTTTCTGTTCTATGCTTCCAATATCTTTCTTCAGAATATGCAACTCCTCCTGGTATCGGGAGATTTCCTCCTCCACATTGGTGGAGAGAAAGCGGGCATGTCCTCCCCTGGAGGAGTAGTACCTGAGGGATGGGTGGCAGTACAGTTGATCTCCATCAGCAGTAAATGCCTGGTAATACAATCATGTTAAAATAAACACACATTTCCTGATGAGGTCAGAGCAACATTTTCAAAGTTCTGACAAATCTCATAGCTGAAAGATAAAGTGGATTTACAAAAAAAGATTGAGTATCAGGGTTTTTAATATTTTGGTTATGCAAATCACTGTTCAAAACCAATACGGAGTAACTCAAAGTTTTGACATCTTTCACAGTTAAAGACTGCTAGACTGCTACTATATAATCACTATTTTCATGCGATTCAAATGTAATGTTTTTTGAAAAGATATGTAGTTCAAGGGCTTTTGATTTCAGAAGCAACAAAATCAGCCAATTCTCCACAAACATTCATGACTTTTATCATATTTACTAAAGTTACCATAATTCCTAATTGGTTGCCATGCCAAATACTGTATATATTTGTAGGTACAAACTCAATACAAGACTAAAAACAGACTGACTGGTCGAAACAAGATATTGTAGTTCTTAAACCACAACAGAAAACTTGGTCTTATAGGATATTGCTATAAGGTTTTGCACTCGGCTTGAATATCATTATTACCGTCTGCTTTGGAGTAAGATGTATTAGCCTAATCCTGTCTGACATCTGGTATTACTGTAAGCCCAAGAGAAATATTTGCTGTATAAATATGTATTGTGAAATAACAGTTACCTCTTTGGAGTATTTGGGTGGCCCTGGCTTTTTATCAGGGTCCATCACATCTCGTGCAATCCTGTTGTCTTTGATGAGGAGAATGCATTCCACTCCCCTCTTTGAAATGAATAATAATAAAAAAATAAAAAATCAATTAAAAAAAACATCAAATAATTCTGTCGTACATTCATGATGTGACATCTGATCTAAAATCTTGGAAGATTCTGGGATGAATTTAAAACAGTTTCCTTGTCTATCAGGACTGAGTACTAAGTGAACATGACAGTGTTCCAGCAATAACGACTACTGTTTTATTGAAATGTCTCATTATGTGGTGTTGTACCTCTTACAGAATAGATCTTCCATTAATTGAACAAGACAACACAAAGCAGGCTATTATTCCCCACACAGACAAACACATATATATGTGTTAATATTACAATAACAGGTTAACTGCATTCCATCACTGTCACTGATATCTTTATGTTAATCATTTTTTACCGTTGAAAACTTTGAGTGTGGTTTGGCATGATTTACAAATAAAATGATTACAAAATCAATAATCTCCATTACATTAATGTTCGTTAGACATATATATAAATACCAGGGTTACTTATTAAATTGGATAACATTGCCAATGATTTATGATATTTTTGACAGACAACAGAAAAAGAAGCATATCCACAATGAAAACTCCTCAAATAGCAAAACGCACCAAGAGATTGTTGGTACATACAAAATGTATGAAGTTTCTGGAAGTTTTTGAGCAGTTTTCTTAACATGCTCTGGAAGCTGTGAAAGTAATTTTGCCTTTGTTTTCAATTTGTTTCCGTGGTAACAATAAAGATTGTCTAATTGATACTATGGTTGCAAGAATAAAACTTCCCAACCACAAAAGTTGCACTAGAATGATAGGATGATATGCAGACAACATTTCAGGTAGTTATCTTGAATGGTTTTGAAGTCATGGTCCATATAAAAGAAATTTGTAATTTGGACTGTTTCTAAGGGCAAAAAAAGTACTTGAGTGGGAAACTTTTCCATAGCAAAAGGTACTACTAGAGTATTAGCTTGATAACTGTACAAAGTTTTGAGTAGTTATCTTGAACAGTTTCTGGCCATGAAAATGCCAATGCACAGACGGATAGATACAGTCCAATTTAAAATCCGCTGCAAATATGTTTCACATGGGATAAATAGATAGTTGAGAAAGAATTATGTTATGAAGATCACTAAACCTTACACTCCTCTGTATGACACATTACCTGATCAATGAGACAGTTAAAAGTGACAGGATCATTCATTTCCAGCACATCCACCACGGCCTTGTACTTAGTCCCAGTCACACGCTGTAAAAGTCAGATTTCAAATGATTCTGTTCACAGACTATCTAAAGTAGCTGACATTAAATACCTATAATTACATGTACCACACATAACACCTGTAAGAGTGATTTGCACTTCTGCAATATACTGAGAGAGCATGATGTATTATGGAATTATTTCACTACTGCAATTTTTCTCAGGCCTTGAATTCAGTCATTTTGCCTTACTAAAAAATTGTCAAAATTTGAAAATCAGGTAGTACAAATCATATACTGAAAAATTGTCTGTTTTCCCTGAAATAATTTTGTGTGTGATAAATATTCAGTATTCATAACTTATCAAAATATTTTCCTTCCTAACAAGAAGTCTCAGAGTGTTTCTCAGGAAGCTGACTTGTCTGGGCTGTTGTGGTTATGTTCTAGGGTGAGGCACTTTTGATAAAATGAAGGTAATATCTCATCGACGTTGCATTTCATTATACATATGGTAGATCTACTCTGTAATCCTACTTACTCCGCGGCTGATGTCATGCCTTCTGTCCTGAAAGGGAAATAAGTCAGTAGAAATAAGCTTTTTACACTAATTCTGTATATACTACATTATCAATAAGTAATGTCCATGTCAGATGTAGAAACACACATTTACTACTGTAAATCACTTAGATTTCACGAATACTTTATTTCACGGACTTACCTCTTCAGACATATTCCCAAATATATGATTTTGCAAACAGTGGTCCGAAATAATTTTAAATTCGCAAATCATTGACTTTTAGAGATATGGATTTTGATATGGGTAACCAAATCAGCATGGATGTTATCCAGAGTTATTTTTATACAAATAATCCTTAATTTGTTCTCCTCGCATATTAATGCAAAAAAAGATCCCACACAAAATGATTTACAGTATGTGTTGAGACACTGTCAATGTTTATATATATCCATATCAACTTTCTTATCATAAAACGATTAGATTTTGAATGTTTTATCTGCTTTCACAACTGAACATTACAACCTGTTACCATTGTAATTTGGTAACAATATCTAAACAATAGAGACAGCAACAGATTTCTAAAGTCCTCTATTATGTTATGAGAAAATTGACAAATTGTCAACATTCCCAGTTAAAGACCTTAATGAACTTTCATATTGCAACTTTACTTATCACAGGAATCTAAATGTGAATTTTTTTAGTACTTTTCAAAAATTATAACCATATTCAAACATGTTATCTCAAGGTTCTATTTTTGATTAAGTGAAGGTATCAAGGTTTATTATTACACTTTGACGTTTAAAACAGCAAGTACGTGATTAGAATAAATCAACTCCATGGCAACATGACAAACTGTGAAAAAGGTTTAAAAATAAATAGATATCTGAACACATACCTTAAATGCAGAGACAATAATGGATGGTCGATGTCTCTCAGGACAAACATCATCAAAGATCTTCTCCAAAATTGCTTCATCGTGGTGGTCATGACAACAAAATGCATGTATAAGGTTTCCAAGGCATCGTTCCACCGCAAACGCCCACTCCATGTCTGTCAACTTGAAACATGACCCTATAACAAAGAACGGAAAACAGATAAATCTTTATTTGAAATCCAAATATTTTGTCAAAAACTAAGATACCTGGTTAAGAAAGAAAATCAGAAAATGCATGAAGTTTAACTTCTTCTTTTATCATTTTGACCTAGAATTTTGTCAGACTAGGACACTGAGGGATGACTACAACTAAATCAGTGCCATCTTGAAATTAATAGTATGGAACAATATCAGGAGGGTCTGACAACATAATTAACAACCCAAAGAACTAATGGGTGGATAATCCCTCTCATATCTTACCATTCAGTAGAATTACAAAAAAATCCATGTTGATAGAAGAAATTCAGTGTGATTGTATGATAACATAACGAAGTAACAAATTAATAAACACCTGATAGTGCCATGTACATACAAAAAGAATTTATAGATGTGAATTTAAAAAGAGGTTTAGAGTAACACTGATGTGTTCTTTTTTATCCTTTTTACCTATAGGCCCCACCGGCCTGCGATGGAACTGATTGCGACGACATCTTTCCTCTATGTGTTGTAATAGTGTTGGCATGTAGGCTCCAAACCGGCGGATGTTGTCCTTTTTAGCAGCACAGAGATTCTGAAGATCCTTCTTGATCAGCCTTTCTCTTGTATCCATATTCTGTCTATCCGCACTAGGGAAAATATCATATTTCTTCTATAAGTAAGGTGTACTGTTGTTTTATTCTCACAAACCCTGAAAAAGTCCGCTGAGGAATTTGTTTAACAATGAAAAGCTTAACATAGAGATCACTATAAAAACATGTTGTAAATGATCACCAAGCAACATTAAATCAAGTATGCCATAATTTTCTAGTTAAGTAAGAATGATACTATGAACATCAATTTCAGAATGGCACAACAAAAAAATACTTAATAACTATATTTATTCAGGAAAGACTGATAGTTAAAAACTTTGCTGGTATATTTCAGAAGCAAGACCCTTAAATTTAAGCACCTGTTACTCCTTATATAAAGGTCAGATGTTAACTGATTTTTCACTTATTCCATGATTTCATGTTGGTATTTGTAAAATAACTGGATATTTCACCAGAGCTTTCAATATGAAATTTCAAACAATTCCTGTTTGTTCGTGATCATGTTTAGAGACTTCAGAAAACAAGAAAAAAGTTGGTTCATTGGTGAAATCTAAACCCTTTAATCTATACTAACTTGAGAGAATATTCACTCTGTTTTAACAGAGTGATGGCTTGGCGGTACTGTGATTGCTGATGTTCTGTTGTAGTTTGTTGTGCTTTCAAAGCACTGACCTCATCTTCTTTCTGTTTTAGTTTTGTTTCTCTCATCTTCCTCTCTGACTCATAATCACGCTGTGCACTGGTCAAAAAATCATCAGTAGAGACAAAATCATCAGCAGAGACAAAATCATCAGCAGAGACAAAATCATCAGCAGAGACAAAATCATCAGTAGAGACAAAATCATCAGCAGAGACAAAATCATCAGTAGAGACAAAATCATCAGTAGAGACAAAATCATCAGCAGAGACAAAATCATCAGCTTGAAGAACAAAATATATTTCACTCATACATTGTATGTTTTCCCCCTTTTTCTAATTGTATTAATTATAAGAGACAGATTATAAAGAAAACTGTTTGAAGATCTTGACACATTTAATCCTTGCAATCTTGAATGTGGTTGACAGTCATTTATTTCCACCAATGATGACAAAACCAAGCATAACCGTAGATACACAAATATAGATCCTTGTTTCATATCATTTGATTTAAGCATTAAAGAGACAACAACCATATGATTATATAAACCTAAGTCCTACCTTTTCTGTATCTCCTTTATTTTTTCCTGGAGGAGATGCCTGTCCCTTTGTACCTTCCGTAAATAACTCTCAACCTTCCTGAGGTCATTCTGTGTATTTCTCGTCACCTTCTTCTTCTCAGATACCTCCTCCTTGGCAGATTTATATGTTGGCCGGAGTTCTTGTACCTGATCGCTCATCGTCTTCAACTGCTCCTGTATGTCCTTCTGACGCTGGACACACTTGTCAACCTTAGACTGGGAACATCCATATTAATTCTTAATAGCAGGAACAAAAGTACTAGGCAATCTGAATCTCCCATATCATATACTTTTTACTGCTTCATTATTTTTAAAATGCTAAATATTTAGGTATACTTGTCAACAATCATCAACATATAAGATACTTAATTACCTTGGCCTCCTCCACCTTCTGTACAAATTTTGGCAGTCTGCTTTCCTCCTGCTGAAGCTCCTTTGTCAGAGGTTGCAGTCCCTAAAGCAGATTTCAACAGTAGATATTAAAAAAAAACATGCATGAAAAGCCAATATCCATAAAAGGTCAAGCGAGGATAAGATATGACAGTGCAATTAAAAGTCTCTAATGATTAAAGAGACATTGTGTATATCAACATGTTCCTGCTGTAACTAATGCTACATACTGGATCCTTTCCAGGTCGTCCTTAACATGCTTTTTGTTTTTGTTTAATCAATGTTCTGTTGAATGGTGCTTTAGAACCTTGTATGGAATAGACTGAAGTCTGTAGCTAACTCAATCCTTCTTGAAAAATCTCCAGTATAAAATATTCTACCCTCATCTGACAAATATTCACACTTTCAGGGAGGTAAGATATCTATGTCATGCAAGGGTAAATCAGCCCGCACACACAGAACATAAACATGTGCTAAACAAGTAGTTGGAAATTGAAGATGTGACTGATTGATATCTATTATCATTTTAAGACAGTATCTGATCCTCTTTCAATTATTCAAACAAGTTATATGACAATGATTCATCATTATGATTGATTTTGTAAGATTATAGATCAGTCAAAATAAATATAAAAATCATTGTCTGCCTGATACCGTTTCCATATCTGTGAGCATCTCTGTCTCATTATTCTTATAATTCTAGTGTGTTGGAGATATGAGGTAAAAAAAGGACCACTTCCTAATTTGATGTTAGGACAGAAAGTTCCTTCCCCAGGAATTGATTCACAACTGTCTAACCGAGGCTTTTCTCCTCGGAGGGTACAGATTTCCTATTAGACTTTAACTGACTCTCCTCCATGATGATGCTGCAAAAATGATGACCCATGTGAGAGTAAAGCTCACTTAACTTGCCTTCTCCAGATCAAATGAAGCCTTTATTTACCCTTTCTTTTTCCATGACGAAAGCCCACGCCATGCTGTCCTTGAGCTCTTTGATCTTGTTCTGCAGTTCTTTAATAGCTGTCAAAGATTTATACTTTCGTTCCCAATCAAGAACCTCCTTCTCCAGTATTGGCAGTGACTGCAACATTATTACTGATAATATTACAAACCGTTGATGATGGCTGATTTTCTTATTCATATTGAAACATTTACCTGAGTTACCTGAAAATTTAGGTGCTAATGATAGATGGCTAAAACTTAAATTTTCTTTTTGTAGCAAAAGGCTTTGACCATTGACCATGATATTTGAAAGTTAACTCAAGGAATAAACAATACATGCATTTCAATACCAATGGTGAATGGCAACCTTTTTATCGTGTCAAAATCAATTTCATACTTGTAAAATGCATGTCAGATTATTACCTGTGAAAAGCATTGAAAAACCATTACTTGATTATGTTTTTGATGTTAATGTGATACAACTACATGCTATAGAACGGTCATGAAATACTGTCACTATTAGAACAGCATGCACTTTTTGAACTGCTAACATTGCTTATTTGAAGACTTTCCCTATAGTCTATTTTCACATAAAATTATAATGAGGCTGACAGCATTATGTGGTTATGTTATTCCCACAATAAATGATACTATTTTTACCACACACTTGAACATAATGAAAATATTCTATTTTACTCTATCTTTCTACCTGTTCTTTCTTTTCAATAATCTCTCGGGTGATTTCTTTTTGCTCATTGGCCATGGAGTAGTCCATTTTCATTTGTTCCAGCTGTGTGGCCTTCAGAAAAAACTGTCAAAAAACAGGTAATGTTAGTACCATGTTATCCACATGGAAATGTGTTTATAAATAGTGGCTCAATATCTGTAACTCAATCTTGATGTAATGTGAAGATTGGAATATATTCTTGAGCTTTTACTTGCTATACCCTTATCAATATGAGCAGAGACCAAATCAATGGAAGTGATTGAAATAATCTGAATGATCATTCAGGTGAAATTACAGCAAAGTACTGAAACTGAATTAATATAGATTTTACTTTCTGTAACAATTGTAATCACTTATCATGACGAACCTCTATACTTACCTTATACTTATCATGTGGACTTTTAGAGTTGAGGAAGTTTTTACTTGTCTCTTGATTCAGGATTGATACTGGATTGTCAACTTGAATGTTAAATTGGTCCAGAATGTATGTCAGATCTTCACGCTTCTGGGAAATCAGTCGACCTACAAAACATCAATTCCTTCAATGTTATTCCTAATTTTTTTCCCTGTTTGGGGATAAGAAGCATTTCCTCATTTTGCCGCAGAAATTTTCAAGAAGTAAAATGCAAATTTAGGAAGAAGGCTTAAATATTAAATATTTCCTATTCAGATGGGTTGGGGTCCCTTATCGCCCCTACACAGTCCTCAAAAAAGCTGTTGTCTATTCATACTAAGTTAGACAAAAATTCACCGAGAAATACTAGAACTAGAGTGATCACACTATTGATACATGTTAACTTATATAGGTCTTCCTATCAATAACATGATATTATGTTCAGTTCATATTTAAAAACTGTATCAGCATGTCTCAATTACAACCAACGCATTTATTACAATTCATTTTCTTCTAACTTAAAAAAAAAAAAAAATCAAGGACAGCACAAAAAAAACCCTTTAAAACATTATATTAGAAATTAAATGGACATATCAATTTCATATCCAATAATACAGTGATGCCAATAGATTATCTATTGTTCATCAAGAAGTTCAGTTTGACCACTCCAATTGTTTGCAGATGACCCCTAACAGAGTGTCTATGATATACACATATGTATATACCTCAAACAATTTTCAAAACAGCAGTTACATTTGATTTTGATGGCAGAAGCAATTTCCAATTGATAGAAGCGACAAAGACTGTAAACATGCAATTTTTGTGAAACGGAATTAGCTAGGAATGTATTGTTTGTCAAATTCCATTCATGTTCTCTGATGCAAATTACTTCCTTCAGAGCTATGGTGGGGATCTTAAATTCTGTTCTAAATGTTGCTGTGGATGAAGCCCCCATACACCTATATGTAATCCTAGGTTTTACTGTGACATAGCATGCTACGCCTTGATTTCCTAACCATTTAAGACAAAAAGAACTGCGTATAATATCTAAACTACAACACTATACAATGAGATATATTGTGAATATTTCTCACCATCTTCAGATTTCAGTTTATAATGGCTCCCTCCGTCTCTGGCAAACTTGCGTTCAACAATGATGGAATTGCCATACTCCTCTGGTTTGTAAGCGTCCGGACCTCGATTCCTCAATTTGATCATCACTTCTGCTGTCCTAAAAAATTAGTATTTCCACATTTCTGTAAAGAACTTTATCATGATAGAGTGACATCAAAAACAAAAAGCATTGCTAACCCACAACAGAGTAAAAGCAGAGGTAAAAGAAACTGATGTTTATTCTAAACCATGTATATTCTTATTAAATGCATTAAATAATGAAATGTATAATGGATTTCCTGTACTACTCCGTTGGACACGTCAAGAGAAATCTACCTTACTTTACAAGTGCTACAAGAATATACTGTGTATAGACTTTCCATTTACTATAGCTTGGAACTTTGTCTTTGTTTATTGTACTTGATAAATATAATTATGTCATCAAAATTCAATCATAATGAAACGAGTCGTTCCTGAAAAAATTAAGTGTGGACAGAAGGAATGGTAAACTTAAACTGTATGTAGCGACATTATTCCGCTTAGCTACAGAGAGCTTTTCCTTAGCATACAATATCCATGGATATTTCAAACAACATATTAACAATAGTTAAAACATTGTCTGTAATAAATATACAGTATTTCTAATTGCTAGTGATGTAACTCTGTAGTGTATAGTTGTTCACTATGACAACACTTACTGTTTTCCAGTTTTAATAAAACTTTTGATAGTATTTCCCCTACTGGTGATGTTAGCTTTTCCACCAAGTCCTACCACCAGAGCAGTGATAATTGCACTTTTGCCACCTGACAAAACAAAATTAAGAGTATACAAGAAATAACTTACAAGCCACTAGCACTTGGTAAGAATAAATTTAATGAATTTTTATAAAACATGGCCAGAATAATAAAATTGCTGCATGACATTTCATTGACCACAATGCCACTATCATCAAACAAATGATCAGTGAATCATATGTGCATTGAGGTGCATTGAATGAGATGGTATTAAAAGAACTTAACAGGACATCAGAAAATAATGTAAGAGGTAGCGATAAGATCTGAGAGAAAACAGATTAATCTAGTAATATTCAATATGTACATGGTGGTAACCATATACCAACCCATGTCATTTGATGCCGATATGCTTTGTTTAAATTTTATCAAGGATTTATTCAGATGAAGTGACATCTAATTTAAAACTTGTGAATAAGTGTCTTACTTCCATTTCGTCCCATGATGAAATTGACATGTGGTCCTAAACTTATATCTAGACGCTGGTGGCACATGAAGTTTCGAAGGTTAACCTTCTCCACAATACCAATGTCTGCTTCTCCCTGTAAACACAGAAATCATCCCAATATTTTATTCAATTATTCCAACAACCAATACATTACTTTTATCAAAACAAAATATAATAACATCCAATTATTCATGTTAAATTCAAGATACAATAAATACTACTTAAAGGGATATTCTGCTCAAGTTGTAAAATATCTGGCCATTCTCATGACTCTTTAAAACTATTGTTAGCATCAAAATATCTCTCCTGTGGACAGTATGGACAGATAAATTGGTGGAAAAATGTCTGAAGCCAACATAAATTTAACTGTCTGAATATAGTGTATGAGGAAATCCAGAACTAAAGGATAAGACAGATTTTAGGCCGACACAAGTTTGTTGTTCCCTAAAATTTCTGCAGGGGTTACAATTTTATTACTGCATTAGGCTCTTATGTTGATTTTAAAATTAACACAAATATTTCATTCTGTTTGGCTTATAACAACACAAACCAGTTATGATGTAATCAGGTGGCACAAACATTTATGTATATATCTAGCTCGATCTGTACAAAATTTCCCAAGATTAATTATCATATGTTTGTTTAAATGGTAAATTTAGATGTCATCATCAGACTGAAAGATGCTAAAGGAAATGGCCTCAGGTGAATAAGGTGGATCCTCCATCAATTCAAAGCCACCGTCATTAATGTCAGTCATGGCAATGACAGACTAGTGAATAGGGGATTTGTCCTTGTGGAACAACACACCTTTAATAACACCTTTAATGTGTTTGAGTTTAATATTATCTCTTAACTGACTCAGAAATGATGCATCACATGTGCCATTGATTGCTTGTCCATTTGCAAATAACCTACCATTAGAATACCATCACATTCCAAGAAAATTGAGGTCATAACCATTAGCAGCTGATGGGACAATCTTTGCCTTCTTTGGCACAGGTGAATCAGGGTGCTTCCATTATTTAGACTGTTGTTTGGCCTCTGGGGTGAAATGATAGTCTATAGTCACAATTCTCTTCAGAAAGTTATCAGATCTGCCTCTAAATAGCTCAGATTAGCACACGAAAAGTCTGTCTGGTGTGCTTCTGTGTCATAAGTCTTCCTACCCACAACAGGCTGGATCTTTCTCATTGCAAGATCTTCCGTGGGCACTCTTTCAAGCGAAATCCCAACTGTTGCAACTTGCCTGTCAGCCATAACAGTATCATGAACTTTATTTGACTAATTCTGGGGTTGCAACCTTCCAGGATGTGCATCATCCCCAAGGCTCTGTCTGCCACAGTTAAATTCCACCACCCACCTTTTCACTGTAGCATATGAATGGGCATCATTCCTTGTGTTGCTACCATATCAGTATGAATATCCTTAGGTGCTAGACATTTCTTATGCAAATGTGGAATCACTGCTCTTTCAGTGATTTTGTCCATTTCGCAAAAGTCACTTGCCTTGTTTAATTAGAGCGCTACCTCTGCCCAAATGACACCAGTCTTTGGGGAACACAGCCTTAAAGAGTCAGGCAATAGTATAGGTGAAAAAGGACATCCCTGCTGATTTTTTTCAATACAAGGCTCACAACTTTCCTCTAACACCCCAGATTAATTAGGGTAGCTTAGTAGGAAATCCTTTAAATTTTAAAAAGTTCCACTAAAATATTATCAATGAAAATTGTCAACAAAAATTTGAAATTGGTTAAAAAGGTATCAAGTTGGTTGAGTAAACAGAAATGGTACTTTAATTAGGCCTGATGGGGTATCAAGTTCAATCTATGCAATAAATCATAGTTAGTCAACACCAACTGCATCTTATCATGATGACCAAATTTCTGACAATGTGCAAAATATGTAGACAACACAAGGTTTGATACTTGGTATTATTAATAATGAATATATGCAAAGTTTAAACATATAATTGTGTAACCAACTGAGGAACATTGCTAAAAAAATCATGTTATTTGCAATCATTGATAATTAATATATCTTATGTATGCAGACACAAGTACAACTGCAATGTGGACAATGCATTATTATGAAAATGATTACACAAGTTTTAAGTCTATATTTAATAGCTATCAATTTACCAAGGATTTATCAAAGTCAGCTCGGCTGGTTAAGTCCATATCTTGACTTTGGTCCATTTCATCATCATCTGATTCTATGATCTGCCGTTTCCGAGGGATCTTCTCTCCCGCTACATCAGTGCTTGCTTTTCGCTTGGACATTTTTTCACTGAAAAATGGGGTAAAATAGCAAAAACATGTAAGTTTTAACTGTACAGAATGTCTATCATTCAAGAAGGCATTGCAGCTAAATCGATGTAGGTATATATATGCACTTGTGTCATAGTCACTGTCAAATTGCAATCATTTAACCACATTTTGGATTGATATGTATAGACAGACCTTTATATATTTTTGACACTTGTCGGTGCACATGTGCCTGAGGTTGCTAACTAGATATGGGGTGTCTTGAGCTTCTAATAATAAATAAATTCAATATCCTTGATCATGGGTGTAGATGTAGATATCTATGTTCGTGCATTGATATTGACAGAAGAGAAGAGTCCTGCCGTCATTAAAGTGTAAAGCCTAATACTGAAGGGATACGCATGTCGATGATGCAAATCTCAAAACCAACTGATTAAGACAAATAATCCTGTATAAATAACACATTTGACAATATCTGTATGTACATATAACAGTTTGTAACGTGAAATTGATGTATTACGTGTTCACTGTTCCTTGGCCACTTCCGTCATTTGGTCTCTTGCGAGGTTCTCGCTGTCGAGGTGTTGATTGGCGCCGTTGAAGAGTTTATGTTTTGAAATTACACTAAAAACTGAACCGGCTTATGTCCAGAAATCCGGACAATGACAAGAAAAGGGAAAACGAAACAAAAATGTTACGGCGTTGTTTATTCCCTATTTCTTTAGTTAATTTTTTAGCGTCAGTTGTAGTGACCTGTTTGATATTTCGCTCTATTCTGTTGTAACAAAATAACACCAGATTTTAGAAAACATGAATAAACCTTTGAAAATCACAAGGGAGATAACTTGCAGAAGTTCATTATTCCTGAACTAACATTTTCGTTGGTGAAAGAATATGAAACTAAAAGGTAATGTCTTTTTCCAAACGAAACGCCATCCACCTTAAGATCCGTCCGTCCGTCCTTCCGTCACGGTATGTCAAACCTTTTAGCACGATAATTTTCATCTATATAATTTTATTGGTTTTTATTGGTTTTTTCTTTTATCTTACGGTTGATTTAACAAGAAGATATTTAAAAGGGTGATGCAACTTTCGGAAAAAAAACAATAGCAGGAGTATCTTGATGACTTTCTAGCTTCTGAAATTCAGTGTTCAGTGAAGTTTGTTACTTCATATGAGTCACGTGGCACGTATTGATGTAATCAAACTACAGGAAGTAAAACAAAAAAATGATTATTGTTTTAATGATACTAGTTTTTATTATTCAGAAAAACACCTGTTTAACAATAACAATCATAGTATTTCGAATAAGTATCATATCATTTTGTTAAACATAAAACATAGCATATGAATTATTGGATTTTCTTTATATACGTCACATGCTTTGAACTATAATCAAAACAAACAAAAAAAAGATTAAAAAAAAAAAAAAAAACGAATCACAAGATTTTTTCGCCATAATGACTTCACATTAGAAAGTTGATTAAAAGCGAAAAATCAATATGTTACTACACTACTTTTTCCAATACAGGCGTCAGAAATAATTCATTTTCACATATTTTTCTAATTTTTTCCTGAATAACATACATTGCCTGTTATTTTCGCGGCAACTATTTTTCAAATAAATTATTGTCTTTCATTATAAGATAAGGGTATGATACCTGGATATCAATAAACAAGAATAATGCGAAATAATCAGTTTTCATTTGCTTCAACGAGCTTGAAACGGCATAGCAACCAAAAAATGAGAATGTTCCAAAATGACTTAAATCCTTTCTTTGACTTCCAGTATTGATTTTTTTTAATATTTTCTATATTTGGATAGAGATATTTTCGATGATTCTTCTCATGATTAAACTGAAGTAGGGGGTCACTGTGCGTTATTTTATTTATTCATTATTTTTTTCCAATTTCACTCCAGAATATTAAGTTTTTCCAAGATTAAGAAATAAGCTGAATAATTCGTTTGTCCTAAAAATCTTGGAAAGTGAATTTGAAATCTGTAATTTGTGGTGATAACTGATACAAAATTAAGTTGAAATATATAGCAGATTTCCTAAGTTATACTCAAGAAAATTACCTTAGCAACCATCAAACGTTGAAATTGTTGACGCTATCAACCGAATCACGCCGTCAACTACGTCGTAAAAAAGTAATCCACTAGCGAAATTTCTTCAAAACGTCACAAAAATCGCCTTTTCAAGTTTATAAGTACAATTCCAGATTGCTATATTGAATTATGTCTTACTTCCAATCAAAACATCAGAGGAGTACAGCGATTTAAAGAGCTAGTGCGAAAAATAACAGCAATGACAGAGAAGTACATAGAACAATGACAGAACAACATAAATAACAATGTCAAAGCAAATATTTCAAATAGATAGTACAACAAGAGCGATACATTGAACAATGATTGTATAACATGTACGACAGCAATATATTATATACAGAGTAGATCAGTGACAGAACAACATCTGAGTATCAATTCAGCACTATACATATTCAAACTGAATAAAGACAATAGTCAATAGTCCTTGTTAATAGACCTCTATTATCAAGTATCCTACTTCCTGCTTCCAGTCAGTGCGCTCAATCCAGTTCCTCTATTATAGGACCACCACTCTTACTATCGGTAGCCTTCCCACTGTCACCCTGTGGGGCACCCCCATGAAGTTTAGTCATGACAGGTGTGCACAGGTTTTGAAATTCCTTCAGTTTGTACTCGAATTCATCTACATCTGCTGTTGTGTTATTGTCGAGCCACTTGATTTGTTCGTCACAATTCTGGCTGACAGTAGCTCTTTCTTCCGCAGAAAGTTTATCGCCCGCATTTTCTATCGCCGTTTTTACACTGAAAACGTAATTCTCAAACTGGTTCCTTGCGGCAATTCGCTGCCTGTGTTTGTCGTCCTCATCTTTATATTTCTCCGCGTCGGCAACCATTTTTTCGATTTCGTCTTTACTGAGACGTTCCTGGTCATTGGTGATAGTAATCCTATTTGTCTTACCACTGTTTTTCTCTGCAGCGGTGATGTTTAGGATTCCGTTCGCGTCAATGTCGAATTGGACCTCGATCTGAGGTACACCGCGTGGAGCTGGGGGGATACCGTCGAGGTCGAATTTTCCAAGCCGGTTATTGTCTTTGGTCATAGCACGTTCTCCTTCGAAAATCTGAATGTGGACGCCTTGCTGGTTGTCCGAGTATGTCGTGAATGTTTTGGATGTCTTTGTCGGGATGGTTGAGTTACGGTTTATTAAGTTCGTCATCACACCTCCCGCTGTTTCTATTCCCAATGATAGGGGAGTCACGTCCATTAGCAGAACATCTTTAATGACGTCACTTTTGTCGCCAGTAAGAATGGCGGCCTGAACGGCGGCACCGTATGCTACCGCTTCGTCAGGGTTGATTGATTTGTTAAGTGGTTTACCATTCATGAATTCCTGGAGCAGCTTCTGAATCTTCGGTATACGTGTGGAGCCTCCTACGAGAATGACCTCGTGAATCCTTGATTTATCTAACTTGGAGTCCACGAGCGCCTTTTCCACCGGTAACAGAGTGGCACGGAAAAGGTCAGCACACAAGTCCTCAAACCTCGCCCTCGTCAGTTTACTGTAAAAATCAACACCATCAAACAAAGCGTCTATTTCAATGCTGGCTTCGCTACTGTTCGACAGTGTCCTCTTGGCGCGTTCGCACGATGTGCGCAGTCTTCTGACAGCTCTACTGTTCTTGCTCATGTCTTTACCATGCTTCCTTTTGAACTCTTGTATGAAATGGCTTACGACCCTGTTATCGAAATCTTCCCCGCCGAGGTGGGTATCCCCGGCGGTGGACCTCACTTCAAACATGGAACCCTCGTCAATGCTCAGAACAGATACATCGAACGTTCCCCCGCCCAAATCAAAGATGAGAACATTTTTCTCACCTTTCAAGTTTTTGTCCAAGCCATATGCTAGAGCAGCGGCAGTCGGTTCGTTGACGATCCTCAGGACATTAAGTCCAGCGATGAAGCCAGCGTCTTTTGTTGCTTGTCTCTGAGCGTCGTTGAAATAGGCTGGTACCGTTATGACGGCATTTTTAACCTTTTGACCCAGATATCCCTCAGCAGTTTCCTTCAGTTTTGTCAATACCATGGAGCTAACTTCCTCGGGGTTGAACTGTTTGGTCTCGCCTTTACATTGTACCTGTAGCTTTGGTTTACCGCCGCAATCAACAACTCTAAATGACCAATGCTTCATATCCGACTGCACCGTCTGGTCATCAAACTTTCGTCCAATCAGTCTTTTCGCATCAAATATTGTGTTTTCAGGATTCATGGCAACCTGATTTTTTGCCGCGTCTCCTATTAATCTTTCCGTTTCTGAGAACGCCACATAACTAGGCGTGGTCCTGTTCCCCTGGTCATTTGCTATGATCTCCACCTTTCCGTGCTGAAATACGCCAACACACGAGTACGTGGTTCCCAAATCTATTCCGATTGCTGTAGCCATATCGAATAATTCTTTTCACAAATAATATTTCGTTGAAATGAAAAAAAGTTAGAGTCTACGGTTGTTTGTAAAACCTAAATTATTACCTAGCTCTGTCTATAATCAAGCAAGAGTATTTAGTACCACTCTGTCGAGTTTGTTTCCAGGACTAATGACAAAGCTGGGCTCTGACTGGTATATATAACCCGCCAAAAGAACATTCTAGATTGCTCAAAACTGGGTTGCTGGAACCTTCGTGAAATTTTCTCATTGTTTAAAAACGTTCGGGTCCCCTCGTACTTCGTCATACATACCAGCAACTATACCGGAAAATACCGAGTGATTGGCCTAAATTTCCATGACATAAGTTCCGGACTTTTCTAGAAGCTTCTAGAAGCATGACAGTTGGTTGTGCAATAACGGAACTATTAATACATGCAAAACCAGTCAAAATGGATGATTCATATAGCCGTGATATATTTAGATTTGACCAGGTCCTTTAACAATGCAGGATATTTTTGGTAATTAATGTATTTCATATTTTCCGTATATATCTCAAACTTATGGGAGATTTAGGATATGATAAGAGAAAAATGCCGTAATCGTAGAAATGCTAGTTTGCTACTCACATATAAAAACAGACATAAAATACATATTTTATATGATGGACACAATTCAAAGTACATGAAAATGACGACATTTTATTCTATGAGAATCAGAATTAACATTTTTATATCATTGGCTGGAATGTATGAAGTCTTAGTAACAATACATGTAGATTTGATAAATACTTCTCCTCGTGTAAAGAAGAATTTTACCAGTATCATGTGGTAAATAAATGTTTGCCGGGAGGATGTTTATAAAAATTAAGGCCTATGATACGAGTGTATTTATGTTAAACTGTTCGACACGTCTCGCTTGTGTGTGTATATTGTTGATTTGTTTACCCATGTAAACGTGTGGTATTCGTGTGTAGTCGCTGTACTTCAGATAAACCTATCGATCACGTATACACCTATGTACTGAAGTAGTTGATATATATACTGATTTCGTTAACTCTGACAGCCTCAGAACAAAACGACAAACTTTAATACAGGTAGGGTTTCACGCCTTGTTATCGTCCTTGTGATCACGCGACATGGAGACATATTTCTAATAATGTTTTCACATTTTCACATAGATGTGGTGTAACTTAACTTTCAGAAAGAAATAGTGCTATTTCTGCCCATGTTGACATCGTTATATAGATCTTCTGAAAACAAATAATGTCAAAATATGTGAAGTGTTATGGAACGAGACACTATGTAGTGTTGTTCAAAGTGATGGGTGAAGTGTTATGGAATGAGACACTATGTAGTGTTGTTCAAAGTGATGGGTGAAGTGTTATGGAATGAGACACTATGTAGTGTTGTATAAAGTGACGGGTGAAGTGTTATGGAATGAGACACTATGTAGTGTTGTATAAAGTGACGGATGAAGTGTTATGGAATGAGACAATATGTAGAGTTGTTCAAAGTGATTGGTGATCTTTAATAACGAACCTGAATACACACTAAATTTATCTGCTTATTCGGCCTTTTAAAATACAATTATGCTTTACTAATAGAAGTAACAAATTTTTGACGTATAAAGTGTGACTGGTTCATTGCTAATAAAAACCACCTGTTTTCCCTGACGATTGAAACACAAACACTCGACCAGATCTATAGTAAGCAAGTTATGTAACGTGTTCCATCTAATGTGACATACTGATGATAGTCCACCCCACAAACAGTGTACAGAAGATGCACATTCCTGTTGTAGTGTTGTCTCGTACTGTTCCTTGTCTTTGTATTACGTTTTACGTTTTATCTCATTCTGATGTTGTTGTCTTTCTATTGTTCTATCCGTTTGTTTAAAGTGACTGATGTTTATTTTTTTGGCCAAATCTTTTATCCTTAATTATTTATATGATAAAAACTACGCTTTGCAGAGACGTATATAACACGTTATATACGTTTCTGCGCTTTGGTTTTTGTTTAAAACTATTAATAATGAGTTTAGTATCATAGATATTGTGGTCCATATTTTTTAAACAAGATTTTGACGCCTAAAATAATAGATAGCAACATCCTTCATCTCCTACCTTTGACGCTTATATATCGCAGAATATACCTGTTGTTTCCGTTGTTGTTTGTTTTGTTCTCACTTTGGAACGTGACATCACTTACCTGTATTTACAAGGCAACGAAGCAGAAGACGACTACCCATCCGAACTTACCTGATTTTATTCTCTTTGTTCTTTTCAGGAGTCTTTGTGTATTTTTATCTTTTGTTCATATTTTGCCCTAGTTTCATCGACTATGTTTGAATTCAGAATCTGTTGACTCGTTGGTATTCTAAAATTAGCATGTGGTAGCTAATAATGTCCAATATCGAATTCTCAGCCACTTCAGGTCAACATTCTTCGTGAATCAATGCAAAATCCCGTTATATTTAAGCGAATACGTGAGCTTATCATCAATCGTGCTGAACCGAAGTAGCAGGATTTTGAATATAAGAAAACATGAATTAAAGTCAAAATAACAAAACCAATATTAAGCACAAATAAAAAGATTTCGTTACATACCTCATATTATTTCTAATATCGATGAAATCGTTTTGATAAAAAAGAGACTGTTAGATATTTTTAAATAAGCAATCAAGTTATACAAAAGTTAATTGCAGAGAGCCAATGTTCAGTATATATTCCATTTACTTCGGTCAATTATTAAAATCAAATATGCAGTTTTATCATTGATAGGTTATTGATTCAATAATAACGGTAAGAAAGTCTCATATGTTACACTGTCCTGTTATTTCACAATGAGTTAATTATCCATAATATCCAATTAGTGGTAGACACTAAAACAATGTAATTATTGTGATTGTGTGAGACGTGTTAGTGACCTAGATTTCAGGGTCAAATGACAAGTTGTCTACTAGACACACATACATATAACAGTTTCTATCAATTATTTATCTATTATTACCTGGTAAGACGACGTATTGTCAGACACATGTCACAAGATCATATAACTGTTTATGACAAGAAGAATATTGGAAAAGCTGCGAAACCACCTGTTGGTTTCTTTATAGTTGGACATAAGCTTGATTGATAATCTCTGATGAATCACCCTGTGATAAGATTTGGTTACTAAAAACCCGCATTTTCTTAAATAGAAAATCGACTTTCCTTTAGTTGAACATGATGATAACCTAAAACAGGATCTGATGGTAAATTTTAACATGTAATCCTGGGGAAGCACGTAAAAAGATAGCAAAATGATACAGGTACCCGTCTGTGAATTATTTTATCTCTTTACAGTGTACAACTGACCTCCACTAACGTAAACTATAGTGTAGGTATTGTAAACAATACATTTCAAACAGGTTATGAATGACCTCCTTCAAAGCATTAAGTATCAACAAGACCACTATAGGGCGGGCATAACCATTCCACTTTACTTCCACATGGCAACGGATATTATCTCCTCACTTAACACAGATTCTTCTTTTTATTATGATCAGTAGCAGTTCTGAGTAGTAAATACGGTACGTGGTTATGTCACGAAAGGTTTGTGTCTTATGGATAAACATGAGATTCCCACACACTGATTGTCGTCCAATATATACAAGTCTATTAATTACCAGTAAGCCTTGGCACGGTTGACGGGGTAGAATTCGGCTTAGCGCACACACACACTGGCGGTATGTTGATAGTAGCGGGTGACACTCTATATCTGTAGACAGAAGTTAACTGTCGGACAAGTATGGAATTACAACGGATAGACAGTATTTCTCTGAAGGAAGAATATCTCCTCAAAATTTGGGAGGATTATGTGCTGGAGAACATTGTGGAGGCCAATTCATGTCAGATGGCCATATTTGACCGTCGGACTAAACGACTGATTATTGGCACAGACAATTTTAAGATCCAGGCTTGTGAGCTAAGCCATATCGCAGAGGGAGTGATGTACCCCGATCTAGTTTACAGAAATGGGGTGACAGTCTGTGGACGGCATTACGAAGTCCGTCTGGCGGACGGCAAACAGGGTATATACGCCCGAATGGACGAATATGGCTGCACCGTTTGTCGGACGCAATCATTGCTTCTTATTTGTATTAATGATTCCCGCGCTGTGGCGTCGGAGTGTAATGAGCAGGTGATGAAGCTCGGAGACTTTCTGTTCCAGGCGGGGATGTAGGCCAGTTAATGACGAGTCATGAGACTTTCTGTTCCAGGCGGGGATGTAGAAGTACTATGAAGACGAGTAATGAAGCTTTCTGTTGCGGGCGGGGATGCAGAAGGACTTTCCTAGGCGGGGATGTAAAGGGATTGTGAGGTATGGGTGATGAGGTAGCTCGGATACGTTTTATTGGAGGTAGAATGATGACTGTGAAAAGTGATAAGGAAAATTACCTTACTGGAATGGGCGTAGCCAAGGATCTTGTGTGTCAGTTCAGAGGGCATGAATACTTTTTATTCCACAATGGAAACATTTAAGAAAAACAAAAACTGTGTTAATCATGATGGCCAAACCATGGAAAGAATGACTGATCTGTTTAAATCGCTGACTTATGGTGATTAAGAATTAAAAACTGGTTTATTATTTTATGTCAAACTGTTCCATGGCTGCCTTATAGTGATGCCTGAGAATGATTTTGTGGTAATCGCAAGTGTTTGTTCTCCCCTCAGACTTGGTGTTGTCATATGTTGTACGCATATTTGTCAGTCTTTAAACAATTTTGCACGTTGTAGCTCTACACAGAGGATATAAAATGTGAAAAAAACATACTAGAATGAAGTTCGAACGGCACTTATAAAACTCATTATTTGATATTCACATGAACGACAAAGTCGTCGAATTTTAGATGTTTAGACATATATTGAATAAAGCGGGTGTCGTGTCACCTTAGATAAGTAGGTATCTGGTCGATATATAGATTTAAAGTTTTGTGTAACCGGTGCTTAGCCAATGTTCGGTTTTATGCTCGTTTCAAAAGAATTTTGTGCCCATACAATGAGTGTATTACCGGGTTCCACTGTCGTTTTGTTTGGAGCTTACATACACATATAGTATTTATATTAGTTTTAAATAGTCCACAGAAAAACGATTGTGGAGAACAGGTTGGGATAGTGTACAGCAATACCATTATGTATTGCATGATAGAATATTTCATAGCCATTAATACTTATTGATTGAATGTCTATTGAAGACCGAGCCTTTGGTGGGTGTTGAATGGAGTCTCTGAGCCATTGAGGCGGTAATTTAGGCTATCGACAAGTTCATGCGTCTACCGAAAATGTCCTAATAAAATCAAAATAGTTTTGGTATTAGATTTTAGATATTCTGCAATAGCCACTTGATACTTCACTTGTCAACCAGCAAGACTCCTGATTGTCACCTTTTGCCGAACATTGTGACTAATGGAGACCCTTATCAACAATGTCTATTTGCAATATATTTTCTGTTTTAAAACTTCTCATTCAGCTGTATTTTTGAAATACAGATGTCTGTGATAACCTATATGATCAATTATCCCGACAAACGTATGATGAAATATATTTACCTAGTCTACAACCAATTACCGATTTATGCAAACCTATCATATCTTTGATAATGAATCGTGTTTGGAAATGGATGAAGCTCCTTTGTTGGCATGCATCTAGTTATAGATAAATTTTCATTTGTTGAAACGACTTATTTGCTAACCACGAGGCGTCAATTTCACATCGATACATCATCTGTATTTCTAGTTTGTAGACAGGATATTCATATCAAAAACACAAATCCCTGAAATTATAAAGTCGTGTTTCATTGTGAATATTGTTTTAATTTAGGTTAAGATGGGATTGTTTTATAATGATAGAGCTTCACTATGGCCAGAATTGTTTCCTGCTAGAGATAATACCGGGCTATTGGTGAGTGAATTCATTAGATATGACTGTTCATGTTTTATGTCGTATATGTTTTGTGCTTATGATAATACGCGATGTTATTCACCAGGTACAGTATTATGTTGAGAGTATATATTTATTTATTACAAGGATTTATTTGTTAGAAATCAATAAAGACAATTTTTATGTTAATATGGGTCTGTGTTTTATAAACCAACATAAATTTGTACATTTCTGGATCTTGGAATGAACCATTGATAACTTCAACATGTATCTCAATTTTCCGACTAATATTGAAAAATAAGGTGTTGATATACTTCTTCCTAATTTCCAGTATTCTCAATTTATGCATATGCATTAAACATCAAGTGTTGTTTTACACTATTCACTTCTTTTGTGACATCCTAACCACGACCCTGATCATCATTTTACATTTTCAAATTTAAAAGGGAAATACTTTTTCTCGCCTTAAATTGAAAATTAAACATACTTGCATTTCGATTAATCTGGTAAATCGATTCCTTCAGAAACATTTACGTAATGTGTTTATATATCTGTAATATGGTATTTTTCTGTAAATAATCAGCCGGGAATTAGTCATTGTTTAATTCTACATCGATACGAGATATTAACTGCCATGAAACGCCGTGTTCTGGTAGAATCTTTTTCTGTCAAACAGTGAAAAAAACAGTAGGATAATTCGATGTTCGCGCTTTCTCGGGATTAAAAATGCTTTCAAACTAAAATGTATTCTTAAGTATCGCCATAAAAGTCCCGGACTGTTTAAAGTACCGGATATAATAAATATAGTGATCAGACACCATTTAAAATCAATTTCAATTACTGTGTATTGCATATTGTAAAGACGTTCATATTTCCTACTATACTCACTTTTGGACATATTGAATTTGTCTGGTCTTAAAATAACAAAAAATACCCTCAAGAATTGGAAGTAAAGAACACGACGGAAGTCCTGCCACTCGATCATTGTCTACAACGAAACCTTCAGAAGCACATTTCTTACAATGTGATGATATCGATTTTTCGACTGTGAACTTTCCATTTCTATACAGTAAATATCGTACTTCCCCAAAGTGTAATGTTTACATATCACAGTTGATTTGATAGTCTACGGCGTGTTTATGCTATATCGATTTCCGTGAGAGATGACAACGGCTGATTAACTAACATCATACAAGATGCACGTCTACGCGATCCGATTTGAAAATACTCTATTTCCTTATGTGATATGAAGTTTGAAGATTTCTATACTCGTTAGTCTGTCTGGTGGTTGTGGCAAACCTCGTGGTAATACTTACTTGGACTCTCCTGTTGACTTTTTAATTTTAAAAGTCTTCTTTCAAATCCGCATTTCATTTATTTCTTCCTCGCTTCACATATTTTTAATTATAATGAATATTTTCTTAATGTGTCAGTATTTTCTGTTTCTTTTTTATTGCACTTTGCCAATATATTATTACGTCATTTCAAGTTTAAGAATACGGACATAAAGATTACTTATGAAGCCTTACCAAATTCTTTTTAAAATTTATTGCAGGTGATATAACGTAATGTTCACACGTAGACTTGAAACATAAAGCAAACCAATGATATATTTACTGAGTGTGTAGTGGAACAGTCTGCCATTGGTAGAAAAGAAATACATTCGTCACACATTTTACCTTATCACATGATAGTGGGACTTTGAGTTTTTGGGACACATCCAAGTTTCGATCAGTATCTTGTACCTACTCACTATCGTTCAATGATTGCTGCTAGTCAATATGCAGAGGTCAAGGTCAGAGATTAAGCTCAATAAAATGGGATACACAGGAATCTACCATAACAAACGTCTGCTGAACACATTTTGCTCAAGTTAAGGAAGTATTGAATACTGTAGCACTCCGAGACAGACGTTTTCATATAATCGGATTATAAATTATTGAGGAATTAGACAAACAACTTCAAGGAACATTGTACGTGTGCCACTCATCAAATAGATGTTTCGAAGCACGGCGCTAGAGTGTTCCATTGTGTATAAGTAGTTCAGCTGATATACATTTTTGGCCCCCAGGAGATATAATGACATTGAATGTAAAGGTATAATTTACAATCTTGCGGAAGAGTTTCTAATTTTTGAATATATGATTTTCCCCATTCTTAGTGGACATGAACTGCCTTGCAATTGTCTAATGAAGAAGCTGAACACCAAGTTGGATACAAGACAATCAACTCGTGGTAAGTATACAGCAAGTCAACCGATATTTAAGTTAAAACAATATAAATGCATTTTGTAACAGATTCCTCTTATTATTACAATGACATACTTTGTATAACAAATATGATCACAACAACAATGGAAGTTTAATAATGGAAACTGTACCAGCTGATTTTACATAATGCGTTACCGAATTAGTGACAGTTTTAACGGCTTTGTAAAGATCTTGCAGTCATAAAGTACACAATGATCAATGTCGTGTCTTTGTGCAGTAAAAGACCAAAGAAAAACTTACAGACTCTAGTCCAACGCATTTCACTTGTTTTTACAGTTCATAACAATGGCGTCACAGGGAACACCCCTTACTCCAAGGGTAAGTAACAAAAGTTAATAGTCATTAGTGCAATATAGTTCATTTTATGAATTTAAGCGAATGTCAGTGATTAAGAGTTTGCTAAAATTGAATTTTTACTGTTAACGAGCTGTTCCGTGATTGATTGCCTTTTATAATTGTGACGACAGTAGATTTACTGGAACGGTCGGGTTATCTAAACCGCTCATAATTTTATGCTAAATATAAGGTTTCAAGTGACACGTACAAATAGTATCATGTCAGTTTGGTGATATATATCGACGAAGACTCAGAAAGTAACTATAAACAAGATATTGAATATTGATTTATTGAAAAATAAGCATTAGAAATATCACAGGTAAGTAGAGGCAGGGGAGGAACATGGAATTTTATTGAGAAAACTGTATTGTTTTTCTTGAACAGAATGAAATCCGGGTAGATGGTCAGGCGATGAAAAAGACACAAGGAGCTGGCGGTAGTGGTGCAGTTACGTCGAGGTCAGACAGATTGCCAGAAGGTGATAAGACTACTGCTGCATGTGAAGAAGAGTCTGAGATTAACTTGGAAGAACCCGTACCCGTTATAACCCAGCTGCTCGGCTTCAATAAATCCCTTCAGCTGCAGATTGAGACACTCAGAATGCGTCTTGATTTAGACAATAAGAGTCACGAGAGAGAAAAATGGTCCACAGTGGAACAGACAGAGATGAAAATGAAAGAAAAGGAAACAGAAATTGACGATTTAAAGTTGGATTTAGCTACAAAGGAAGATAAAATAGGAAATCTTGAAAGTGAAAACAGACACAAAATTTCAGAGATTGAGAGATTACAGCAATACATAACGGAAATTAAGAAGGATATCAGCTTGACCAGATCATACGCCAACGACCTTCAAAGGGAACTGAAAAGACTTCAGTCAGAAAACAAACGTTTGGAAAAAGGCACGGCATATGAGGATAAAGAAGGACACATTGCTGATTTGAAGAAGGAGATAGATACACTGAAGTCAAATTTGGAGACAATGGAAAAGGAACTGGAGAAGGCGCGGATGATAATCACATCACAGGGAAGTAAGATCCGATTGATTGAAAATGATAAGAGTAACATGCATGTGAAATTCAAGGAGGAGTTATCCCGCATGTCGCATATGATGAGGCACGAGGTGGAGAAGATGAGGGAGGTGATGAGAAATCAATGGGAGGAGATGAAGATTATGAGGGAGCAGAACGAGGAGATGGGTCGCGACATCAAGGAAATCAAGAATATGTTGGTGATGAGACATCAGGATTCTAATATGTCGAGGAGTCCTCCTGGGTACGGACAGATGTTCAAACCCACGCTCCCGGCCCTCACAAGGGACACAAAGAGGATTGTCACGGGCAAGAAGAAGTGAACCAGAAAACCATAACCTATCAGCGTCAAACTAGTCAGAACATTACCAAGCGTTATAAACGTTAACATATTAAGAATCCACGTTAGACATTTCAAACATTGGAAATGACGGTTTTAATTTTGATACGTATTTGTTTTGTTATCCCATAAAGCGTTGGTGGTGCTTTGAATTTCTACTAATTGGATGCATAGCTTCTCCCTACCTAATTCCAATAAATTATCAGCGAATGCAATTTATGATCAACATTGTCATTGTCAAGTGCCAAACTGACTTTCACCAGTTCACCGTTTCCTTGCTACATGTATTTGTGGGTCATCATTTTCATATTGTGTGTGATTTAACTTTATCAGTGCGACTTCAGACTTTACCTGGAGAATAGAATCTGGACATTCCAAGTGTTACACGGTTTTGTTTACTGCTGGAATTTATATAAGGTGTTTGCGAATCATATGATATCTTATAATATGTATTGACATTTTGCATTTGAAAATGTAGAGAATAAACTCATCTAAGTGTTCACAGTGGGGTTTTTTTTTGTCTCATCCATCATGGATGTAGATCATTAATTAAATTGATTTTCTTCCTTGTTCAATACTTGTACTTTTCCAGGAGTCTCCTTATAATCATTTCTTTTGTTCATGCTCTCGTTTTATTGACTTTGAGTTCGGATTATGACTATGATGAAATGTAGGCATTTCTTGTTTTTTCAACAGTGATACATCATTTAGGGTACATAACAAACAAATACTGATGCAGTAGTTTGGCTGAAATGGGAGGTTTTTGAAATATTTTTATGGTTTTTGCATCAACAGTTAACTTAAATATTTTCTTGCAGCAGTTTTTCAAATTTTCCAATGCAACAAATGATATATCTTTTTAGATGCAACTGCAATGTCATTCATCTTTACTTAAAACAATTTGATTGAGATTATTCCTGTGGTAGTGGTATGGTTTATCATAAGTACAAAATCTGACATCATATACTTTGAAGTGATATTATCTAACGGTTTTCTGACATCATATTTCCTTCAAACGTGATTTCATCTGTTTGCACTCTCAATCTGATTACGGTATACAAATATGATCCATTAAACTGGTCTGTGAAGTATTTTCTTTTTTAACGATGACGTTACTTTTTGGCAATTTATGAGATTTGAAACATTAACAATACTGGTGACTTGGCACTAACGCCAGCAATAATATTGAAAATTAATCATCCGATCGACGATTTAGTATGAGTGTAATGTGCAGAGATAATTCGAATTGACACCTTTACATTTTCATTAATCTGCTGACAGAACGTAACCTGCGGTGTTATTTCCGCACAAGTCATAGTTAAATGACGTAGATAAACGAAAACACACAAAGGAAGGAGACCATCTGTCATCGAGTAACACGATGTTGAAATAATGCCAAAATTCGAGACAATGACTATACAATGACACCATTGGAAAAAGACCACATCTGGTAATCACAACGTTATGCTTGTCACCTTTAAAATAGTATGGACAATACCATTATATGTAGTAAAATCACTTCCTCTCATTGATTTTAAAATTACATTATAATAGAAACAGTTTGAGAAATAGGTAGTGTTATATTTTACCTATTATACCGGACCCACCCTTACCATGACGGGTACGACATGTCCTGTGTTGACCCCTGGTCTTATTCTGTAACAAAGAATGTGAGTCTGCTCGTGTACCAACAGTCTATAGATACAGAACCAATGTGGCGAGGATGTTGACCAGTTTGCAAGTGTTTAAGGCCAATTATCAGGTACGTGGAGAGTCGTTCTCGTGCTTTATTATTCATAACACTCCAACTCCAGTTTACTTTATCTAAAATGAGTAGACAAACAAACTAGCAAATAATTTATCACACGTTTTAAGGAATACAATGTAATCTTTTTTACTCACTCAGACACCAAATTGACAGATGTACGGATATCAAGGATCGCAAGGATTTCAACGATGACCAAGAGACGAACAGGTAAGAACCGAAATATACAGTACAGCTAGCATACAAACAGGCATAGTTTATACCAGTTTGCCTCCTTTGTTTTACTTATGGGAACAGATTAAAACAGTATATGTTTTGGTTGAAATACATACATACTAGCTGTGGATGAGACCAGATTGATTCAGACTAATGTATTTTAATGTGTCCTTTATAATTAACTCCTGATTAATCTCTGTATCATTCTATCTTTAATGATATCATGTATCAGTAATTGGGTATCTTGATAATGTTAAACGTGTATACATATCTTTGATATATAAGGGAGACATAGGTAATTGTTCCCCTTACAATGCAACACGAACAATGACACGAGTTAGTATGATACATAGACGAATTAGATGCAAATTACATATAAATATGTTAATTAACAATTTTGATATATTTTTTAAATGTCTATACAATGGTATGGAAATAACCATTTGAATAATTATAACTGCCGTTGAATATGACTCATTTCACAGTGTAATTCCCAACGCTGATTAAGTGTGTTTACATGGCAGCCTATTGATCTCATTGAAATGTTATAGCTGTGTATTGAAAATTTAAAATCCGAGTCTTCAGTGTGAGAAGAAAGAGTCTACATTTGTATGTATGTCCCTGGATACACAAAGGTGGACGAGTCACAGCCGGGGACTGCTCCTTAGTGTTGACTCTGAGTTCACATACGTAGTCAATCGAAGTAATTCAGTGTTGGCCATAAGAAAGGGTTATTTGGAAAACTATTTCATTTTCCATGGAGAGCACCATTAAAAATTTAAAGAGTTTAAACTTTTCACAAAAATTCAAATAATAACCCTTTTTATTGCTGTTTTTATTAATCTATTTTCGATTAAAATGGTTGCCTGAACCTTGCGGTTGAAACTACTTTAAGCCGACTTCATGTTAAACGGGCATAAAACATGATATTCTTTGAGACTTAGAACTAAAATTGTATATTCAAAAATGTGGTTTTTCATATTTTCACACTGAACTATACTGCTGAAGACCCCCAGCAGGATATCCCATCAAGTCACATTTTGCTGACTTTGGGTGAATTAGTCGTTACGCTGCCACAATGCTGAATGTTACCAGGGAGTAATACCTAGCAATTTTCAAGATTCTGGTATGTTTCGGCGGGGAATAGATTCCAACGTCTTCCTCGCTGGGACCAACGCTCAACTAAAGGCCAAAAGTGAGGCAGAGTCAATTGAAATTTAAACAAGAATAACACAAAATATCAAAGAGAGAAAATAGTAAGATAGGAAGTTTAGTCGCCTATTATCACCATGTACTGGGGGCAGTAGTAACAATCCGCACACAGACAATAAAGAAGCGTTCAGAAACCGAACACAACTATCACAAAGAACAAAAACGAATTAGTAAGGATACATATCACAGGAAAATTAACCAAACGAAAATTCCGAGAGTGAAACGTCAAAAATATATCAAATCACCAAAGAAAGAATAATGTTTAACATCGGGATGGTAGAATGGCGCAGTGGTAACACATCCATTTTCACCCAGAAACGTATGTCCTTTCTTCTTTCACAGGTTATACATTTGTATATTGAACATTGAAATACAAGAAAGTAAAAACAGGTGAATGTAAATATTTCCAGTACTAACTTGGGTACTTTATCACTATAACCGCTCTGTTCGTTAAACAGTATGCGTCTAGACTTGAGACATTGCTTACTTATAAGCAGAGAGTGTCCCATGGTGTGGTTGTATAGGGGTATAGCTGAGACTTGATCAATACATACTTAGGTGGGTAAACTTTGGGTAGCTTCGATCTCAGCAGGGTATAATAGTCTAATGGGGACTAGGAAGAAGGGGAACGTAGACTGTAACACCTAGACGTGACCAGGAAGCAAAACCAATGCTGTGACCTATAATTGCAGGTAGGTAATTAACGAGATGAAGAATAATTGCGCATTAACATCATTTACTGTAACAGGTTTTAACGGACCTAGTTGACACTCTAGACGTAAGGTACACATATTTTCATTTACAGAAATCTGAGACTCTCTCCCTCTCTAAGCTATTATTTTTCGCATATCAATTATTTTACTGAAATGAACGATGATTATATTCATGGAGAGCATATGTCAAGTATTTGTTGAAAACATATGTATATATTGTTTATGCATTCACCAAGAGGTAGCCCTTTCAGGTCATAGATAACGTTAACTTGTACACCAAGCAAGCACTGACATGAAGACATGTAAATTTAAATAGTTTAAAGAACACAAATAACGTTACACATAAAATTGTAAGTGGCGTGTATTGCTATTGATTCGCTATATACCAGATACATAGAAGCGCCATACACAATATCTACAGTAAAGGGACCGACATTCGGCCGAGATACACCTCCAGAGTTCCTTCAACTGTCAAGCCATTGTCAGTCATGGATTTATAAATTGATATTACAGACATTGAAGTTATAATTATTATCGACTAGCATGGGAATATCCTCCATGGTTTGTTTACACTATCGATCCCATCACTAGCACGGATGTGTGCTTCACCTAGACAAGGATTGTACGTAGTTGACGTATAATGATGAGTTTCATGATATGTAACATTAAACAGTGTTCACTCATGTTAAAGAGTGTTCAGTTTCTATAAATTATCATGTAGGTGAACGATTGATCATTACACAGGGGCGTCGTTTATCATTGGAAAATTAGTAACTTACTCTCACAGCAACAACATATCATATTGTGTGATAAACACGTAAGCGACCCTTCCATCGAAATTTAGAAATAACTAACAAAACAAACTGCTTCATATTGCGTTTTCGTCCTTCAACGAGGAGGTGCACTATCTCCACAATGCATTAAATTTCATAAAGACTGATTGTGAAATAACGTCAGTACGAGTGTATATTCTGGGACAGCTAGGACTGTGCATGTGATATAGCTGTTGTTATATTATGTATATTCTGGGACAGCTAGGACTGTGCATGTGATATAGCTGTTGTTATATTATGTATA